TATTGAAGTTGATCAGAACAAGATTAAAGCTATTATAAATGCTAGGGCCCCAGCTAACAAAAAACAAGTGCAAAGGTTCCTCGGCCAGGTAGGTTTTCTTAGAAGATTTATTTCTAACCATGCTGGCCGAGTGCATGTCTTTTCGACTTTAGTGAAATTAAAGTCACATGAGAAATTTCATTGGGACGAATCCCATCAGAAGGCCTTTGACAAAATAAAAGAGTATTTGGCAAACCCCCCGGTTGTAATGCCTCCAAGAAAGAAGTGGCCGTTAAAGCTTTATTTATCGGCCGCAGAAGAATCAATTGGTAGTATGCTCGCACAAGACAATGAACATGGAAAGGAATAGGCTGTCTACTACCTGAGTAGAGTACTAACTGATGTAGAATGTAGATATTCCTCAATTGAGAAGCTTTATTTATCTTTGTACTATTCGGCCATGAAGTTGAGAGTATACATGCGGCCTGTTGATGTTTATATTCTTTGTCAGACTAACGTGATCAAGTATATGCTATCAAGGCCATTGATCACTGGCCGAATCGGTAAGTGGGCTTTTGGAATTCAATTTTATCTACGTCCCACAAAAATCAGTAAAAGGAAGGGTTCTGGCTGATTTTTTGGCCGATCATCCTTCAACTGATATTGATCCATGGGTTTATGATGAATTGGAGTCATCAGCTATATTCTTAACTCCTTGGATCTTGATGTTTGATGGATCAAGCACGGTTGATGGAGCAGGAGCAGGTATTGTTATTATTTCGCCAGCTGGCAGAAAGGCTTCATTCTCTTTCTTTTTAGATTTTAAATGTTCAAATAATCAGGCCGAATATGAAGCGCTTATAATCGGCCTAGAGATTTTAATTGAAATGGCTGTTAGAGATGTAAAGATTTTGGGAGATTCAAACTTAGTCCTTAGCCAAATTTCTGAAGATTTTAAGTGCCTAAGTTGGCAATTAAGGCCGTTTCACTCTCTAGCCGCTTCGTTAATCAATCAATTTGATAATGTTCACAAGTTCTGGCCGAGAGGACAGAATAAGGAGGCCAACAGCATGGCCCAAGCAGCCTCTGGAATAAAAGTACCAGCCGGAATAGAAGATTAGTTGATAAAGATAACACGAAGATCTTTGCCATCGGCCGAATTGAGAAATACTATGTTGTTTGATACTTGGACAATTGATGTAGAGGATTTGGCCGACGATGACTAAAGGATACCATTTATAATGTTTCTTCGAAATCCAAGCATCAAGGCTGATAGAAGTATTAAAAGAAAAGCGATCAACTTTGTGCTTCTAGATGGGGATCTATACAGAAAAGGGTTAGAAGATGGGCTCCTACTACAATGCATAAGCAATGAGGAATCACTTCAGGTTATGGCCGAGGTACATGAGGGCAGCTGTGGGGCTCACCAAGCTGGGATTAAAATGAGATGGCTGATTCGCAGGTATGGATATTATTGGCCGATGATGAGGAAAGATTGCATAGATTACTCAAAAGGTTGTCAAGCTTGTCAAAGACACGGGCAGATTCAAAATGTACTAGCAAAAGAATTACAGCCTATAATTAAACTTTGGCCATTCAGAGGTTGGGGCCTTGACCTTATTGGTAAAATTTATCCACCATCAAGCGAAGGCCATCACTGGGTGATTATTGCCACAGATTATTTTACTAAATGGGTTGAGGTCAAGGCTTGCAAAGCGGTTGATCAGCAAACAGTGATTAATTTCATGGAACAAAACATCATCCACAGATTTGGGATTCCAGAAACACTTGTTTCAGACAATGCAATAGTATTTAGGGCAACTGATGTACTACAATTCGGCCACAACATGAATATCCATATGTCAGCCTCTACGCCATACTATACTCAAACAAATGGCCAAGCCGAATCTTCAAACAAAATTTTAATAGAGATCATTGAAAAAATGATCAAAGATAAGCCAGAAGGCTGGCTGAATTATAATCAGCCAGAAGGTTAGCCGAATTATAATCAGCTGCTGGTGGTAAATCAAGATCGACCGGTCATTGATTATCTTAATCAGCCAATGACGGTCGATAAGGTTCAGTTGGCTAATCCTATTAAGCAAGAATATGGTAATGGCCTTAAGCGAATAGGTCGACCAATGTACAAAAAGCCAAAATCAACCACATCCGACACTCAAACATCTACCATATCTGCCAAAAAGGGAGCAGATGATGAAGTCATGGAGGTCGACAATGATATTTTCATACCAGGTAGTCATGTGATCGGCCAGGCTCCCAAAAGGAAGGTTGATGAAGGGAATCAGCCTAAGGTTACCAAGAGTACACCATCAGCCATTCCGAATGTCAAGGCTCTCATACAACACGATTATTGCCCTAAATGGAAAGGTAAAAGAATTTCAGAATTAAATCGGCTAGATTACCAGAATACTTGGCCGAGAGTGGTATCTAATCCTCAGCCAGAATCATCATTGGCTAAGAGAATTCTTTTAGCCTGTCGGTCTCAATCGAATTTCAAGAAAAGAAAGCGAGGATTGAAATTAAAAAGGGTTAAGTGGAGAAGAAATTCGCGGAAGAAAATGAATCGGCCAATTAATGCAAAATTTTACATAGCTAATGCAGTGCTACATGAAGAAAATAAAATGGGGCGACCAATATCGGCCATAATGAAAAGAAGTCTAGCTGATATTAACTCTAAAAGGTTAGTCAGAAAGGTATTTTGGCTGAAGATAATGTTTCATCGGCCAGCTGTTGAGGTGCCAAATAAAAAATCAAGGACGAGACAGGCTATAGCCGCTGGCATTCTAAAAGCTTACCCCGGCAGATAAAAAATCGGCCACAAAAGAAATACTATTCTTGGTATTTTTGGCTGATATAGTTGAAGTCATCAAAGAAAATGACTATTCAAAAACATGGGATGGCGTACTTTCAGAAGTTCCATGGGAGTATAAAAATTCAAGAGGATCAGCCATCAGAAAAGCTCCATACTGGCAGAATTTTGTTCTTTCAAAACAGAAGCCAGTTAGATCGGCCCAAATGACATTACATAACTGCTTGATCCCGGCCGATCACGATCATGCCTTATTAGTAGAGTTGGGAAACTTCAATGGTGAGGTCTATCATGAGTTTATAAATAGCCAATATTTTAAGGGGTATCAGCCGGCTTTAAGGGAATAATGGAAGAACCAGGATCGGCCAGTTCTGGCTGACGCAAAATAAAGACCAACTTGAGGTGGCCCGGAAGAAATAAAGTTTAGAAACTCGTAAGCTACCAGTTTCTTTTCAATACATTTTAAAATTCCAAAAATCTTATTGGCCTGAGTGGCCGATAAGACATTGAAATTCAGGGGGCATTTGTTGGCACCAAAAACTGGCAGCCATCTCAGCGATGACGTGGACCAATGAGAAATTGACAAGTGTTTATTATGTCTTAAGGGAAGTCGGCCAATAGAGAGACAAAAGAAGAAAATCTAGGCAAATATATTTCAGCCACTTTGTTGATAAGGTTGTTGCTAAATATATTTGTAGAGATTTGAATCAATTCAAATATGTCATCAATTCAAAAGAGAAGACTTAAGAGATTTAGTTACAATAAATAACTAAATCCCAATGAAGTAGGAATTTCAACAAGAAAGGAATAGCCGTATAAGTTCCAAAGTTACAAATGGCCATTAGGCCATTTAAGGGAATGAAACGGGCTGCTAAACTTAAGGAGGGGAGTTGCTAAAAATTAGCAACTTTTCAGCAACTTTCTAGCAACGTTTTAGCAATATCTCGGCAACTTACATGTGATTAAATCGAGGAAGGTTGTTTTTACAGAGATTTCCTACTGAAACAAAACAAGAAAGGAAGCGGAATAACAATAGGATTTGGCTGAGTTCAAATTGTGAAGAGAAAGAATCAAAGAAGGAGAGATTTTCTAGCAATAACTTGGGAAAATAAGTTGAGATAGAACTTCTATAAATAGAAGTATTGTATTCCATTCCAATTTGTCCAGCACCACCACAAAACATGCATTTCATCTAAAAATGTTTTCAATTGACTCTACATCATTTTCCTATCAATTTCTTTATTTCAATTTAATGGCAATTGATTAGATCCTCGTCAACTATTTCGATTCAGTCATTTACTTTCTTTCAATTTCAATTATGCCAATTTTAATTACGCAATTTTAGTTAGGCTTTCAATTCAATGGCAATTGATTAAATTCTCGCCATTGAATCGTAGTGACAATTGATTAAATTCTTGTCATTACTTGGCTGATGGCAATTGATTAAATTCTTGCCATTGTGTTTGGCTGATGGCGATTGATTAAGTTCTCGCCATCACGTTCGGCCGGCGATCGATTAAGTTCTTGCCGCCTGTCTTCACTCGGCCATTCCATCCATTCAAACATTCATCAGCCGTTGCATTTCTTTAGACACTCTAAAAAGTCCTTGCTACAAACAAGGCATAAAAGAACCTTACTTGGAGTTTTTACTAGTCTCTTTCCCACACAATCGCCTGAGAGTCGGCCATCAGAAAAAGGGATAGGCTGGTGTTCAATTACATATTTTGGGTATTTTGTACAAATATTCTGGCACGCCCGCGAAGAGTCCATCGACCGGCGTAGGGAACAAAAACCGCGAGAACAGTTATATAGGACACCTAATTTATAGGTTGTAAAACAATTATCTTTAGCCAAGTTACATAAAATACGTAATTTATATATTGTAATACACCTGATAGATTCCTGGTTAAACCTTCCCCGAATATACTTCTTCCCCAATGATTAATTCCACCAAAGAGTAATTACTCTGTGGTATATTGTTCCATAAGTAAATGTAAACCCTTTTAAGTCAACCAATCCAACATATTACATCGATTTGTTGGTAATATTATAACAGGAGAAAGTTTACGATGCCCAATCAATGCACAAGTATAGAAACTCTGAATTTGTGACGAGAAATGATAATTTTATGGTTGTATATATATATATATTGGCTGGGACGGGTAGGAAGGGATCTAGCTAGGTGGAGAGATGCGTCTTACCTGGCCTAATGCAATCTTAAAGTGGGACCAATTCCTCTCATTATCCAGCTAATTCTCAGCCGTCTCCTTTGTCACATTCGGACTCTTCCCACCATTCCTGCACCACCACCCCACCTTCCAACCTCCCTCTCTCTCACTCACTCACTGTATCAATATATATATATATATATATATACACACACACACACCCTCTATTTATCCCTATCTTTGGTGTGAGGAAATTATTAATACCATCATCCCCTTCTCTCTCTCTCCAATTTCCCCTTTAGTTCCCATGTCTCTCTCTGTAACTTTTCTCTTCTCAATGATGACCTTTTGTAAGAAAAGTGTCCAGTCTCTGTTAGGTCTCACCACCCACAAAACCAATGGAACAGTACTACTAGAAACTCCCCACCACGACCGGAATATTCCATCTCCCGCCGGAGGCATAAGCTTCATCACTTTATCCGGCAACACCCAACTATCCGTCCCCAACTTCTTGGAGTCGGCCGTAGCTAAATCACCACCTTCTTCTCCCGCCGCCGCCCCCAACAGAGACCCTGGTGGGATAGGGTTTCTCGAAGACGTGGGAGGCAGCGTGGGCGGGCTGATGTCGTGCACCGAGAGCCTAGGATTTGAGAGCTCCGACGAGAGGGGGGTTAATGATGATGATCAATTGCAGAACATGAGCAATGATGAATTTTGTTTGAAGAGAACAATACCAATTGTGAGGTCACCAAAGAATGAAGTACTGAAGAAGAAGTTTCCACCACCGTTATCATCATTGGACCAGAACGGAAAGCCGACGTTCTTTCTCCGACATGTGAGGAAGGACGGTAGGTTACAGCTCACAGAGATGAAGATTCATCGGCCGGAGATTCTCCATGCTTCCCGCCAAGATGGACGGTTAAGATTACATCTGATCAGTAGTAGTGATGAAGATGAGGATGAGGATGAGGATGTGGATGTGGATGTGGATGTGGAAGAAGTACTACAAGACAAAGCTAAAGAAGAAGAAGAAGAAGAAGAAGAAGTTAAAGGAGGAGGAGGAGGAAAGAGAGGTGAGGAGTGGCGGTTTCCGGTGAAGAACGGTGGTAGGGATGGAATCAGGCGGTGTCATGAGGTGGCGAGTCAGCACCACCACCACCACCACCACCACAATCAGCATCACCATAACTTGCACGCGTGGAGGCAGCATTGTGTGACAATAAGATGAGGTTAATTAGGATGGGCCGCAAGTGTGTACATGATATATATATATATATGAATCATATGTATATTCTGCATCCTCTGACGTGGGAGAGTCTGGATCGTCTATGTATAGATTCCATGTTGTAATCTAATATAATCATTTTAATTTGTTCACTTAAATCAATCCGTATTTCAACGCATTTATTTTAAATTTCAACATTATTAGAATTTAAGTGCTCTGAAACTATAAATAAAGAGCAAGAAAATTTTAACAAAATAACAAAATTAAAATATATATGCATTTCAACATATTTTGTTCTACATGTTAACGCATGAAACATCTGTCAAAATTAAAATGATAGAGAGCGGATCAGACACCCAGCATGCGGTGTCAAAGGACAGAGAGCGGTGGCTGCTGTCCCTTTAAAGCCTCGGAGTGCTAAAATGAATGAAGGCTGCTGCTTCCTGCAGTCTGCGGCTGATCAGTAATTTTGTACGTGGTATAAAATTAGTATTTTGAAATTAAAATTAGAAAGAAAAAAAAAATTTAATTAATTTAAACTATATACTAATTTTTTTTCAATTTCAATCTCGAATCATCAATTTTATACAACCCCAAGTGCGCTAAAGTGGAATTATGTCACCAGTCGAAATCTTGGAGAAAGTCTAAATGCCCTAGAGATATTGCATGAGTAGTATCCATTTTCACCCAATGGACAGACATAAAAACTCAATTTGTTATGATTTACGAGGAATTAAGAATTTTTATTTCACGTTTATGATTAAGGTACGAGGAGGGAAAAAAATCACGCCAATCGCAAAACAGTGGAGACAAAAGATAATCCACAACAAAGCCAAATAACGGCTCCATGTAAATTCCTAAGCAAAAAACACTTATAAATAGAGCCTGAATAAAGGTGAAGTTCATGAAATTTTGAATATTACTACTATCTCAAAGATTTGCTTGCTCCCTTCTTGATTTTTTCTATGTGCTCTCCGTAGTCGACTCTTTAGGTGTTTGGGTGTAAAAAAATTGCTTCCACGGGGTACCACGTGAAAGTATTTAATGATGAACACATAAGTCCGCCATCAGCTGTAGAATGGAGGCTAAAACGTGTCCAGTACTTTATCAAGAGAGAAGCAAATTCTTCCACAAGGTGAGATTCCCTTTTGATTTGTCTCCAATCTGGAACCTTAACCAAACTCAGCATATGGACAAGATAGGCAAGGATATATATATATATATTGAAAGGTCAGCCTTCCTTCTCCATCAGATAATATTGGTGGTGGTTCGATCAGTCAGAAAATAAACAATCCCATTAGCAGTCAGAAAAATGTCAAGGTTCGTCAACTAATCAGTGTAATTAGGGTTTGACAAGTTCTTGTCATCTAGAAGCTAGCTTTGCAAGTGGGATAAAATTAAATTCTTTTTTATAACTGCATTAAATTATGCAAACCATGTCAATAAAGTAAATTACCATTCAACCACAATAAAAATTCAATGTTTTTCAAGTCATTGAATAAGGATTTTAGTCAACAATGCTACCCTCATTATTTTCAAATCAGGAAACATCATCATCTTACGAAGAATTCAGATTTCTTTGTGGGTGTAGTATTGTTCTACCTTTTTTTTTTTTTTTTTTAAATGTTGCATTTTATATATTATCCAATATGCATCATCATACAATATTTCCAAATACATGATGTTTTTGATGGTGGGCTTCTAGGCGTTGTTGGTTTCTTTGGGTTATTTGGGCTTACTGTTTGGATTTGAATGGTTGTTTCCATTTATAGCAAATCAGAAATTGGTCTGTACTCCTATGACTTTTATTGCAAAAATAAAAATTAAATATTTCCTTGCCACCTTTGGTACTTTTTTATTTTATAATATTTAGTTTTTTTTTTCTTTTTTAACCTTATCATATTCAGTTGGAATTTTTTTTTTTTTTTTTTTTCTTCCAGACAACCAAAGAAATCATTACATAAAATCATGCTTACCAACATCCAGAACAAGAACCAGTAATCTAACGGTATCAGGCACTTACTTTTAAAAAAGAAATCAAAAATTCGAGCCGCTGGAGACATTCATGTGTAAGTAAACTAAAAAAAATTGAATATGCATCACAATCCCATGAAGAGGATTGAAGCTTACACAGAGCCCATGGTTTGGACATGCTTTCTTATCATTGACTGGGCTAGGGCCACTACTAAGCAGGCCCATATGATGTTGCACACTCCTGCAACCACTAAAAAAGCTTCATCCGGGTTCAAACCATCATCACTCCCATCTTGGCCGACACGCAAATACAATCGCGTAATCATGATGCCAGACGACAACGACAAGACAATCAGTCGTCTGACAGTGCAACATCCCAAGTTCACCTGAGAGATCACACACTCCGGCGCACTCGACGGTGATGATGGAGAATTTACCGGCGATAGATCCGGTATAGCAATTCCAAATCCAAAGGTTCCGATCCGGGCCGACAACACACAGGATCGTTACACAGGAGATGATATGGGCGCCATCCCAAAGCAAAAAGACTACACCGCGTTCGCAAAAAGATATGATGAACACACACAAAAAAATAATAATAATAATAATAATAATAATAAATAATAAATAAAATAAAAATTGTTAGTGATAATATGCCAAAATAATGTTGAACAAACATATCCGGGAGAGAAAATAAACAATAATAAATAAAAAATCGACCATCTATCCAAAATAGTTTTTCCTATGTTCGAAAACAAATGTTCCTTACGAAAACTTAATTTACAAAATTTTTGAAATATCCTAAATTTGGAGTGTCAGAGCTCTTTTGAAACCTTAATATCACATCCATAATTAATTGAAATTTAACCATTGAATGGAGGCTTGGTGGTATGTAATTACTGTATTTTTTTGAAAATAACTGAAATCTCTTTCACATGTAAAGGAAAAAATAAATGGCAACATTACTTTTAAGATCGAACTCATTATTTATCTCTATTGATAACTAGTTTTAGGGAGCGTCAAAATTCATCAATTTTTGGTTTTACTGCCAATTTGTTGATCTAACTTTCAGTGCACTTTCACTAATTGTTTGATAATTTAATTCAATACTTAATTTTGATCAAATTAAACACTTATTAAATTAAGTGCATTTATTAATGTAATTTGAATATCACTAAAATGCTAAACATCATTTAAAATGAGGTAAATTTTTAAGTGGAATGTTGAACATTGAAAATTTAAAAATTTTATTAAAAAATATTTATTTTTTAATTATCACTTAAAAATATATAAAAATATATTTAATTTTTTATTACCACTTAAAAACTTACATGCTTAAAATTTAACTTTTAAAATTTTTAATACTTAATTATTAATTTTATCAAACAACACCTAAGTCGTGTTGCTAAAAATTAAGCAATAAAATTTTTTAGAATTAAACTGTAAGTGTTTGTTATAAATTGAGAATTTCATTGATACACACATACATATACATATACATATACATATACATATGTATATTTTAATTTTTCAATTATAATTGATATATCATTTACTTAAAATTTTATTCCACTAACTTACAATCTTACAAAGTATCTATATTTGTATTATCAAACACATTTAAATAAATACTTAATTATTCAAAATTTTGCTATCAAAAAACCCCTTAAGGCTATGCTTTGTATGTGGGAGTGAAGTGAAATGCTAATGGAATGAGAATAAGAATGAGAATGGAACACGGGAACGAAATTAAATGCTAATAGAATGAGAATGGAATGAAATGATTATTCTCTTTCTATTATTTAGTTACAAATATAAAATTTTATAGGAATAAAACAATCATCACCATATTTTAGTTTTTCATTGATAGGACCAATTTAAAACCTAGTGTCTAGAATGAAATGAATTTCAAATTAAATTGTCTAAATACTCTTCTCGTTAAATTAAACTAATAAAATAACATTCTTTTGTAATTTTTTTTAAGAGAAATGGTTGTGATGGTGGAAGAATGGTGACAACAATAGTGGTGAAAGGCGACAATGATGGTGATGGAGGAAGGTGTCGGCAACAATGGCAGTGGAGATGATGATGATGATGACGATGACGGTGTGGCGGTGGAAGGCGTCGACAATGTTGGCATTGACAGTGGTGGAGCGGTAATTGTGATAAAAATAAGGTAATAGTGACGGCGGTGACAACAATGGTGTTATGGTGGTGGAAGACGTGGACACTGATGATGGTTTTTAAAGTTATAAGGTGAGATTTTTTTTATTTTAATTTTTAAAAAAAATTTAATATCATTTGAGAGGTTGAGATGTTAAATGAATTTTTATTTCATTCCATTAAAAAAAAAATAAAAATCACTTTAATTTTTCTACCGAAACTAAAAGAATGAATTAAATAAACATCTCATTCGTACATTAATAATGCATGCCAAAAGCATCATCATCTGCGCTCACCTGTCCCCCATAAACTTCTAATAATATCTATTTACTTTTTCGACAGACGAAAATATCTATATACTGTGTACTAGCGCAGAGGAAGATGTAAAGAAGTAGACATTAATCTCAAAATCAACTGAATGATATAGATATAAAAGCAAAAACCACTTTATTTGGAGAACCAAATAAAATATAGTGATGTCAAATTTAAGATGTAAAGGAGTTCCTCCTAATCAAAGACTTGATAATTAAAAGTATTACTAATATAATAGAGTGAATTCAAGTATAATTATAATTTGAACTCGCAATATTAATTATAGTATTATTTATAATCACAGTGTAATAAATTCTGATGAATATGATATAAATAGATCAAATTAATAGATTTATAAAAATATATAACGATATTGAATTCTCAAAAAAAAATTACACTTAACAACTTTATTTAAATTCATTAATTAATAATTTTTTTCCATAATGGTAAAGTAAATTTCATATGATACAATAATTACCCTTATTTTTTAACCTACAAGTTTTTTTAGCAAATAAAGGCCAGTGATATTACATCTAACAAAACGCGAAATGTTGTACAGTTTTTGGTCCAAAATAGTGTGAATATATTAATATATGCCACACAATTTCTCTCAAAATTGGTGTCGGAGCCTCCAACGACCATAGAATATGAAACGTTGACACTAAAATGTTGACAAACAACAGCTTTGGTTGGCTTCATGAATTCTGACTTTGAATTCTGTAACAATCTTCAGATTATAGAAGAAGCAAACGCTAAAACACGTCGATGAGACTCATAATGGATATGCATCCAGAACATCAAATAGACAAATACTACGTAGTACATAAATATACATGTATATAACCAAGACACACACATGTACACAAATATATATCGACAGAGATTTACACGATAAAGAGACATAGACACAAATATACATCGTTAGAGAGATTTGGCACATTATAGAGTGACAAAACACCATTTCAGCGCGCACACATACACAAATATTAGGAAAGCATGATACATCATCATAATAATCAGCACAAAGCGATTCCAAAGAGAATAATCTTGGTCCGGCATGGCGAGAGCCGAGGCAACCTCGACGGTGCGGCCTACAGCACCACGCCGGACCACAGAATCCAGCTGACTGAGCAAGGCATTGCCCAGGCGAGGCTCGCCGGAGAGAAGATCCGGCGAGTGATCTCCGAGGACGGACGGTTGGACAACTGGAGGGTTTACTTCTACGTGTCGCCGTACGAGCGGACCAGATCGACGCTCCGCGAGATCGGACGGTCGTTCTCGAAGGAGAGGGTGATCGGAGTGAGAGAGGAGTGTAGGGTTAGGGAGCAAGATTTTGGGAATTTTCAGGTGGAGGAGAGGATGAAGACGATCAAGGAGACTAGAGAGAAGTTTGGGAGGTTCTATTACAGATTTCCTGAGGGTGAATCTGCAGCTGATGTGTTCGATCGAGTGTCAAGTAAGATTCTAAAGCAATCTCGGTTCTCGATTTTAGTTGATTTTGATTTCGTTTCTTAGATTTCACTGTTTTTGTTTTTGTTTTTGTTCAGTTATTTATTATTATTAGTGCATTGTCTTCTTCCAGAAGTGTAAAATATAGGAGGAAAAGAAACTTTCTAGTAGTATTATAAAACTCTGGAAGTACTGCTAATCAGTATATTGTCTTATTACAAGAATGGGTCTTTTTTTTTTTTTTTGGGATAATAATTAGAAAAACTTTGTTAGGAAAATATAGAAAGATATTTTAATTAATCTGAATAGACTTGAACCAACTAACTAAGATGTCAATGGTAAAATGTTGAAACCCAGGTCCCTTTCTGGTCCTGGAGGGATGATATCAACTAGTTGACGTCCATCCGATCCGCTATGGTTATTTCATTATTGTGCTTTGGGATTGTATTTAATAACCATTAGTTGTTTTGGTTTCAGAAATATAGACAACGAAAAAGAACAGAATGAAAATGAGTTGTCAATGCATTTGAAAGTGATTCCTGTATAATTTCTCCACCAAAAAAAAAAAGTTCTTTAACAATGGTAAAATGTTGTTTCTTGCATTTGCCATTTTGTTCTTGTTGGACAGGGATGAAACAACAGAGAAATGACGTATCATCAAACGTTTTCGCAATCTATGTTCTCAAAAGTGTAGTTTGTTTGGGAAATGGATTTTTGTTAAAGCAGAGGACAAATCAAAATGCAACACTTAAAGAAGAATTGGATTGGGGTATGATATGAAATAGATTAAGAATGGTTTGAGAACTTTTAGAAGTGTAACATTGGTTTAGGAGAAGAGAATTGCAGTTTATATGGTCTTCTGATAGTTGATTTGTAATTTTTGTATTAGACAGCCAGCAGTCTTTATTATAAGGGAATTAGAAGAACAACAAAGATAAGAAAAGTAGGTAGAAGATAAATGAGTTAAGATGAAGAAGAAATAAATATTCACAAATCTCTTGAACAAAATACTATCACTGTAATTTCTCAATCAATTTAACCTCGGAATGTGCTATTATAACAATTTTATAGACTTCAGAACCTTAGTAAAAAATAATCCTAAAGGACAAAACTAACCAAAGCAACTTTGTTTTCTTTTATAAAGTGATTTTATATGTGTATCAAAAACATATACAATTCTTTAGGATGCAAGCCTCTCCAAGACAGAGAAACTATGTGAATCTAGTATGTGAAGCCTATACAAGTTTTACATGAGAGAATGGAGTAATGAGGCCAACTCTTAGTAAGAGGGTAAACTTTGGAATGTTACTACAGCAGCTAAACCCAAGGTGGTCTTACATTATGTTGTTTCATTTTTTAAGAAAATAGAAAATTCATTCTGTTAAGGCTAATATAGTTATCCTACCATGTTAGAGTTGAAGATTCTATTAAGTACTGACAAGGATGAGTAGGAAAATCCTATAAAATGACTATATAGGTTATTCCTTGAGAAATTTAAAACTATTTCTTTTCTTTGTTTTTGGAAAATAGTGAAGGGTAATATACATATTTAATTCAATTAAGTTGGAGTCCTAATGGAGCCTCTGCTTTATAATAGAAGGAAAAAGCATTGATTAACATTGTGGAGGTACTAATCTTGTTTGTAGTTGTGAAAATTGTTTTGCCTTTTGTCCTGAAAAATAAGAAAAGCTAGTTTTAAACTGCTAATCATAGCAAAGCTGTGTATCTTAAATGCAACAGTCTGAACCACAAAGGAGCATGCAGCATGGCCTCAAGCTTCCTGTCCGAGTACTGCTAGGCATATGACATATGACCTGTGAATCTTTTCATTTCTTTTTGCCTTTTTTTTAAAAAAAAAATTAAAAATTCAAGCTTTGATTTCATTAGCAGAAAGAATTGTAGCCTATGGATGAATGAGAAAAACAAAATTTCATTTAATTACCTAAACTATCTTTGGATGTCAAAAACAGCAGACAGAAAATTAGATGAGTGTCATATGTCTAGCTTGTTTCGTTCTATACACTAGGAATTACAATGTGTGCTAGGCTGCTAGCCAACTCATCTTCATGCAATGAACTCAGTAGTTTCTCTAACCACATTATAAGTCACATATACTTGCACATACCCATAATTCACTTTAAGTGATCACTAATACTGCAGCATATAAAATTATAGTAGGCAGTTTGGAGATGTAGTAGCTTCCATCCAAATGTTGACCTAAGAAGTGCTTTTATGGAAGTTTGACTTGTAACTTTGCCTTGTTTTAAGTTCTGACTCCGTATGACGAAATTATGTGTCAATCTTTCACCTATTGTTTTGTCCACATGTTTGATGGTTGATCCTTCATATATAGAGATTAAAGATTATATATGTATGCATATTCATATATATGTACGTATGTTAATGTGTAATTATGTATGTGTGTGTGTTTATGTTTGTAGGAATAACTAGTTGGCCCTTCATATATCAATAACCAAATGAGAAGCAGTATTAAAAAAGATTATATATACTAAGAACCAAATTTAAATGTGCAGGTTTTCTCGAATCTCTATGGAGGGACATAGACATGAACAGGCTTCACCATGATCCGTCCAATGACCTAAATCTTATTATCATAAGCCATGGGCTAGCTTCAAGAGTTTTCCTTATGAAGTGGTTCAAGTGGACAGTCGAGCAGTTTGAGTACCTAAACAATCTCGAGAATTGTGATTTTCGAGTGATACAGTTAGGAGATGGTGGAGAATACAGCTTGGCAATCCATCACACTGATGAGGAGTTGCAAGAATGGGGACTCTCCCCTGATATGATAGCTGACCAGAAGTGGCGAGCTCATGCCACTAAGGGTGAAATGAATGAAAAATGTCCATGGTACCTTGATGCTTTCTTTGATCAACTACCAGATTCAGATGACAATGTTGGAGGCGAGGATGACTAAGTTTTACTTCTTTTGTTTCTTTTGATTTTATATTCATGGGTTACCCTGATATTAGGTTGCATATTCATTTGATTCAATTGTGTACTTGACTGCAATTTGGTCACTGTAATTTGGTTGAATGAAGAATTAGAAATTTTAATAATTAATTTGTTTTGTGAACAAATTTTCATAATTCTTACTGCAAGATAAACAGCCATGCTTGTATGTCCACCCTGATAGGATGAAAAAATGGAAGGAGTACAGAATTGGGAAGAAGAAGAAAAAATAAATGTTCAAACATGGGACTTCGAAACATGCAGTGATGGATACATTTTTTAGCTTATGGGCACAAGGTTTGTGCTACATTTGCTTTTGTCATAGAACTTAAATGGAGATCCTGAACTCTACCAAACAGAATAATTTGAAGGTTTTCTTTTCCAGCTTGCCTAGACCTAGCCGAGCTAGAAGCTCCGGATGGGAGCACAGGACATCAGGAGAGGATCCGGATCCAATTGACCTTGAGCTTATGTTTTTTTTTTTTTTTTTTTTTCCCCCTCTTGGACTTGGCTTCACTGACATGGCAGGTATTTGTTCAGGTCACTGATAGTGGGCTAACTTTTTCTCTTTGGTGACTTTCAGGAAATCTATTTTGCCAATGACACGTCAATATTCTCGCCGACACCATTCTTATTTTGAAGTTTGATCAGTACGTGTTCTTCTTTATGCTTCATCCAATCTTGTACATAGGAATTGTGGACGAATGAATTGATTGGAGTGTGATTAGATGAACTTTTACAAATGCTATTGATGAAATCAGAGAAAAGTTAATTTTACTATGTATATATACTTTTTGCAAGTTTGGTGCTTTTTGTTTTGCAGAATAATTTCCATCCCTATACCACCTTAATAAAAACATTAGAATAAGGTAATGCTGTGTGATGAAGTTAAAGCCAACTGCATAAACTGTTCTACAAACAAATGAGCTGCAAGCAGAGAAGATGAGGCGAGTGATCTCCAAGAACGGCCGGTTGGATAACTAGATGGTGTACGTGTCGCCGTATGAGCGGACCAGATCGACGCTCCTTGAGATTGGAAGGTCGTTCTCGAAGAAGAGAGTGATCGGAGTAAGAGATGATTGTAGAGTTAGGGAACAAGATTCTGGGAATTTTCAGGTGGAGGAGAGGATGAAGGTGACCAAGGAGACTAGAGAGAGCTTTGGGAGGTTCTATTACAGATTTCCTGAGGGAGAGTCTGCTATTGATGTGTTCGATCCAGTGTCAAGTAAGATTCCGAAACAATCTCTGTTCTTGATTTTTGTTTATTTTGTTTTTGTTTTTTTCAGTTTGATTACTGATAGTTGTTTTTATTATAATTATATTGTCTTCTTCCAAAATTTTAACAGATAAGGAGGAAAAGAAACTTTTATACGTATATGTTCCTTTCTTTTTGATAATAATTAGAAGAACTTTGTTAGGAAAAAATCAGAAAGATATGTTAATTAATCTCAAAAAACTTTTGCCGCTTTTGGTGTGTAGGAATGGAATGGAATGGATTGCCCATTCCAACCATTCCTTTGTTTGTATGCAATTTAAGGCAGGAATGACCATTCCATTGGAATAAAGATTCATTCCATAACTAAACCTATGGAATGGCCATTTCTTTCCATAGTTAGATTTTTTTTTTTTTTTTTAAAAAAAAAAAAATCATATTCTCAATAAGCCCTTCATCACATTCCAATGAGTACACAGTTGTCTCTCACAAAAACCTTTCACTTTCCATTCCTGCATCTCTCAAGCTTCTCTTTCTCAGACGTAGGGTTTTTCACCTTTCCCTCTCTCACGTTCTGAATATTCTTATGGCAGCCATTGGCAAAAATTTGCAGGACCTTCTATCTGATTGATCTCTCAATTTTCAGAATATATCTATATTTTTTTTGTTGCATCTTTCTTTTAAAACCTCTGATAATTTGATCATTTTTCTCTCTTTGAACAATTAAAAAAGGTTGAGTGCTGCTGGGTTGATCAATCAAGAAAAATGATGGGCCAATTTCATAGTCACTACTACCTATACTAATAAGTAATAACAGTATTTTATTATATCAGTGGCAAATCTTATTCACCAGGAATCAATGACTTGAAACTGGGATTTGATTAATGGAATCCTTAACAAGAGAGATAGGGACTTAAAAAATTTCAACTTCCTCTTGGATTGGTGAGACCTTCACTGATGATTCCTTGTTTCTTTTGCTTTCTTCTAGGAACCTTTATTTTTTATTTTTTATTTTTTATTTTATTGAGATCGATATATCAGGTTGCACATGTCAAACCAAACAATGGAATGAGAACGAATACTAATGATCCATTCCATTCACATTCTATTCCCTTCCAATGTGCATTTCATTCCATTCTTGCACGCCAAACGCAGCATTAAAGCAATTGAGGAAGATGTCAATAATGAATTGTTGAAGTCCAGGTGCCCTTGGTTGTGCTTTCGAATTGTATTAAATAACCATTACATGTCTTGATTTCATAATTATAAAAAGGGAAAAGAACGGAATGAAAATGACTTGGAAATGCATCTGAAAGCGCTTCCTCTAGAATTTCTTCACAAAAAAAATAATTACGGGTTCTTTAACAATGGTAAAATATTATTCTTGCGTTTGCAATTATGTACTTTTTTGACAGGGATGAAACAACCGAGAAACAATGTATTATCAAATTTTTTGCCATCTATATTCTCAAAAGTGCGGGAAATGGAGTTTTATTAAAGCATAGGACAAATCAAAATGCAACACATAAAAAAAACTAGGGTTAGGGTTTGATATGAAATAGATCAAGGATAGTTGAGTACTTTTAGAAACATAACATAGGTTACTGAGAAGATAATCATTGTTATAAAGGTCTTCTGATAGTTGATTTGTGATTTTTGTAAAAGACGGCCAACAATCTTTATTATAAAGAAATTAGAAGAATAACAAAGACAAGAAAAGTGTGTAGAAGAGAAATGAGAGAAGAAGAAATAAATATCACAATCTCTTGAACAAAATTTTAATACTATCATTTCTCAAACAACCAAAACAACTTTTGTTTTTCTTTTGTTAAGTAATTTGTGTGTGTGGGTGTGTGTGTCAATAACATATACATATACAACACTTTAGAATGCAAGCCTCTGCAATACAAAGAGAGAACAAGTGAATCTAGTAGATGAAGCGTATACAAATTTTACATGAGATAGAATGGAGTAATGAGGCCAACTCTTAGTAAGAGGGTAAACTTTGGTATTGCTACTACAGCAGCTTAACCCAAGGTGGTCTTATATTTTGTTGTTTTAGTTTTTGATGAAATAAAAAAATTCATTCTATTAATGCTAATATAGTTATCTGCCCGTGTTATAGTTGAACATTATATTAAGTACTCGCAAGGATGAGTAGGAAAATCTTATAAAGTGACTTTATAGGTTATTCCTAGAGAAATTTAAAACTATTTCATTTCATTGTTTTTGAAAAAAAAAAAAGTGAATGGAAATTTTCTTTTCTTTTTTGAATTAAATTATGTTGGAGTACTAATGGAGCCTCTGCTTTTGGAATAGGAGGAAAAAGAGTTCTGATTTACATTGTGGAGGTACTAATCTTGTTTGTAGATGTGAAAATTGTTGTCTTTTGTCCTGAAAAATAAGAAAGTCTAATTTTAAAATGCTAATCAGAGCAAAACAGTGTATCTTAAATAAAAAGGGTCTGAACCACAAAGGAGCATGCAGCATGACCTCAATCTTTCTGTCTGGGTACTGCTAGGCAAATGACCTATGAATCTTTCCATTTCTTTTTTGCCTATATATATATATATATATACATATTCTAGCTTTGATTTCATTGGCGGAAAAAATTGCGGCCTGTGGATGCATGAGAAATGCAAATTTTCATCTAATTACCTAAACTATCTTTGGGTATTAAAAATAGAAGACAGAAAATCAGGTTAGTTCGTATGTGTAGCTTGTTTTGTTCTATCCGCTAGGAACTGGGTATTACAATGTGTTCTAGCCAACCCACCTTCATGCAATGGACTTGGTATAATTTCCATATTATAACTTGGTATAATTTCCATATTATAACTCACATATACTTGCACATTCCCTTAATTCACTTTAAGTGATCACTAATAGTGCATATAAAATTATAGTAGGCGGTTTTCCTAGGGTATATATATATATATATATATATATATGTAGTAGGCTGTTTGGAGATGTCAGATGTGGTAGCTTCCATCCAAATATTGACCTAAGAATTGCTTTTGTGGAAGTTTGACTTGTAACTTTGACTTGTTTTAAGTTTTGACTCTGTATGACGAAATAATGTCTCAATCTTTCACCTATTGTTTTGGCAATATGTTTGATGGTTGATCGTTCATATATAAAGATTAAAGAGTATATATGTATGCATGTTCGTATATGTACATAACTGTAGACATACATATATATATGTGTGTGTGTGTATGGGAACTACTAATTGGTCCATCATATATCGATAACCAAATGAGAAGCAGCTGTATATGGCTAATCTCAATGGGCCTCTAAAGAACTAGTAAAATCCTTGTCGGCCAACCTACATCGTTGTACTCACTGAAATGTTGGACTGGTTAAATCTGACCTCATCAGCCGACCTGTATGCTTTCAGAAAAGTTTGGCTTGGTGTCTCTAATTACGTGTGTTTCTTCTGTTGATTTCATGTTGTTGTTGTTGTTGTTTTCAGAAAAGTTTGGCTTGGTGTCTCTAATTACGTGTGTTTCTTCTGTTGATTTCATGTTGTTGTTGTTGTTGTTTTTTTTTTTAAATTTTTTTTTTTATGTTAAAAAATAAATCCTTTGTTTTTTTCTTTCTTTCGGTAATGCAAGGCTCATAATCACTGCACTCTGATGTGCAAATCGGGATTTAATGAGTTCTAATATGTAATGTCAAGCAGTTCGCTTTCGCTGTCCAAGAAGTGCATTTTTGGAACTGACTTGGAACGCAAAGTGGTCATGAAAATTAAAAGTTCCTGCTTTTCTTGGATTCTTTTTCTTCTTCTTTTTTGGGTCTTCCCCTTCTCTTTGGTATGAAACAAAAGGGTGATTTTTACCCCCTACTTGTACAGCCATAATGAATATTTGTGCATTTGTTCATTTAGTTGCTAAAAGAATGAGGCAATGAGCCGTGTCAAAAAGATTTAGGCTCAACAATTCTTTAGTCTTGAAAATGATTTTATGCTAAGAACCAAATTTAAATGAGCAGGTTTTCTTGAATCTCTATGGAGGGACATGGACATGAACAGGCTTCACCATGATCCCTCCAATGATCTAAATCTTATTATCAAAAGCCATGGGCGAGCTTCGGGTTTTCCTTATGAAGTGGTTCAAGTGGACAGTTGAGCAATTTGAGAGTTCCTAAACAATCTCAGGAATTGTGATTTCCGAATGATGCAGTTAGGAGATGGTGGAGAATACAGCTTGGCAATCCATCACACCGATGAGGAGTTGCAAGAATGGGGACTCTCTGCTCACATGATACCTAACCAGAAGTAGCGAGCTCTTGCCACCAAGGGGTGAAATGAATGAAAAATGTCCTTGATATCTTGATGCTTTCTTTGATGATTCAGATGACAATGTAGGAAAAGGGGATGAATGAGATTTTTCTTTTTCTTTATCTTTTTCTTTCAATTTTATGTGCATGGGATACCCTGATATTGGGTTCCATATTCATTTTATTCAATTGTGTACTTGACTGCAATTTGCTCACTGCTTTTAGGTGAACCAGGAATTAGAAATTTTGATAATTGATTTATTTTGTGAACCATTGATGACAAATTTTCATAAGTATTGATGTAAGATAACACAACCATACATATTTGTCCACCGCTCCACCCTGATAGGATGAAATGTTCAAACATGGGAGGGACTTCGAAACATGAAGTGATGCGTACATTTTTAGCTTATGGGAACAAGGTTTGTGCTACATTTGCTTTTGTCACAGAACTTAAATGGAGATCACAAGTTCAACAAAACAGAACAATTTGAAGGTTTTCTTTTCCACCTAGCCTCGACTTAGCCGTGCTTGGAGCACCGGATGAGAGCACAGGGCACAGGAGAGGATCCGGATCCAGTCGAGCTTGAGCTTATTCAGGAGTACAAATGAAACTTGAAAGGGGATCTAAAACTAGGACAGCTAACAAAATTTCCAAGTTAGTTCCCATATGCCACAATTATGCACCTTGTTTGCTCCAAAATGCCCACTTTTGGTCCTAGCATGTTACACTACTTGGAAAGGGTCTAACACTAGGATACCTAACCAAATTTCATAAATTAATTCATTACCCAAATGGACATCCTTCTGATCTGACATTGGGCTGGGCCACATAGCTTTGGCAACCTTGACAAAGGGTTGGCTTCATGTGAACCCTAACAGAGCCCAATCCAAATGGATTGGTAAGTTAGGCCCGTGGACGGGACCAGCTCACAAACTTCTCACAAGTTCACAACTACAATAAAAGTTATACATTACCTTTGGAATAAAATTAACCATCCTGAACTATTTAAAGTTTGCAAAAAAAGGTCCAACAAAATTGTCAAGTGGTCATTAAATTTGTCCTTAAAAGTATTAAAATGTCCTTAAAATTAATTGCACAAAACCCCTCAAACTATAAGAATTTGGACTAAGTGAATTTGTACCTTAGCTCTTGAAATACCAGACTATTTAAATGTGTTACGGTGTCAAGTCTCTTAAAACACTTCATAATTTATCATCAGACACATATAGTATTTTCGTCCCACTTCCACTAGACAATTATCGAAAAAATTCATCTATATAGCCCCTTGGGATTTAAACTCATTAATATATTTTAAAATTAAATAAGAAATTTTTAATAATTCAGAATGATTATTTGCTAAAATTTTAATGCACCATTGCAATTTTTGTAATTATAAATAAGTAACCTTATACTATTGGATTGATACAAGGGTTAACTTGGATAGAGATAAACATATGACATATGTACACCACACCAATCCACTTACTCCTATTTTGGTTGGAGGGTATTAGAAGAAAAATAAAAGAAAGGTAATGAACGGAAATTAAATATTATGTTAGGTATGAATTTTTAAAGGAAACGAAAAAATTTGGAAAGAAACAAATTATATATGATATGTTAGTTTTGTTATCGAAAGGGAGAAAATGGAACGAAAGGAAAGAAAATACTAACTTTTTTAAAAAAAAATTGTTAATATTAAATTTGCCCTTATTTTTATATAAAACAAAATTTATCAAAAAAATTATGGTAATAAATTCATTATAATATTTTTTTTTCTGCCATTTCCTTTCTTTTCTCTCCTCAAATATAATTACTACCATTTTTTTTTTTTTTTCTCTTTTTTCTTTATTAATCAATAATTGTAACTATGTTCTCTCATTCCCTTTATATTCTTTTATCTACCAACTAATCTTATCATTTTTATAAAATTAGTCATCAACTTCTGATAAAAACAAAACCCTAAAATAAAAAAGTTTTAATCATTGACTGGCAATTGGAAGTTGATCTAATTATATCTCTGTGCATTCAATTCGCTGATGCAATTCGGCGTTCTTGAAACCCAATCAAACACACACAGTACACAACAGTTACATATTTAAAGAAAGACCTGTTCATTACTAAAAAAGCCAGACCCGAGTCTTTCTCTCTCTAGCTATTTTTTCTCTACAGATTTTGCACTGCAAACCCCATAAATTTCATCACTCTTTTTTGGGATCTGGAACACTTTAATTTCCCGAACACAGTAAAGATTTGATTTGATAGGTTTTTTCTCGGAATGCGAGCTTCTTAGTGATAGATTTCTTGACAAATTCTTCATCGTGTAATGTGTGAATATTATTATATTGAAAAGTGTGCAATGATTGTGTTTTGTTTCAAACTCTGATTTTTGACCCAGATCTTGAAATGTATTGCCGATATTCTGAATTGGGTGTTTTTCATTTTCGAAATCAAATCTGAGTTGGGTTTTTTTGTTTTTGCTTTTCGTGGTTCAAGAAAGTTGCGAATTGATTTTTTTTTTTTTTTTGAGGAATGATGGCTCACCCATCAGACCATAGGTTGTGTAGTCCTGGATTACTGAGATTAGTGTTGGTTTTGGTGGGTGTTGTTTTGGTGGGTTTTGTAGTAGGACCGCCATTTCTCTGGCTCTTGAAGGGAAATTCATCTGTTGAAGCTTCATGTCCTCCATGTTCTTGTGATTGCTCCTCAGAGACCATCCTCTCCATGCCTTTAGGTGAGTTCATTCTTGACTTTTGTACAATTTTCTAAACAGTAGTGTATTTGTTGATCAGTCGTTTTACATATATATATATATATATATATATATATATATATATATATATAATGTTAGTTTCTGTAGAAAAACAGTTACATTCTGACTTGACTGAGAATTCATTATTCTGTGGTCAATGGAGGTTTTATAAGATATTGGATTGTTGGTTGATTTTTTTTTTTTTTACTTATCTGGTTCTATATCTCTAGTCTTCCTAAATTACTAAATTACTGAAATTTTAATTTGTTATGAGAAATGTATCAATAGGTACTATTAGCCTTAATGACTTGACTTTTATATACACTTAAACTATCTGACTTGATATTAGATTATTTATGAGAGCAAATCATACATGTGCAGCTCCATTCGGATAGCTTTGATGTTTGGTCATTCAAGGATTACATTGTAAACTAAGATTCTAGTTTTGGGGATCAGGATGCTTTTTAGGAAAACTGTACTAATGGACATTGTAATGCTATGCCCATGCCCTTAGATGTTTCTATTTTTAGTTAATTGTTTGAGTGGGACATTGATGAGAAGCTAGGGGTGGTATTAATTAAGGATAAGATGAAAAAGGGGAAAAACATTGAAGTCTTCAAGATTGTTATGAAAATAAGGACTAAATAGGAGTTTATGAGAAGAAAGAGAAAATTAATGACAAGAAAATAAATAGCGCACACACAAACGAGACAATGATTTACGTGGTTAGGCTATGCTTATGTCGACGGGGAGAAGACAGAATAATAATTTACTATAGAAATAAAGAGATACAAGGCAAAGTGGCTCACATCCAAAAACCAAATACATCCATGCTCTCTCACTCTCAATGATACTGTTACAAACTCACTCAATTGATGATTTCGGATGCCTTTCATCAAATGTGTGCAAGGCTATGTATAGCCCAAAAATACTTGGTGTCCAAGTATATTTCAAAGCTTCTTTTGGAAGCCAAATGGCACTTGTTGCCCAAGAATTTCTAAGCTTCCTTTGGAAGCTAATTTGGAAGCTTCACCATCACACTTCTGTAGCCAACATACTTCTTTCTCTTGTAATCTTTGTGCAAGTTAGGTTGTAATAATTTTTGAGCCACATAATTCAACAAATCTCCACCTTGGCCAAAAATTCCAAATGAGCCATTGTATCTTTGCCAAACAATCTGTCTTCTCCACAAAACAAATTAATTAAGAATTTTAGTTAAGTTTGAGTCATCCTCAAACTTAATCCTCAAGCTCTCATTCTTCAACCCATGCATGTCTTGCGCAACCACAAGCATACCTCCAGTATTTCTGTCAAACTCTAAACGCTTATCAAAAACACCCTCAGAAATTCCAAGTTTGACATCTCCTTCACTAACCTTCTCCAACCACCCACAAGCCACCGGCTGGTAATGAAAAGTCATCTTCTCACCCTTGTGGAGAATAGGATGTCCTTGACTTTTCCTCGCATCTCTATTGTGACCAACTACTTGCCTCGCACACATCTTAATGGCACTCGAATGAATTATCTCATTGCCACCAAGATTATTGCAAGTCAATATCACACCAGTCCTCATAGATCTGCCTCCCTGTAAGGATTGCTGCAATTTCGGTTGCCATCTGAAAACGGATTTCATTCTCCCATCACGTTGTGTAGTCCCCTCACAACCTTTTTGAGAACTAGGATCGTCACTCTTCTTTCTAACTCTTCCTTTACCAAGACCTGAATGCAGATTTCTGTGAACTGTAGAAGATCCTATAATAGCTCCACATGTTACTGTATTCCCTTGGAAAAGATACAAATTTTTCACCTTGGTGCCCTGTATCACCACAAGAGAATCCATCACGACCATCATTACTCCACCTCTGTTACAACATTGTAGCCTTTGGAGTCTAGCACACCTACTGAAATAAGATTCATCTTTAGATCCGGTACATGTCGCACATCTGACAATGTTCTAGTGCGTCTTGATCTTAACTGTTCCAATTGCCAAAATTTTGAAAGCTTTCCTGTCCGCTGTCAAAATCGAACCACCTTTCACCTTTTTATAGGAAGAGAAAGAATCCCTACTGGGACACATATGAACGGAACAACCAGAATCAAGAATCTAACTGTCATTAAATGACATACCTGAACACAAAGTTGTCATGAGAACATATTCGTTACTTTCCGAATCACTCGTAGCAGTTGCCACAGAAGCTGCTTCTTGAACCTTCTCTTTGCCATTCCCATTCTTTGCCTTTAGTTTGGGACAGTGCTTGATGATGTGCCCTATCTCGTGACAGTAGTAACATTCCACATTTTCATGAGATCTAGATTTGCCCCTATTATCAGAACTCTTTGTCTCACTTTTGCCTCTTACAAATAGACCCTCGGCCTGTTCATCTCCAATATTCCTAGACACCTTTTTCCTCAACTCCTGAGAGTTCAATGAGGATTTAATATCCTCCACAGTAATAGTGTCTTTTCCATAGAGCAATGTGGTAACAAAATGCTCATAGGAAGGAGGCAAAGAACACAACAAAATAAGGGTTTGATCCTCGTCATCAATTTTATTATCAGTATTTTTCAAATCCATAATAATAGAATTGAAATTATCAATATGCTCCTTAAGAGGCATACCTTCCTTCATACGAAGGGTGTAGAGTCTCTGTTTTAGGTAAAGTCTGTTGGTGAGAGATTTCGTCATATACAAACTCTCCAATTTTAGCCACAACTTTGCCGCCGTGTCTTTATCAATAACTTCACACAGCACCTCATCAACTAGATTTAAGAGAATTGCATTGCGCACCTTTTCATCGACCTCCTCCTTGTCTTCATTGGACATAGTTGTTGGCAATTTGTCCTTCCCGAACAATACCTTCTTTAGACCTTGTTGAGGCGGCAGGGCCAGCAATTTAATTCGCCAAAGACTGAAGCTAATCTTGCCATCAAATTTCTCAATCTCATATCTGGTCGACATCTCAAAAAACTCCCCAAAATATTTCTCGATGAATAGTACCGTATTTGTGAACAATACCTAAATAGTATCTGTGAACAGTATTGTACATATGAACAGTGCCAATGAATAGTACCATACACGTGAACAATATCTGTGCACAATACACGAACCCGAACTCTGATACTAGTTTGTTATGAAAATAAGGACTGAATAGGAGTTTATGAGAACAAAGAGAAAATTAATGACAAAAAAATAAATAACGCATACACAAACGAGATAAGGATTTACGTGGTTCGGCTATGCCTACGTCCACGGGGAGAAGATAAAACAATATTTCACTGTGGAAATAAAGAAATACAAGACAAAGTGGCTCACACCCAAAACTCAATTACACCCAAACTCTCTCACTTTCAATGATACTGATACAAACTCACTCAATTGATGATTTCGGATGCCTTTCATCAAATCTGTGCAAAGCTATATATAGCCCAAAAATACTTGGTGTCCAAGTATATTTCAAAGCTTCCTTTGGAAGCCAAATGGCACTTGTTGCCCAAGAATTTCTAAGCTTCCTTTGGAAGCTTCACCATCACACTTCTGTAGCCAACATACTTCCTTCTCTTGTAAGCTTTGTGCAAGTTGGGTTGTAATAATTTTTGAGCCACATAATTCAACATCAAGATGATTAGGCTGTGTGCAACAAAAATAAAGGAATGTGAAGCACTAATTGGTTCAAGTTGAAAGGTTTAAGTATGATAAAAGCTATAATACCCGGACTTGGGTAAGTGTATCAGAGGCAAGTGCGTGTTTTAAGTGTCAAATCCTAAATCTTATGATACATAGATATGTGTTCGTATGCACGTCCCCAACCCACACCATAGTGTAAAATCTGGATCATTTCATCGAGCACCATTTATTTTAGATAAAAATGTGCTCTGAATCTATTGTACTACGTACTACACATTTTATAACTTAATGTTTTATTTTAGTGTAAAATCCATTTTGTTGGTTTATAAGAATATACTCAATTTTTACTCGAATTAAATGGGATGTGGTAAAAGAAAAGAGTTTCAACTATCTCGTAGATAGTAAACCCATCTTTGCTATTAAATTTGAGTTTTTTCTTCTTCAATCAAGCGATGTGAAGGACCAGTGTCAATTTGGGTTCGTGTGTGGGACACATGTCCTTTAACCCATACCCATGTTGTGTCGTGTTGACACAAGTATATGAAGGGAAATGGGAGAGTCCATGTAACAGAGGATAAGAGAAGGTAAAACATAATGTGGTGAAATCTCAGATGTCTAGTTCGTCTCAGTTGCCAATTCAGCATGGGGATTTGTTATCTAAACCACATGTCAAATTTTCTCGTTTAGCAGATCATTTATATGAAGAAACCTGAGCTGTTAGAATCAGGAAGAACTACAATGGTGAGAAAAACTCAGACATCAGTCAAGGAAACTGAATGGATTTTGGAAATTTGAACTCAATTATACTTTTCCTCTTATGACCCGTATATAATAAGCTCATCCATGCCTGATTTCTTTCATCATTTTTTTTTTTTTGTTCTTTTTTTCCTCCTTCCGCATGTCTCATGTTAATTATGTCAAACCAAAGCCGTGTCATGTCTGGTTTTGGTAAAAAAAAATTCTTGATTTGTTGGCATCTCTATTTGGAAACCAGGTGTTTTGAGTGTATGAATTGTCCTTTGGTCCTTTGGTGCCATATACTTTCGATTTGCATTCCTGAGGCATGTGTGTCAGGAAAGTTAAATAAAGTCTCTGACCTCCTCACAGCCTTCATTTTCTGGTAAATTTGATTTTGGCCACAATCACTCCTTTAAGAATATCTATTATATGACTAGATAGCTAGCAGATAATAGCAAATCAAGATCTCTATGTTTATGCAAATTTCGTTGCTGTTGGAGTTGGCCTTTTCGCACTAGCAATACCTCTTCCCCCAACCCCACTCGTACCACCCATCTTCTTCTTTCCCCTGGGGTACAGCATATCCAAGTAGTGGTGACATACTTTTAACAGTTGTCATTTCAACTTCCATTATGACCCTAAAAAAAAATTAAATGAATAAAGGAAGGAAAGAAAACTTCCATTTCGATGAGTTGATATTGTGGATCAGAGACGCTTGTAATTATTTTATTTTTTAATCCTAACAAGTTACTGAAATCAAGGATATTGTTTGACTTTTAATCCTGCTTTTTCTCCATTATTTCCTTCAGTGTGTATCTTCATGACTTCATGTCTGCTAGTATTATTAACCTATTGCATCTAACTTCCCATTTAAGAAACTATTAAATTTTGTACTTTGAATTTACATCTATTGTCTTGTAGGACTTGTAAACAGCTCATATTCAGGTCAGCTGATCTGCATTATACCTGTCCTTTTTGTCCAGTAGTTCTTGTTTAGTGCTCCAGTGTTTTCCATGATTGGCAACCAGCTGGGAATATTTCAATCCCATCTGCTAGATTTGAATTCTAATAACCATTAAAAGAGGGATGGTGATGATTCACTTATTAGAAGTGATTGGTTGATGGAAAGATATGTGATCATAATAATAAAACTTAATTACAACTAGGTAGATGCAAACCTAAGGATGATTGTGAAATTGGAAATTAATTTCTTGAAACAAATTAAGCTGGAAATGAATATGAGAAATATGGATTATAGCATGTTGAGTTACTTTTGCTAATATCGAAACTAATTAGAAGTTTTTATTTATTGGTTTTAGTGTGTATTTCTTATTTCATCTACTGTTTTTTTTTAAGTTAGTTTTAGCAAGCTATATTTTGCACTAATTAGTTTGCCAGTTCTACATATTCATATTGGATATGGGTAGTGTGACTTTTGATAGAGAGAGTAATTTGTTAAAAGCATTCCTTGATTTTTAGTAAGCGGTTAAAATTGATATAAACCTTCAACAAGTTACTTGATTTATCAATTTTATATATCTTGCTAATAATTTTTACAAGAGGAATTGCTCCCTTTGTTGGAAACAGGAAGTGTGTCCAACAGTTTCATTGAGAAACATCAAGTTGTGGGGGTTACTAGTAGCATTTTAATCTGTCTACAAGAAATAAATTTTATTCTATTTTTTTTTTTAAAAAAACAAACTATCATATCAGTCTCCTTTATTGTATATGCAGACTGCGGCAAAGACGATCCTGAGATGAGTGAGGAGATGGAGAAGGATATTATTACTTTACTTTCAGAGGAGCTTAGTTTACAGAAAAATGTTTCCAATGATAACTTAGAACACACAAAGGTGTTGATAAAGGATGCTAGGCAAACCTCTTCACACTATCAAAAAGAAGCAGAGAAGTGCAATACAGGAGTGGAGACTTGTGAAGAAGCAAGAGAGAAGGCTGAAGCAGCACTGATAGAAGAGCGTAAACAAACAGAAGAATGGAAGAAGCGAGCTCTTGAGCATGGGTGGAAGGATGAACGAGAAGTGTATTAGCTGCTTCTTTTTCCCCTCATTGATAGTGATCCATCGCAAATATGCTTGTATTCTTATTGCCCATGGGATCCATTATGTGAATATTTCTCTTTTTCTTTTTTCCATTTTTCTCTTTGATCCATTTTGAGAATTATTACAATTGACCTGCATTGAAGGAGAGAGTAAGTAGTTGTAAGCATTTCCCACTTATTGTGTAGGCTTTTCCACTTATTATGTATATGACAATGACATATTTTGTTCTTGAAATGAAGTGGATGAAAATGACAAGTGACTTATATTTTATTTTAGTATGCTTTTTGGTCTAACAATGAAATTGTTTTCTCATGTATGGGACATGAAAGCATTTAATCTATTATCCTTTCTGTGGGCTGTTCATCTTGAACCATGCATTGATATCAATTCACTAATTTGGTCCTAACAATCCAAATTGCCACAAATTGACTGTCCTTGTGCTCCAAGGACAAAGAGGATGTTCTGCTTTATAAATCAACCAGATTCAGATTTTATGGAAACAAATTGGTTTTTGATAAACCAGTTAGGTTTGTTTGCTAACAGCTCCTGTCTACATTGGCAACCTAAGTTGCAATACTAGATACTGCTCCTGTCAACCCCAAGGGGAAATACTTGCAACAATATAATGTGTGCGCGCGCGCGAGCCCCTAAACCTACAATCCAGTTTACTGTTTTTGAATGTTAACAGCAAAGCCAAATATGAATAACAGTTTTTTTTTCGCCCCATGGCAAAATCTCCTCAATGTAAAACAACTTCACCTGAATTACCCATCACTGTAGCTGCATTGACATACTGAATGTCAATTATTGTCAATATTATACATGGGGTAAGAATAACTAATACCTGCCTATTCAAATAGTTATTTTTTACACTTCAATATCTTCTGCAAACCTCACTTTTGGTCAATCCATAATCCAACGTCCACATTTATCGCGTTTGTTATATATGAGAATATCCAAGTACCGAATCAATGAACTCATATTTCTCTCAAGAGAATGTTGAAAATTCTAGTTCAAAGATGATCCATGAAACGATTACAAGTCTCTCATAATTTGATTTTGGAGACATATGTTAGATATGAAATGAACATTTAATCAAACAGTTAAGACTACCAAAATTGGATCCAATAAGAAGTTATTCTTACATCATGTGTATAGCAGATCCCTCCCCCGTTACACAAACTGCAATCACCAGAAACCTGGAGAATTGTGCATTTTATTACAAAAGAAATGATGGTATGTCTATAGCCAACTGCAACTAAACTGCAAATGGGAAGAGGGAAATAGAGGGAAGCCCTATATTCAGTCCTGTAGTAACTTCTCTGGATGAGAAGAAAAGAAAATAAAATGAAAAGGAAGGTAAACAACAAGCAATCTTGTCTTCTGAAGCTCGATCCAGTCATATCATAGCCAGATGAAAATTCCATATGATCGGTTTACAAATAGTGTGGGTTTCAGATTACCCAACTGGAGTTATTTGAAGAAAAATTTCCTTCAAACCAAATATAAACTGTCCAAAACTGCGAACCCGGCTGCAACCCCTCCCTCATTTGATGAAGAAACCTTCGTCCGCATCAAGTAGCCACAGTGATCATTCATAATCACCTTATCTTTGTTTCTGCACATTCAAATATTTAATAATTGAATTCAGATATTAGAGAGAAGCAATAAACATCCACACCTTAGACTGCTAAATTGGGATATCAGACTACATTTTACATGTTGACGAAAAATGTGAACTGGCCAGGGGAAAAGAATACGAAAATGAAAACAGGGGGGAAATTTTCATTTCGCGTTGAATTTTCTTAGAATTGTAGAGCTCATCAAGAATGCTGTCCCTTTCCTTTTCCTTTTTTTTATTATAAATTTCATCACCAACCACTAACTGGGAAAAAAATCAATAAATATGTAAATACATTTCAGTCTCAAAAGGAGGTGTATGAGGGGAGCCTCAAACTTCATGTGGGGAGACATTGACAGGCGTTGCATACCTTAGATAAGCACTGTACATCCCAAGTTCTGATATAGCATTTTCTTTATGGCAAATGCCATCTCGCATCAAATATGTGGGAGAAGCAGTAGGGAAAATCCTTTGCATGAGTATGTAGGCAGCATCTTCCTCAGTCCCTTCCTTCTGCAATCTCAGTAAATTTTCCCGCACATCATCTCCATAGATATTGTTCCCTAAAGTGAGATGAAAACAAATTATTAATAATAATAATAATAATAATAATATCAGCATCATTAAAAGCAACATCAACAACAATAATACTAATAAAGATAGAAGCAATGAGACCTCCGCCTTCTCTTTGTGGTTTCATAACAAACAATCCAGGGTTTCCAATTGCATCCCTTACAATACTCGAGTTATCCAGACTCCACAACCCTGCGAAGCATTTTCGTAGTCTGGCAATGTCATCTCTATTTTCAAGAAACCTGATCATAAACCAAGGAAAGAACTTTCATGGAATAAACAGTGAAAGAAAAAAATTAGGGTGGTTATCTATTAAGATCAGATAACCATGGTTTCCAAAGCACAACCAGCACTTGAGATAGCAAAGATGCTCAAGAATACAATTTCTAATTAACCATTTACATATATTTAGTTTTCAGGTCATTGTTCTATTTTTTTAAGCAACACGAGCAGGAAAAGATACCTAAAAGAAGCTACACCACCTCCTTTTTGTTAATTAAAAAAGCCACCAGCGGAATTGAGAAAGGGTTCCACAAAATGAATAATAAAGGTCCAAACACTATATTACGAAAAAAGAACAATAAAATCCAAAAGAGAACAATATACTTTCTCATGGAAATACACCATCCTCTCTGGAAGTAGCTTCCATACACACCCTAACTAGATCCATTATGAAATGAATGAAGATGAGTAATAATCAAAATGCAAGAAAATAATAATTATTACCTCTCAAGTATGTTGGGTTTTGCAAGCTCTTGTTGAATCTTCTTGGTTCCGGCTAAATGATAGGAAATTGAAGGGCATTTGACGGCAGATGATTGCTCCATTAATAGCCTGGACCTCCATTCCTACAATTAAATATAAGACACAGCATAACTAAGTACTTAAGTGTTCTAGGGGAACCCACAAAGTGCACAAAGGAAAGTATGAATCCAAGATTTGAAATTTTTTTAAGTTATTCAGAACACTAATCAACATGGAGTGCTAATAACTTGAAAATGAAAAAATATAAAAGTAATCAATCAATGCAAAATTCAGCAAAAACTACCCACCGGGAAAAATAAATAAAAATAAATAAAAAAAAATAAAAAAAAAATTCTACTAACTTTTAAACAATACAGTAGTAATTTTTGCTCCGTGATCCTTGAGTTTTATTGTTGATAGAAGTAAAATGAAAAAAAGAAGAAGAAGGTCCTGTAGTCAACACATTAAAAACTGTCATATTAATTCCTATGTGCACCAAATAGGGACACGTTTATATGGACTTAAACTCTGCACCATTGGAACCTCGTTTTGCACCTACTAAACAACCAATATTAACCTATACAGGGCAAAGCCAGCACTTTTTTCTTAGAAGAGAACTAGAATAACAAACAGCAGAAAAATGAAGCAGATATACTCACTGATTCTGAAGGATAATCATTTGGGGCATATCCAGCTCTAAAATAAATAACAGTAACTGCTTGACCACCTCTGCAAGTGCAAAGCATTCAACTGGTTGAAGTTAGAAAAGTCACATGGAATGCAACTAATTTAGAGCAGAAAAGTCAATTTTCCCATTCATAAAGATACATACACAAGAAGTGTTCCATCTGGTAGAAGCTCCCCTTGCGAATCAATTTCTGCCAATGTTTTCCGAATGGTTGTGATATTATGTGTGTCATAAAAAGCTGAGGAAAATATCTCCAGCAAAATTCTTGGGCAAAAACTTTATATAAAGAGAATATATTTGAACAAATTTTGAAAAAGTAGATTTGGAATTATTCATGTAATTAACTCTCAGATGTGTAGTCCAAAATATCATAAAACTTTTGAAGGACTTCAAATACCTATTCCTACTCATGCGTGTACTCCTATTGTCCAGGTACACAGATATACAACTATATTTTCACTTATAGAAGCTTATTCAAATATTAAAAAAAGGATATTTTTCCTTCAGTACGGTAGAAAGCCAGAGTTGGTCATACATGTTGCGTTCTTCGGATTGAACTACAACCATAATTACAGCCCTGTAATTACACTATTTAAGCTTAGTGACAGCTTAACATCAATGAGTGCAGCATCAGAAAGAAACAAAAAGAATCACTCTCAAATGAAACCTTGGGTTATTGCATTCAGTCCAAGCATTAGCCAATGCTTCCGCGAACCGACTCACGGTAGTGTTTACAGGAATCCTTTTAGAATCTAATCCAAGGTGTTCACTGAACTGATTGAGCAAGCTCCTGCAAAATGATCATCTACTATTTAAATTGTCTGCTAATTCATTGTTGCTTGCTTTTGTAGGCAATTTAAAATGTACATTATATTCTATATAGAAAACCAAATATATATATATAATAAACAGAAAGCCAAGAAATGAACCATATATTCAAGCACCCAAGAAAAAATTCATAATAATTACTGGCAAAAGGTTGCTTAGTTGCAAGTGAAATACAGAGAAAAAACAGTTAATGAACTTAACCAAAAAAAAAATGTTAATGAAAACGTAAAGTTATACACAAGGTTCTTTATAAAAGCCCAAAAAATGTATTATTTATCAAAAAGATACTAGAAACTCAGAATAGTGGAGCACTCCTCAACATTATATAGATAGAAACAATATAATGCAAAAGACTCCCTAGTACAGAGCGTAAAGTACACAAAGAAACAATATTGAACAAAGGAAGATGAAAATGAAGCTGAAAAACAACTCATAATCATCATGAAAACAACCAAGTCCACTCAATTTACAGATTATGTAAAAGAAACTAAATTTTCTCTCAAACTTAAAGTATGCTTCCTAGCATGTTATTGTCAGTGCTACTGTATATATATTGTTTGAGAGCGATCAATTGCTCCTTTCGAGTGATGGATCTCGCTCAGATTGTTTGATTTCTAAGCCTACGAGAGTGATCCTCAGGTGTTATTATCCCAAATAACACATTTAAACATTAAAGTACACTAGAATACTTAAATTTGAAGTGGTCCAATCAATTAAAATAAATAAGGCAAGGATTATCAAATCAACATGTATCGTTCACCCAAATTAGTCATTAAACCTAAAGAGAAGGTAAATTATATGATTCTGTTCTTACCATATAGTTTCCAAACAGTCTCTGATCATCTTTGATCATAGTAGCTCAATCAGTCTTGATGTAGATCACATCGGAATGTACAATGACACTGTTTAACTCAAGTTGACTTGACTAAGATGAGTTTGCCAACCGTAACAACACTAAGTCATCCCAGAAGGCAAGCTCCTTGAAAATGTTTCAGGTGCTACTTTGAAATCTCCCTAAAAATGATCTATTTTGTGTGATTTCCAGATTGGTTGATCTGTATAGTGAGGGTATGCCCTCGCTTTATGCCTTGTACATTATTTATTTATTATTTTAATATATTCCACCCATTTAAGGGAAAAAAGAAAGGGAAAAGGTTTAGTTAGAAAGGAATGCACAATTCCCTTAATGTTTATATACCAGATATCCACAGCCAATTGTTTAGCACGAAGCAAGGATCCTCTTACTCTTACTCTTGGAGGCTAACTATGATGAAAATTTGTTGTCACTTCTTCTTAAACACTACTTGTTGTACAGTATCATGTTACATGAATATAATTTTGAATACGAATAACATTTCAGAATGGTAATCTCTTTAAATTGCTCATCATGGACTGCAAGGCCCAAACTACATTAAACCATTTTTTTTTTTTTTTTTTTGAAGCCTTAAGTAGAAGCTTATGAAAGTATCCACAGGTAAATGTTCATGGACCATTTTGATTGATCAGCTTTATGTAAATACTTACCCTAAACAAAGAAAAAATGCAAGAGAATAATTGTAGAATTTCCAAGTCTTTCTGCCATAATGCTTTCTTTTACACGTGACTAAAATAACCGTGCAACCATTTCAATAGTAACGTTTGAATTTTGGTCTAATGTACATTAACCACCAACCAACAAAAAAGTTTAATCGATCATGGAAAAAGCCCTAATGGGCTTTAAATCCATGATTGTTGACAAAATATAATTATAAGATGAGGAACACGCTTAGAGACCCGAAAGCAACAATGATTAAGAAAGCATAAGTCACAGAGTCAACGTTTATTCACTTAACCTTTGAAGCTCGCTAACAAGACAACTGAAGCCAGGGAATGAACATGATATTGTGTTCAGCTCTATTTGGAGAAGTGATTTAGTTTGTTCATCCAGCATATAATCAGAGCGATGTAGACCCAAGCGTATTTCCTAGGTCAATGATTGAAACAAGATTAATATATTTTCCCCATTAAAAAATTAACACAAGGCACTTGAATTTACAGTCTCGGAAATTATCTAACATAATGAATGGATAGGAGGCTGTTCGAAAACCATATAACATAGCAGTATAAAATCCCAATTTTTTCTTTGTGCTATTCAAAATGGTTTGCATATTCCTAAAGACGTAAAATGAATTTATTCTGTGATTACAAGACATGACACGGCGAAACCATCAACATTACATGCTATGTAAATCAACATTGATTTCCCCGCAACACTAACCTCTTTCTTATTGATTTCTAGCATTTTGGAATGAATATCTAAGAGTCTGGAGGTAAAAGCATCCACTTTCTTTGTTCTGCAAAATAAAAAAGAAGAAGAATTTCAGTTCTCGTGTTTCCAATCTCTAGTAACAATCTGCGAAATTAATGAAACTAAAACAAATGCCAAAGCTAAAGTAACCAAGCAAAGGTACGGATCAAACAGGTATTGAATATTGTGAAACAAATATTGAAAACCTTAGTGCAGAAACTATTGTAAATATATACATACATACATACATACATATATATATATATATATATTGAGACCATGGCAAATGAAACAGCATATTCCAAAGACTACAGTACTGCATATTACATCTACCTGGCTAACCCTAGTTAGCCTTTTTACAATAAAATAAATGTAAGGAGCCATTTAAGCTGAATAAATGAAGTGGAGTTCTTAGTTTTTGAGGATCGTTTATGCCAGGAAATCTGGGAAGGAAAAAAATTGCCTTTTGGTATGAACTTGAGCATACTGTGATGAATGCTTGACGATACTATAAAAGACAAGGTAAAAAATATGCACTTATGGAAAAGGTAGGAGCAAGACTTGCTGGGAATAACATGAGTAGAGATGGTTGCGAACTTGCGATGATTTGGCTATGCGCATTGAACTTATTATATGCTTCTAGTCAAAGGTGCTGCAGGAATGAGGGGAAGGCAAGAAATAATTGGATAAAGTGTAACTAGGCTGATGAAGCATGATGTATGGAGGTTTCACCTTGGGATGGCCTATGTTTATATTCTAACTGAAAGACGTTGTTATCATTTATTTAGAAGTCATGAAGTCGCATCTTAAGATTATGGATGAGGTGGCGGCCATAAAAAGTGACGGTCCTCGTCTTTCATATGAGCGCTTAAATATTTGCTAGGAAATTTACAGTCCCTTTTGATAAAAATGTCCACAGGCATTCCAACCAGAAGTTGAATGCAACTCCTCCTTTGAGAGTGGCTGGAGAAACCACTTAAGCTAACAAGCCGTGGTATAGATTTACGGTCCATAATGTGATAGGTCACTATCCAGCCTAGACTACCATGCAGTATATTATAATCCTCACGATTACAGTATGACTAAAGGATGTAATGTCATCACCTAACATTGTACACGTGGATTTTGTTGGCTTGATTGCTTAAGCTAAGGGATGGCTGATGTGTTCTTTCAAGCCACTCACGTTACGTCCCACTTCTCATGCAGAGGCCGCGCACACATGAGAAGTGTCATTCCCATAGTATTGAGGAGATGGACACATTTAAGTGTTTGAAGCACAGGTTGCCCATATTACTATGGAAATGGACATGGGGTGCTTCAAACAAATTTAAGTGGTGAACTCTAACTAACTGGCTGTGCAAAGTGTAACTATAAAATCAGTCATTCTCCCAAATACATTTGGAAATATGATTTGGAAATAAGAGAAGAAAAATTAGAGAAAAACAAGAACAAAAAGGAAGGAGGAAGAACAAGCGCAAGACGGTCATGGCAAGCAGCATGTAAAATTAATTCTTCACCCATTTATATCTAGCCACCACCTCATCTCCAACCCTCTCCTTAGTAATCTGCCTCGACTTTCTCCCAATCACCACTTCCAAGGAACCCATGATGAACAACACATGAGAGTTAACTCCAATTTTCATATATCGTAAGAAACCATACATACAGTGTGCATACAGTTTCACATGTACATGATAATGAATATCAGTGTATGCTAGCATATATAACACGCATAAGTATATTCCAATTGTGTGTGTGTGGAGAGAGAGAGAGAGAACCTGGAGAGCGAGTCCTGTAGGAATTTGCCATCCAAACTCACACGATCTATAAGTTCATTGAAAATGGGGGCCAACTCACATGCTTCGCTCCAATGACTTTCTGGGAACAAGGTGGGCAATAAGGCAAATGGGGCATGAACCATACCAACACCAGGCACTGTTCCTGATCTCTGCAAGTTGAATCATTCCAACATCACTCACAAGTACTAATAATTCTATTCACATGTTCACATCATTTTCACCTCACTTTTTCTAAGTATCAATTGTGATCATCAATTAATATATAGAGAACCAAAGATTTATAACAAATCATTATAGCAACAATTTTTCATACATTTCATAATCATTAAAATCAATCCAAACACCATGTCATCAACAATTCAGACAATTTAAGTAAAAAGAATTATAAACCAAATCCCTGTTTTATCCAAAAAAAAAAAAACACCTTGCAAGACAATCTCAACCAACAAAAAAGGAAAAGGAAAAAATTATTACTTTTTCAACTATCAAGGCATCAAGAGATTAATAGGGAAAGATATTGAAGTTTGATTATACACGGACCTTTACATTTTTGTCACCAATAACAAACCCGTGAAGAGAACTCCAAACCAGAGCATCATACACCATCCTCTGAAGCAATTCTGGGTCGATAGAATCAAAATGAGACATGGGTTTTATAGAATTTTCCTCCTGGGTTGTGATTTCTTCAACTCTACCACAATTGACAGGCGAAAATGCTGAAGATGAGGATTGAGCCATGGTGGTTTTGGTGGGTTTTCTGAGATGGGTCTGAAAGAAATTAATGGTGGTGGAATTAAAGACAGGATTGGATTGTGATCTGTATTTGAAAGGACAAGGAGTGGTAGGTGCAAAGCAAGTGTCATTGCGGAAGGAAAGTGAGGGGGAAGGAGATGAATGGCCTACGCCCATTTTGACCTCTACTATGACTCGAATTGATTTTGTAAGTACATCGCATTAGAAGCCGCCAGTCATTGTCAAGAAAAAATGTTTTCTATTTTTGTGTCCTGCTGCAATTTATTTTATATTCCTATTGCTAAATTCACTTTGTAATGGAAAAATGAAAAGGCAAATTGGATCAAGGAAGAGGTTAATATATATATATATATATATGACATATATATATGCACGAAAAATCGGTAGAACCTGTAAATCTGTATGAATTGAATTGAGCCATCAATTCAGTTCTTCTCGATTTGATTTCGGTTTCAATTTTGTTTTCAAATTTTAGAATCCGTTAGTTTAGTATTGGGTTGCATTTTCAGGTTCATTAGGACCAAATTGTAAATTAATAATATATATTATATATATATTTCTGTATCTATTATATACTAGTATATGAAAAAGGATTCCTGTATATATTATATATATGAAAAAGGATTAAAATATATAATCCTGTAAAAGGATGAAAACGGATTATATAATATATTCCTGTATATATTATATATATGAAAAAGGATTAAAATTAAAAAACCTCTGTTTTTAAAATTTGATCATAAAATGACAAAGTTAACCTTACTATTCAATGTTAAATTAAAAATTAAAAATTAAAAATTATTTTTAAAAATTACAAAAAATACACTTTAAAATTACAAAAATTATATTTGAGAGAGAGAGAGAGACAGGAGTGAGACTATTAAAAAATTATATACATTCAATGTTATATTTTAATATTTCATTTAATGTTATATGGTATATTTTAATACTCTTACTTTCATTTTTGCAATGTTATATACTTTGCATTCAATGTTGTAGGCAGTATTCTAGTATCAGCAATGAGATACAACAACAAATTATCAGTGGCTTGGGAAGACCATTAATAATGCCTTTTTACATTTTTGTTTTTTTTAAGGAGGTTCTTGAAGTGCCATGAACATGATTTTGAATATGTCCACATATAAAGATCGATTTGAATCGATCTTTTATAATTCGGTATAATTCTAAGGTTAAATCATTTTAATTCTAATTTCAGTTTTTTACAAATCATTAAGATTGTTTTAGTTTCAATTTAGCTTGGAACCACATTAAATTAAATTGTGTGTACTCTTAATTAACACACATCAAAAAGTTATTGTGGTCGGCAGAAGATCCCGACTCGAGATCTCGGTCATTGGATCATTTGATGTAACAATAACGTGTTGTACAACAGAGAATGACTGTAATTACTCACACGTGTGAGTGATCGTAGCCCTCCTCCGTTATATACGCGTCATTACTACACATAAATAAATGATTATAGTTATTTAAGTCTCTTTAATAACATTATTAATATATATATATATCAGAAACAAAAAAAAAAAAAAAAAAAAATTGGTACTTTAAGAATAGCTTAATATATGTGTGTGTGTGTGTGATGATTGCCTTGGTTGTGTATTACATAATGCTATAGCAATTTATTATTATTATTATTATTATTATTATTATCACCACAAGGGTACAATTAAAAAGGTAATGGTCACCCATGAATAGGTACAAACACATTAAAATATTACAGATACAGATGCCTTAGCACTTAGGGACTCTAACTAGAGAGAGAGAGAGAGAGGTTATATATATATATATAGAGAGAGAGAGAGAGAGGAGGTTATAGGAAACAGCAGCCATGTTAAACAAACAAAAGAAAAGGAAAAAAAGAATATTTCAACACAGAAAGAAAGGTGCATAGAATTTGGACACTGTATAAAAACTTTGATCATTCAACTTTTAACATCTCACCAACTATGAATTCTTGTTTGCTCCAAGCCAACGAAATGGATAATGTGACCCTACTTGAAATTCTTATACTCGTGACTTTACTGTTTAACTTTATACAAGAAAATTGTACACACATGATTCAAAGTCGTTAAATAATTCAAAACGGACAATATTGTCTTCTTTGATGGTGGGTCTTAAAGACTTAAATATCAGATTTCTCATTTTCTTTTCCTTATATATATATATATTAAATCAAAGGAAATGCGAGGCAATAATGATGGGCCAAGGAGAGAAAATACAAGGAAAAAAATCAGTCTATTGCAAAACACATACCAACCAGACAATTCAACTAGTGGGTTGATGTTATTTCTTCATCCCATCAAAGTTGGGCTTTGGTACATCTTATACTTGTGACTTTTCTGTTTAACTTAGAATAAAAAAAAAAAAATTAATTAATCTTCATCTCATATAATCAAACTCATTAGAATTCCTAAATATAACAAGATCATAGAAATAGTCAAACATTACAAGTTCTCGGATCACGTAATTATGAAAATCTGAATTTGAACTAGATTTTCTCCAATTTCAATTTCAATGCATTAATTTCATGTAAATAAACATTACAAAATGATTTTCTTTCATACAAGTCATCGTGCATGTAATTTGTATTTATGTCCATGAACAATTGGATTAACCCTATGAGACATTGGCTTAGTTACAGAAATTACATACGGTTCATGCTGGTGAGTTATGGCACCATCCCATGAACCATTGGCTTAACCCCATTGCCTCCAAGACTCTGGCTTGAAGTATAATTCACGCACCATTGTTTCCCTCATCCTTTACATTAGATCTTACCTTTAGAATTGATTTCAGAGGCTTTTGCTCATCTTTTTCGCGCTCCATTGAAGGCAACTTTCCAGTTTTTCTCCTTTTCTTCTTCTCTGGGTATATCTCCTCTACTCTGTCATTTATGCTAACCATCTTCTTTGGAGCTCTTGCTTGTGGTGCCAATGTAGGTTCAGGTACAACCTCTTCCGGTCTCTTTCCAAGATTTGGATATGAACCATCTTTCTCAATATCACTGCATGTCGAGCTAGAGGTGGTCATACTAGTTGATATCTTCTCAATAGCCTGGACTTGCTCTGGCTCGACGTCCTTGGCTCTAGGACTCACCAGTTCACAAGGCAGTGGATGAGCCATGGGTGGCACATTCTGGTCAGTTGTAGAGCTACACCCATTCTGTGAGTCACCGGAAATAGACACGGGGTTTAACACCTGAGGGCCCAGAATCACAGGCTTGACAGCCTGTGCTGCTAGGGTTTGCAAGACGAAGTCGAAAAGCCTTAGACAAAAGGCAATACCACGGAACACAGGACATGCCAAAGTCAGGGGCTTGAGGACTAATGCTGATATGGTCTTCGTGACAAGGTCGAAGAGCCTCTTGCACATGCCAAGAGGTCGCAGCTGACATCTTCTTCGACCCATTTTCCGCCTTGTCTTTCAGAGAATAACAGAACAGTAGGTGTATATTGAGTGAATGTGAGGGAAGGGATGCTTCAAAAGTATGGTTTGCTCGTGTGAAATGTCATCCCTAGCAAAGAGGTGAAGTGAAGTGAAAGGAACGTTGTCTCAAGGAGATATTCTTTTCTTTCTTTGAAGAAAACTAAATTCCAGGAGACTTTCAATCTTCAACTTCTTTCATTGAAAGGATGCCAAAGTCATTGGGTTGTTTCAATGCCCCAAAGTTACTTCCAGGCTTGATTGTAACACTTACCAAACTTCATAATGTCATAAATCAGTTATATGGCGGAGTGTGACCGCTAACAGCAAAACTGGCAGTCACAATCAACATCATTAGTTGCTGTTGTCCACCTGCTTAACGCTAACAATAAGAACAATAACAACAATTCATGCTTTTCCAGTGTCCGCCTTAAGCAGCACTAAAGAGAATCATAATAACACAATAATAAAATGCGGGTCTTTTTATTATTTATCAGAGAATTCAGGTCACGAAATGATCGTTAAACAAGAAAAAATTAAAAAAAAGAAAAGAAAAGAAAAAACTGATAGTCGCAATGTCTTTGTTATACAAGTTTTGAGAAGATCATGTAATTATCGTCAACAACAGGGGATTGGGATTGTATGTAGGTCAGGGATAGCCTGCCTATAGTGAAATTCGTCCACAAAGCCGCCAGTATGCACCAGGGTGGAAGAGAGATTTCTCAAACACCCATATATCACGGACAAGGACCTACAAAAACAGGTATGGTCACGAAATATTTTGCAGGAAAAATAAAATGTGAAAGCAGAAAATTCTAATTGCTAGCATACATTTAATCTGATAAGCTCATCAAGATGTTTATATTTGCACATGCAGTTGTGCCAAAACAATCAGTCCCTATTCAACAGTCGTAGATGCTATAAATTCAAAGATGGTGACTTGTATCATCGATGTCTGCATAGTATCCCACTGTCTATGCTTGTTTCACCTATAGATTTCTGCTGAAGATTTAACAAGGCATATCATTATGGCTTATTTGTTGGTTATCGTATTTATAGAAAGCATTGCATTTTACCTATCTCATCTCTGGGGGTACCCAAGTAGGTTTTCACAATTTCAGCTGGATAAAATTATGATTTTGTAATTATATAGAGACCAATACTGCTAAACAATATTCTCGAAGATAACTTCAAATGATGGACTATACTCTTGTAAGAAATTCATTACCGCCGTCAAGTGCAGCAGAATTACCAGTCCATACAGATTTTAAGTTCCCATTTGATAGTATCTGTTTCTCAAACTATCACTTGATCTTAAATGAGTAAGCTTTAACTCCGAACCCAAACAACCCACAACACCCACAAACCCCCCCCCCCCCCCCCCCCCCCCCCCCCCCCCAACCAAAACAAAAAACACACACACACCCCAAAAAAGCACTCTTTTCCCCAAGTAAGATGAAGTTTCACATACAAGTCGGTAATCACCTTCACCATAACCATAAATATAGGTAAGTTTCATCATAAAATATGATATAAAGAACTAGGATGCACATTCCTAGAAAAAATCTTATTCACGCAGTATAATTTTGAGGCAGAGCAGATAAAAATCTAATAATAAAGAGCTCGGAGAGTGACATAATAGTTCATTGTCACAAAAAAGATAAATATTCTATAAAAATTCATAGAATTAGTAGATCTCCTCCTCTTGGAAGAAATGATAAAGGAATACTCGGAGATACATCTACATCAAAAAACATAATAACAATCAAGGTATTAATCATTTTTTAAAATTAACATATTAGTCTGTATCAACCATATGGTTCATCATAGTTGTTTTAATACTTTTTTGAATCAGAAGACTTGAAAAATATCAGAACAACTGAGCTATTAGTCATCTTTAATTTTATTCTAGTTTATCTTTTGGGGATTGACTTGTCAGTAACCTGTATCAATCATATGGGATCCACTAAACATAGCTATGTACCTGCATAGATGGAGCTGCAAAGCAATGGTCACTGATTATCACGAATGGAGTAGATACATTACAAGGGAAAAAGGGAGAAGGTAATGAAAATCTGAAAACGAAAAAGTCCCTCTGACATTGTTGGAGAATATCATAGGAGTAATTTTAGCCTATGATAGAATATTGATTGGAGTGATTTATGGGATATATTTTAGGAATCCTCCATCAATGCAATTTCCATGTTTATCACTTGTATTCTTTCACCTATAAATAGAGGTGTTGATTGTAAACAATATTAAGAGAGAATATAGTAAAGGTGATGTTGTAAAGCATAAAATGGAAGCGAAGAGATAAATAAAACAAGTAGAACACACATATATTACGTGGTTCAGCCACTAGGGCCTACATCCATGGCACAAAGAGCCCAAAGGGCTACATCACTTTTATAATACTCTCTTAATTCATATAAAATACAATGGTGGAGCTCCTTTATATAGGAGAAGAAATTATGAGAATGGAAAGAATTAGAATATAGGAAACAAGGAGGATTTTTCCTATAAATAGAGGTGTTGACTATAAACAATATTAATATTAAGAGAGAATATAATAAAGGTGATGTAGCCCTTTGGGCTTTGTGTGTCTTTCCTTTGTGCTCTCATGTTTAATTTCTCTCTTCAATTTTTATATTTTTCAACAGCCATAAAGGTTATTATAAGGACATAAAAAATCTTATAACCATCCCCCAAAAATCAAAAACAAAAAATCATCATGGATTCAAAACCAGTAAAATGTCAAAAATGGAGTAGATATCAGTATCCTCACAAAAATTCCACTAAATAGTGGGTCCAAACCAGCAAGGGATCCATGTGGTTCATACCCACTATTCATTTAACAAATAGGATTGCCACCTTGTGGTTCCCCTTAATCAAGGGTGTTGAGAGGGAAAGACTGGTTATACACCTAAAGTTTGACATTATTTGCTCTAAGTTGCTGCTCTCAGGATTCTAATTCCCATTCACGCTTGACAGTCCGAGCATTTCACTCACTACTATCACAGATGGGGTACCTTATTAATTCTGCCAGTGTCAGCAGATATACAATTCTACACAAGATATCCAAGGACAACAATAGTTGAATAAATCATGATGCATGAATCAAAAAAAATTAAATCTAAGGGTTCGTGCTGAAAAAGACATCACAGTTTTATCAACCATACCTCCTTATCTTTATTTCCAGAAGCAACAGCACCTTTTAAATCATACGCCTCAAACTTCTGCAAGATTACAAGATACACATTGTAATTTTTTGGACATGTAAAATTCATTATCAAATGAAAGCAAAGCACATAGAAGAGTCCAACCACATGATCATTCTAATCCTAAAATGAGAAAATTACGGATCTATGTAAATCACATGAAAGTGATCCCACTCATCAGAGAATAGACAAAGGAAAGGCTTCAATTTAAGACATCTAATAGGCATCTTACAGTCAATGATTACAATTTCACAACATATAAGATGTAACAGACACGTGATAATATCATGACATTGACAAAAGAACTGTGCTTTTAAAATCAAATCCAAAAGTTAAAACCTTGCTCCCTTGATCTTTCACATATTAATTTCACTGCTACCATATACCTGAAATTCCCTGCCAACCAACAATTACTGCTAGCTGCAAGACAGGATCTTTTATTAGCTTGACCCCAGAATCATGGTACTCCGGCATCAAATTCATGCCATGAATATTGTGTGACATCAGGAGACAATTTCAAACTTTCTGTTCATGAAATTTCTTCTCATGCCATTGGGAAATTTGATTGTCACTAGTCAAACCCAAAGTTCCATAAATAAAGAGGATCATGATAATTATATTAAAAATCTATTGATATATTTTTCATTTACATGGAAAGAAACATGATGAAGGTTCCCGCCCATACAAAGTTCCATAAATTGTCATAATGCTGTCCAATCAATGTTTTGGCTGACAAATCTGCAATGAAATTGGCCATTGGGTGATTAACATACCCAAAGGAGGCTGCAACCTAGATATACTAACATGTCAATGATCTCTCTTATGCAAGTTCCTATACGTAGAAGATAAGTGGTAACGACGAGTCGGACACGGATTGTCTGGGATGACAACCCCGAAATTATAATGTTCATGGACACAGTAATACGCGTAAGAAATATTTCACACGTTACTTCTATTTTCAAATAATCATGTTTTTCATATAATTTTATCAGTATGATGTTGGCTCTATCACCTAGACATACCTTAGGTGAGCGCCCACTTATTGTATTCAGATTGCAAACCTAGGCCATAGGCCTTCTTGATCACCCATTGACCCTGTCTGAATAATTATCTAATTCCATCATTTCCTTATGTATTGGCACTAGTTAAAATCAAATTTGTCATCATGTGCATGTGCCCTAGTTTTTCTACTCACTGAGGGGATCTTCAATGGATTAACTTGTACATTAGAAGAGCTCTTGCACAGTTCCAAATTCCAATACGCCTGACTAGTTGGAATAAGTACAAAGAAGAGGAGTAAAAGAGGAACTGATTAAAGTTGATAAGGAGGGCAGCTTTAAGTTTCATTGCTTGGCACCGAGCATGAGAGCAGCTTCCCCTCTCTCTGTCCTCTCCTCCTCTCACAAGGTTGTTGCTGCTCTTGTTTTTTCCGAAAAGGATCTCTTCGAAGCTGCTGGTTCTTTTTTTCATATCTCCTTTTCTTTTCTTCTTTCCCTTGTACCACCATCAACTACATGGCTACATGCCATGAAGCACCGATATGAATACAGAACACGGTTAGCATGATACGGGACACGATGATACAACATATTTTAAGAAAAATAATGTGAACATGGCAAAGATACAAAAAATAGTATAATTATGTTATTTTATGTACAAAAAATTGATTTTTGCACATTTTTATCCAACTTATCATGAATGTAATCACTAATGTGGAGCTTTAAGTTGGATGCGTGTTGTTTATATGTTTCTAAGACTTTTTATTATTTTTCTATTAACCCATAATATGTTTTAGAATTGCATTTGAACACCTTTTTAAAAATAAAATTAAAAAATTGATTGCAAAATTATCTTGTCATGTCCTGACTAGAGGGAAATAAAATATCAAACTCTAATACACTTCTAACCGTGTCAAAGACGTATCCAACCGTGTCCCACGCGTGTCTGACGCTGCCGCAGCACACCCTGGAGGAGCGTCCATGCTTCCCAGGCTATATGTTTGAGATCACGTCAACAATTAGCCTTACTATAGCAGGGCTGCATCCCCAACATATGGCTCTAATGGAGTGGAAACTTAAACGAACAGTAAGATACTTCAACCCGTATGCCCTTACCGATGAACCAGTGCACAAGCACATGTTTTAAATTTGGTAAGCTGAAAGATGGCATTCTTTTACAAATTGAAGAATATATGAGCCACAAAGGACTTGGCTTGGCCAGAATACAATTAAAAGTTCCATTCTGGACCATCAGGACATAATAAGAGTAAGATGGCAGTAACTTAAGTTATAAATAACTACTAGAAATATCATTTGACAATCAATTTGAGAACACTTAGTTATAGTAGATGTCAATAATACTAATCATTCAACTTTTCCCAGCTTATAGTTATCATATGTCAAAAGACAAAAGGGTGAAGCAAATAATGTTAAAGCAGAAATCAAAGAGAATAAACATCTCTTCCGAAGTTTAGAATATGAAATCCAACTGTGCCAACTAGTCAAATCACATATGATACACTATAGAACAAGCTTGGATAATATAAGTGCAACTCAAATATGACTTAGGGGAGTAATGATAATTTTGACAACAGGTATATTACAAAAAAGATAAATATATACTGCAGTGGGTGTACCTGCTTAGTCAGAAACTCTAGTGTAAGCTGTATGAAAACCTTGCTGAGGTCATCGCGGTCAACACCTATCTGTAAAAGCAACAGAAATTATATATTTGTATCACACAGGAATTTCAGAATTACCTATCTTAAGAACAAATCAAGTTATCCCTATAGGTTTCACCACTTTGTATCCAGCATTCAAAAGGTTTAGGTTGAATAACTCCTTTGCAGAGCAAATAGTAACCCACACCTCCAAAAAGATATATATATATATATATATATTTATATGTATATAATGTCCATCCTATGGGAAAAGGCAAGGATGATGACTACGATATCTGAAAATTGTGTATATATATATATAGATATAATAATGATTTTCAAAAGAAAAAGAAAAACAACAAGAAAAACATAAATTGCAACAACTTTTGATTGAAAATTTAAATTGCACAAAGAGAGTTAAATTCAGGGTTTCTGGTAAACAGCGGACAAAGGTGAATAGTTGGAGTTTCCGAGATTGCTTGCTATCAAATGTCAAATCTAGATTAGTCTTCTGGAAGTTTGAGAATGGAAACCAAAAATGTTTCTTGAGCAAAAATGAAAAAAGAAAAAGGAACTTGCTATTTTGATGATGTCGGTTAAATTTAGATCAAACTCCCAAAGAAACCTTACTTGGTGACTCACCAAATATCAGGTCACCACTACTGCTCTCATCCAAGTATCGAACCTAATTTCATGTTGAAGTGCAGTAAGTGGGACAGCTTTTGTCCAGACATCTTGACATCAGCACCTTTAACAAATACTAGAAAAAATACTGGCTAGCCTTCTACATAGTACAAATCATTTTTAAAAAGAAGGGACATCAAACATGATACTTGCCAGTCGAGCTCGCAAAGTGCGTATTTTAACAACTGGTTCTACTAGCTCCCAGTAAACCACACTCCATTTAGATTCTCTTTGCTTGATTTCATTCTTTAGGGCCTGCCTTATAAAACCAGGGGGGAAAGAAAAAAAATGACAAAAATTAGGCTACTCTTTCCATCTTGAACCAGGAATACAGCAAGAGCACAAAGTAAATTCCATTAATGCAGCAACAAGAGCAAGGAGAAAAAGAAAGAAGCTTACCGAGTACATTTTCTCTGTAACTGCTTTCCTCAATGATGTTTTGTTACCATTCGCAATCAGAGTGTTTATCTGTAATATAATACATCTTGGAAAATTAGATAACAAAGAGCAAGGCAGCATCACAAAATACGAACATGACAAGGACCAATATGCAAATTAATATTTAGCAAGAAAACATTCTACCAGTGCAACTCTAGCAATTCGTTAAGACCAGATGAGACTTGAGAAAGTTGGGCTACACTGAGTCACTGACTCTTCTGGTCCTCCCAAGGTACCCATATCAACAGGATACTACGACCTTGGCATGGTATCAAACGCTAATTTGACACACGGACCATTTCAAGACAGGCCCCTGCATGTACCTTGAGAATTGAGGGTTTACCAGTACTGCATACGTGTATGGTGTATCCAAGTTGACGTAACAGGCAGCTAGGATAGTATGTAACATCCACACTAAATGCCTATTTCAGCTTAGCCTGAAATTTAGACTGTGAAACGGGTATGCATAACAGAATCTAATTCATTCAAGGACTTGAGGGGTAATGGTACGGGTTGGTCTGGTAGAGTAGGAGAGGGGAGAGAAGATATATACTGGCAATGCTAAATAGGTTATTCATTATTGCTAGTAATAGTTTGAAAATTTAATGGTTGGAGGAGGTTACAAATTCATAGAATTATAAAACAAGAGACAAGAGTATAAGACCAGACCTTGACTAGGAAGACAAGTGATGGTTTCTTAGAGTTAGTTTATGATTTTCCTATATAAAGGCTCATATGTAATCAGGATATTCAGTTTTGGATTATTGATAATATTGGTGGTTTCAGACTTCTCTGGGTTCTTCTCCACCATTATTATTGCTTCTCACAACCCGTTAGGCTATCCAGCCTATCTTTACAATCTGTCTTTTCACCCCCTTTGCCTGTCCTCCCATCTCCTTCTTCTAGCCTCGTCTGATATTATGCCTTCTACTCCCTTCTTTCTTTCTGATTTTACAATTATTGGCATCAGATTATGCTGGTTTTACATCAAGTGTTATCAAAATACATTCTGGTCCTGCATCAAATTGGTATCAGAGCTCTATCTATCCTACATCAGTAAGCAAATTTTTTTTTCCTAGTTCATCAGTAAGCAAATTTACTTATCAAAAAAAAAAAAAAAAAAAAAAAAATTTGATTAGACCTGTTGACTTAGGATGATAATTTGTAATACCATTTGGTGTAGGATTAGAAAGAAAGCAGGAGATGAGGGGACAGAAGATGAGATAAGACTTAAAGGAGATGAGAAGACAGATTGAAAAGATAGGTTGGATAGACTAAAGGGTTGAGGAAGAGCAAGAATAATTGGGGAGAAGAAGAGAGAGAACTTTGAAACTCACAATAATAATCAATATTTCATAGTTGTATTGTTTGATTGCATAATAGACTTTATATACGCAAAGCATACACAAATCCTAAGAAACTCTAAAATAATAATAGATTAAAATGTCCCTAAAATTAGACTTATCAAAAAAAAAAATATGTCCCTAAAATTAAAACTTTTTTTTTTTTTTTTTTTTTTTTGATAAGTAAGAATTTTATAAAAAACGCTCAAAGGGGAGCGAAACCCAAGGAAACAAGATGAAAAGGCCACAAAAAGCCTCAAGCCTTCAAATAGGCCAAAAAAATAACAATCTCCTCAACAGAGCGATAATCTCTCCCTGAGACTCAACAAAAGAGAGTAGAAATAATAGAGAACTTAAGCATAGAAATGGGTTTCTCCTTGCCATCGAAGTATCTTCGATTCCTTCGAGCCAAATGCACCACCAAACACAGAGAGGGGTAGCCCTCCAAGCATCCCCGATGAGCACCCCAACAGAGAAACCTCTCCAAGTGACCTCCTCAATTTCCCAATCCTCAAAATGCCTCCTAAACTGAACGTCCCAAGTTAGTCTTCCGTTAAAACTTTACCAAAGTAATAAAAATTAACTAATTATCTATCCTTGCCCCTTCTCCAAAAGACCAAAAGTAAAGGGGAAAAAACACGTGCAGCTCATCTGTGCAAATCACATCTCGTATTCTCGTTCAGCATCAACTGTAATTGGACCTCCCCAACCCTACGTACCAGTAATCGGAGCCTAAACCTAATTCTAAATTGGCCATCTGAAATTGCCACCCTTTTATTGATATAATGATGTCTGACTAGATAAGGCTTGAAAAATAGAGAATCCAGATATTTGGACAAGCTGGAATTTATGCTAATTATTTTAAGGAAAATTCACGTTATAACATTCATAATAATTGCGAATGCACCAGCCATGATATGGAAAAACATTCTTTCATGAATCACAATCCAACTAAAGATGCATCCATGGTTAACAAATAGATTTTGTTTATCCCAACAGTTTGATAATATATTTGTGAGCATAGTGATAATTTGGGAATTTTCAGTGCTGAACATAATTTGAAATTTCATCAATCATGAAATTAAGTACAAGTGAATTTAGAGTTCAAAATATTTTCATAAAGTAAGCAGTCAGAAATAGGTTTTTTTCTGCAAAAATTCACTAAAAACCACTCGTTTAACTGTGAACCAGCTATATTTGCTCCTCTCCATTTTTCAAATGAATACCAATAGAATTGAAGGATCAGGTGCATACATTGAAATATTTGTATTTGTTTTTAAAACAAGGAAAGACTCATATCAGATTTTACAACTAAGATAAGTTGTACAACATAATTGATAATTAAAATTGAAGATGCAACAAAACGCACCTCTCTGTATAATTCTAAGGCTTCTTTGTAGAAAATCTGTTTTGAATATCCGGATTTCCGTAATTTAGCAATGGCATAGGCACTTTTGAGCTGCAAATAAGCCGAAACTGAAACTGTGACCAACTTAAGGGACATTAGGGTCTCTGCCAAACTGAAGCCTTGCAGAATATAGTGTCTTAATACATGACCAACATCAATCATTTAGAATGGCAAAGTATTTGTAACTTTTCTTAGAGGGTAGGTGTATTAATAACCTCTTTATCTAAATTTAATTTTTTTTGAAGATGGCGTGGTTTTTTAAATGACAACAAACCAAATTAGATTTTAAAATTGTATTGCTTTTTCAATTCTGTTACATATTTAATCTTAAAAGAGCACAAGCACGTCACCTCTAGAATGACATCATCTTTTGTCCTTCTCCAACCAGTTCTTGTGAACAATCTGACATACATCACCATTGGTTAGTGCAGGATAAAATTTGCATATCAGAAAGTCAGAAAACCATCAATGGTCATCTAGGATGTGCAAGTTAAGTTTGATGGATGAAAAAAAAAAAATCATAGAGAGATAGGTAAATTAAACCACTTGCAACAAACAACTTATATATTTCAAGAACAAACTACATACAGGACATTTTTTGACCGTCCAGTTTGCAAGTCAGACCAGCTAGATGGGGAAGTATCAACATTTCATTGACTCTAAAATGGGAATTATCAACAGGAGTCTTTACTTTCTTTATTGTTTAATTAATCACAATTTATTGATGCTAAAGGACTCATTTATGTTGCTTAGATTCCAATTAACAAAAAATGTCTTCTTTATAGATAAATTATGGCTAGATTTGGTCCATCTTTTTGGTGATCTTGTCAACCTTCATGTAGTTATTAATAAGAGAAAATTGCTAGCAATATTGTATCTGAGCTATTAAGAAGCATGATAAATTGTATAACATATTCATGGAGTCTAAATACTTTGAAGAATGCTTCTCTCACATCTTAGTAAAATTGCAATCAAGAGGAACCATAAGCATAAATAGCAACCAAATGAAGGACTCAGAATCCTGTTACCTGCGCCAGAAAGGGATTGGTTCACGAGGTGCATATGGTTCATAGACGAATCCAGGACTATACATGGACACTTTGACAGACCCCTGCAGGCAAAGAACCACAAGCATGTGCAAATTTATTTTTCCAGTGCACGGTAGCAAAACCAATAAAAGTAAAATAAAATAAGTCCAAAGTTTTATGCTCTTAATGAACAGCTTAATATTGACAAATATAGCCACTACTCATTGCAACAAGTAACAACTAGCAATGCTTCAAACAATCATTATCAAGTTTATCTCAACTAAATACCCAAGAAGATAAAAATCTCCGTTCTACATGCAAAACAGTATCCTAACTTGATTGTTTGGTCTTCGAAATCCTTTCATTATCACTGATTAATTGCTTTCACCCTATGCATAATTCCATATACCTCATATCTACTTGAGGCATCAACCAATCATACGACTTAGATGAAATACTAATCAAATAACACCAAAAACAACAATAATAATAATGTTTACTGGAAAATAATAATAATAATAACAGCAACACCAATAATAACCAACGGGCCAGTGGCCCAACGGTATCAAGCCCCTACTTCTCAAAGGGAGGTCAGGGGTTCAAGTCTCGGTGGAGGCATGGGTGTGTGAGTACCAACTAAGGAGAAAAAAAAAAAAACACAATAATATATCTGTACAAATAATATTTTACATATATTATGTACTCCCGATCAGGATCCTCTAATTTAAAAGCTATCTAGGTCAGAGTAAGGTAATTTTTTCCCACGTTTTTTTTCTTAATCTATGACTTGTATTGGGTCCGATTCACTCACTGAGAAAAGAGAAAGAGGAGGAGGGTGGGGAGGAAATTATAGTGGTCCCTTGGATCAAAACTATGATTCAGAATGTGTAGAATTTGTAATTAAATCTTGTCTACCTCGTCTTTGTAACTGAAGACGATCAAAATTCTTACATGAGAATCTAAAAGATTATCACCAGTACTGAAACGAGAAATCAAACAGCACATAACTGAAGGCACTCTCCTCTCTAAAACTTTCCCAAATTAGTATGACTCCTCTTCCCCCTCTCTCATGCGAAAAATTTCTTCTCTGCTTCGGAACTATTCCATGTGTTCTTACTTCTTGTTATAAAATCAGCAAAATATTAATTCAAAAATGTTTTGGGTCTTCAGTACTTGCAAAAATTTCTTGTTAATAAGTATTCTATTTCATTTATCAATCAATTATTAGTGTTTTATGGTCTGTGATTATGGTTTTTCTGGGAACAATGGATAGAAATGGTTCATTTTTGTGTCTGGGATTTGAGATTAGGTTTTCCATTCTTCTTTCTTTTTCTTACAAACAATATAAGTTTTTTTATTGAGTGAAGGATGTGGCATGCTAGAAGCCGTGGATATGAGAAAAAGGATATGCAACTAGGAAAAAAAAAAAAAAAAACTTACGAACTTTTAACTTAGAGGATCCTGATCCCAACCAGAAACTTCTTTGCCATTTTGTCTGAAAAGAACTCAATAAGGTCAATTTTCAACGGGGAAATTTCCATACCATTTGTCGTGCTTGGGAAGCGCCTTTTGCTTTTGTTGTTATCAACCTTGACTCATTTAAGAAGATTGACAACTCAGCAACCTACAAACAAAGTAGCAAAAGATGTATGGTCAATCAAAAACAAAATGACAAGTTATAGTACTTCAAGAAATTATAATAAATTCAATATAAATATTTCATTCATCTTGAAAAGATCAAATTTCACATGCAAATAAATATTCGTTAAAACACTACTTGGGGGGAGGAAGGGGCGTTGATACCAAAATAAGACCAACTAGGCTTGGGCAGATATAGATAAGCAAACTCTATTGTACAAACATATGTATTATTAAAATGGATGCAACGGATAAATTGATATTGACAGTCTACTGATTTTTCCAACCTTTCGTTCGAATCATTCTAGGATGCAGGGAAATATCATGGGTAGCGTACTTTGGTTATAGGAAGTTACCACTGTAGAGCGAAGTCTCATTTTACTTCCAGATGTCCATAGATGAGCATTGGGGCCATTGTAGAAGCAAGAAGAAATGCTGCGGCGACTAATTTGGGAAACTGATGACACATAAAACTGTATGAGTGACAAATTTCATAGCTTATTCCATCACATATATACATATAACTATATAAGAGTCATTAGGTTAAAGCAGTTACAGTATAATGAAATATCCTCATCTTTTAACGTTTTAGGGAATATACATTGAACTATGTATAACCAAGAAGAAATGCTCAAGCCTTTGGGACTAAGAAGCATGGATAGACACAACAAAAGATGCAGACACAAGACGACAACGACAAGCCAAAGAATGGTTAAAAAGTAGAACATGAACAGTGAGTAAACAACAATAAATACATTTTACATATATAATACAAACATTATATCATAGCAACTAATTATCCATGTCACATAGAAAAGGATATAACAAAACACAACATATAATCGTAAGTATCCATGTCACATAGAAAAGAATGTTATTGAATATAACAATAACACAGCATGTGTGTTTGTTCATCTATGTAGAAATATATGTGTGTGTATGCATATGTACACACATAATTTAATAAATTTTATATAAAATTTTACTTGCAAGTATACCTTTTTTTGTAAAATAATATCTTATCCAACATCCAAGATTATTGGTTGTATGTTGACGAGTATCTGGTAAGTGTCACCATGTGTCTGAACCTAGAAAATTTATTTGAAAACTATAGACACATTCAAGATGTAACATATTGTGTCTGGAAGTCCCCAATAATTGTCAGTGAGATGCGCCAGACACGTGCTTGACACGGATATATGGTGTCTGTAACAAAATGACATGTGCCTAACAGGACTCATATGCATATGATAGCAACTGTGATTTCACAACATCGAACTTTCAGGTTCATTGTTACTTGAGCTAATCATTTCATCATTAACCCATTTGACCTATTACCAGTTTCAACACTCTATGCATTCTTCTCGCAATTTCTTAGTCAATGCTCAGAAAGCTCGGTGGCCCAAAATCCGGTTAATCTCACCCAGGCTAAATGACATTATTAAATCTGCTACCCTAACACTACACAATGGCTTGTGTTATAGACTTCAACTGACAATAATTTCCAGAACAAGATGATTTATTCAACATTAAACAAGTTATTTAACCTATTTTTAAATATAATTTCACTTCAAATGAGAAGACCTCATAATTTTTGAATCCAACAGTCCTTAACAAATGTGTGTGCTTGTGTACGCATATATCTATGAAAACAACTTACAATTTGCAATATAATTTGAATAGCTTCTTGAGCTTCCAAGCCTGAAAATTAGACAATATCAGATTCAGGAACTAAGTCTAACAATACACATATCATTTTGGATTTTAAAGAAATTAAACATTAAAGCGTCCGTTTGGTTGCTGAGAAAATGTAGGAGAAGATAAAAGAACTATATATGCTATGCCTGATCAACATTTAGCTCCGTAACATTTTTCATTGGTTGAATACAACGAGAACAATAACCACATGTTCGAATTTTTCTGTTGTTTAGGAAGACTTACAAATGAGAAATGTCACGAATTTCCAATGTTCGATATAGACCACGAATCGTCCGTAATCGTCCGAGAGCCATCTTTGATCAAAAAATAGTGAGAATGTGAGCAAATTATCGAAGAATGAGGTTTTTGAGAGGGTTTAAGAATCTAGTACTGCGTCTCTATAGCAAAGTTGCTGCTGCGGCGGCTACGGATGATCGCCACCTGGATTTTCTTTCAGGAAAAGATAAAGGAGATGGCAGGATAGTACAGTATAAACCTAGAATTGCATTTTAAAAAATTATATATATATATATATATATATATATATATATTTATTTATTTATTTATTTTGGTATAATTTAAAAAATATAGTGGAGAGAAAATAAATGAAAATATTGTTTTACATTTATTATGAATAATGAGGGTGAAATTGAAATGGCAGATGATCCACCAATGTCTTACATTTCACTATTCTTTACTTTTAAAAATAAAATTACAAGAAAGACTTTACACCACACAATAGTTTTTACATTTTTAATTCCATAATTCACCTTGTTAGTTCTTTGTTAAAATTAGAACCATTGACATGAAAATACAAATTTCTTCTATCTTCTCGTTCCTGTGCAAAAATAAAAGATAACACTAATGATACAATGTTTGAATTAAAGGAAGTTATTGATATTGTTAAAATAAGTAACGTTGAAAAAAATGCATGAACTCTTTTAATGGCTATAGTAATGGTGATTCTTAAATTTTATTTTGTTTTACTTTCTTCTTCAATATATGTTTTTGACTTTTTGAGTTGTTTTGAAAAAAATCAAATCTATCAATAAATGTTTTAGAATTAAATTTTATTCATTTGGATGCTACGTGAGAATAATAGTCAAATTGAAGAAAGGACTTATGGTGAAATTAGAAGTGAAAAAATTTGGAGTGCAACAAATTTTATATCAATAAATAAAATATATTCCATCAATCTTTGAAAATATGTGCAATTTTTAAAAAATAAAATAAATTTCTTACATTTAATATATAAATAAATATAAAAAATTAAAAGTAGGTCTTACTTGTGATACCACTTGATCATGTATGCAATTTTTATTATATATATATTGTAAGTCGTGACGAAGATTTCCATAAATCATGTATGGTCTTGTTGTGAACTTGGTGGTGCAATCCTTTTGTGCTTCACCAATTTAACCGAGGTAATTCTTCACAATTTGGTTATATTCCCGAGCTAACAAACATCAACTTGATCAAATTATCATGTCATGCTTGGCAAACCTGTTTCCAAACAGGTAAAAGCATTTCTTTTTCCCTCGTTGATATGTTGCAAGAGTGTAAACTTTCAATGTCCAATGCATCTCTCTCAAGTGAAGAAGAAAGAATGTAAAAAAAATCAGAGCATACAATATATAAATATAGGCATGTCAGATCACACAATATAATACTCCAAATGATATTAGATTACAAAATTTTCAGCCCCATGATATAGAGTTTGGCTATGTTTGAGACATCTCTCAACTCTCAACAGCTTAAACCAAAGATTAACATGTCCAGGTTTTGGTCTCCATCCGAAAAACTTGGTTTTAATATTCCCAGATTTCGTTCCGATTGCATGACCCGCATGACCCACATTGGCAAGACAGCAGTTTGCAATAGCATCTTTCCCCTGCTAAATAAATAAATAAAATCAACCAGAAAAGAAATTGTACAGTTAAGCAAATGAAATTTAATATGACTCTTTTTACCGCCCGCCCTAAAAATCGGGTTTCTAAAATTGATAGTTAGGTATTAAATCTACCTGAATTTGACAATAATAACTTCATGGTAATAATAGACTAAACATATTCAAAACAGCACCAAGAAAGTAATGGGAGAACAAAGTTGTGTTTCAGAAACCTTATAAGTGAATTTCAGGAAGATGATTATAAAATTGTCAGTGACACAGCAGCAGAACGAAGCTTCACACCGTCATCATCCCATTTCGACTGTGGTGCAGTTGCTCCAGCAATGAATGCCTACGACACATATGGCAGACAATTTACCTGATAAGTATGCAAGAACAGAGAAATAGCAGCCCATAATGCATTTTCATGCGGAAAATTGGGACTACGAAATCTAATTAGGCAAGTTTAAAATGTATTATTTAATAAGTCAACGGGTTAATCAACTACTGGGCAGAATTTTAGCAGCTTGTGACATAAAGGGTGCAAATTTGGCTTTGCCAATTCTATAAACCAACAGTGTTTTGAACACTAGAGAGCGTGCAATGACACACCTTCCCACTGTTAACAGCAGCTAGAAGTGCAACATGCTGTTCGTCTCTACCAAACTCATAAAAGTAATAGGTCCTGTAAAAATCATCATGAAGCAGCATATATTAGAAAGCTATTGCAAGTTAAATTGGCAAATGACCAGTAACTAATTCAATGAGAAAGTTATTCCTTCACGCATCTCATCTGCTTTTGAATTATATTGACAAAAACGGTTCTTTTCTTTTTTATTCTCTAACTAACATATTTGGTAATGAGATTCCTAGCCCTAGATCTGGTATTATCATTATTGAATGTAGGAGGAGGTAGGCCATAGTAAAAATAGTTGATTGCATGGCATCTATTTTTATTTTGTCTTTAAAATCTTCTCCTCCTCCATTAGGGCCAAAAAAGTCTAAAAACAGAATAACTGAATAAGATAGTCTATATCTTTTTCCAAAAGGCGGCACAGCATGACCATCAATACACAATAGTGTTGTTTTTCCAACATGTAATAACAGCCCAGTGTTAACTTGAAGATAAACTTACCTGATGCCTTTCTATTTTATTTTTTATTTTTTTATTTTATTTTTTATTTTTTTTTGATAAGTAAGATTTCGTTGAAACTTACCTGAAACCTTCATCTTCCTTAATTTTTATTGTGCGAGCAGAGTATAGAGTCGAACCTCCTGACATGGCAGCACGATAAAGAGTGAGAAGCAAAATCACTGATGGCACGAGATAGATGAATCAAGAACAAAGTTGGAGGCCATTATTGCATACAACAATTGATATAGAGATGGAGATCAATTTTTAAGGTGAAAATAGATCTCTGATACCAGAAAGTAGATTTTAATGAAAGATATTTTAATTACAAGATTTGAAGAAGAGAAAAACATATGTCAAGCCAAAGTACCTGGAACAAATATCTTTGCAGCCTCCTTCAGCGAACCCAAATCAGTAATATCTTTGGCCTGTTCAAGTTAATAAACACACTTCAAATTGACACTATTTAGTTATAAGGACTTTCCATAATTAGGAACATTTTATTTGATTCAACAGGAGTTTGTCTGTATTCTGACGTAGATGCTAAAGCAGAGTTAGGTGGAGCAAGGTTGAATTTTCCCACTCATGAAATGAATCCCATGTGATCATTTCAATCATTCAGAACATTATTTGATTCAAAAGGAGTCCACCAATGGTGTGTTTCATCCTACATAAATTAGTATTATAAATTTATTTCAGAAGGGAGAGAGGTTGATTCAGAGGAAAGGAGAGTAGAAGAGATATTAAGTTAAAACTGGGAGTTTCTTACTAAGGAGGAGGTGGGGGCGATGACCAATCTTAATCTTAATCATGGTAAAAGTTGAACTAATCTTAATTTTAAAAAAAATATTTGCAGTGTCCAAATTGTGATGGAATTTTTAAAATGAAAATGCAGTGTTCTCTTTGCAAATACAAAATGTAACTATGGTTATCTAAGCAGTGATTTAAGAACATAGTTATCATCTTTTTGGGATAAAATGGAAATGCTTTATTTTCCTTCGGTTAGGTAGCCATCACACACAAATATGTTCATTTCCTTCTTAAAATGAATAAAATATTCTTGTGTTGATTCTAGAACACAAATAGTAACTATGTCTCCCAAGCCCCAACAACAAAAACAAAAGAAAGAAAAGAACCATTAGAAAAACAAAGTTGCAGCCATTCACCAATATTATTGAATTAGTCTCACTATGAAATTTGTTATTAATTTATAACTGTAATTGTAATTACACAAACCTCTAAGAAGGTGATCTTGAGTTGATTAGACGGGCGAACTACAACACTTAAAACTTCAGATCTGTTTCATGTGTCAACCAATGTAAGATTGAGTAGTCAATACCAGATGTGCAACAATGAGTAACACTAAAATTGGACATTTCAACCCAATAATAAAAAATAAAAATAAAACAAAAGGATAATAATACATTCTTCTCTGCACATGTTGTTTTGTATTCAGCTATCTGTTTACTTCTTGTGATAAGAAATAAGAAATTCTATTGAAGATGCAGGGACAGGATTGATGAGAAATAGTCACGAGTAGCAACTAAAGTAACAGAAGAGGTTGTGGCTTACAGCCAAGCTGCAGGCACAGGTAAAAACAGTAACGGGACTCACAATAGGCTGTAAATTTCAAAATTGCAGGCAGTAATGGTAACCTCAAAACATAAGTTTTCCATTTAAAGAATGTGGAAACAAACATAAAAATAATAAAATTTGCTCACTTAAAAGTAGTTCACAGAGAAAAATAAAATAAATGGGATGAACAAAGGATGTGATCAGAACAACTTCAAACTAGTTCAAGTTTTGGAAAAAGAAAGAATGGTTAACATACGGTACATTGTAAAACACCTTCAATTCTAATTATCCAAGAGCGTCTTGGCCTTTAAGATATAGCAATATGATACTAACAAAGTAAAAATAATAGAAGACAAGGAAAATAGTTTATATTATGAAGGTTGTCAAGTAAAAGTTTCCACTTGAGTCACTTGACCAACCTTATAGTTACCAACTTCTCAAGATAAGAGCCCACCTAACTCATCAAGAATCTTATTTTACTAATATAAGAGTCCTATATTTATATGTGTATACATTCTCACGTATTTGTCATGTCTTACTTTAATACCATTTGCCATGTTAGCATGTCATTGTTCCTCGTCAATATCTGTGCACCATAGAGGGGTAACTTATTAGCATCTGAACAATTTTTCCTAAGCACTAGCTTTTAATAACCAAATTAGTTTTGTACAGTAAGAAACCTCTCAACACCTTCTCTAAGAAGGCCTCACTTTTCTTGCTGAGTAAAGGTGAAATTCGTATATGGCATTAAAGGGGACACAACCCTTGTATATGTCTAGAAAGTTTTATTTCTAAGAACTACAATGCCTAATCATAATTCACCTTCCTTCTTAGGATGACACATTGATTCCTACCAAACTAAATAGTTGCCCTGACATATCTTCTCAATCTAGTTGGTAATAACCACAATAACTTTCAATGAAGAGATGAGTAGCATCCCCTCACTATTACCAAACCTAAGAAACAAGTTCACATCTGCAAGTAATCCCTCATCTGCATCCAAAGTAACAGGAAGGGCTTACATAAACCCCCTACCTTGAAAAAGAGAAGAAAAAGAACTAGATTAATAGCATGCAGTGGAGTTATAAAGTTCCAAAAATTATGAAAATGCTTCACGTGTGCCGCTATTAAGCATGAATTTGTAAACAACAAATGATTTAGAAGCAAAGTACATATAACTTGGCCTAAGAAGCACGGACACGGATACGGGACACGGATACGACATGACACGGACACAGCGACACGGCAAATCCAAAAAAATTAGGACACGGACACGGCGAATAGTATACATATATATATATATATATATATATATATATATATATATATATATATATATATATCAGCATTAATAATTTTAAAAAAAAAAACACTGATATGTTTAGGTTGGAATATATATATATATATATCACTGATATGTTAGTATATATATATATATCAGCATCTTTAGGACACGGACACGGCGAATTGTGGCATCTTTAGGTTAGTATATATATATATATCACCATCCTTAGGGTAGTACAAAACAAAAAATAAAACATATCAGCATTAAAAATTTAAAAATAAAAAAAAAAAAATTAACATATCAGCATTAAAAATTAAAAAAAAAAAAATCCAGAAAAGTGTGTCCGAGCCATGTCTGAGCCGTGTCCGAGCCGTGTCCAAGCCGTGTCCGAAAATAAATAAAAAATAAAAAAATTCCAGACACGTTTTTTGGCGTGTCCGACACGTGTCGGGGCGTGTCCGACGCGTGTCCGTGTCCGACACGTGTCGGACACGGATTCTTCGCCCATTTTGGAGTGTCCGTGCTTCTTAGAACTTGGCAATAGATGAGTCCTTGCAACGTGTACTACGGAATAAATTAGCAAAAAGATACTAGAGTACGGGGATTTCAGAGTGAGAACTTTACCCATCAGAAGATGCAAATCGTGCTGCAAAGGTCTTTGGCTTAGCCTTATCTCCATAAAGAGACAATCCAGCACTATAATCCTAGAAAATCAAGCAAGGTGAAACTCAGTCTACAAAATATAGTATATAAAATTGCTAGAACATAATCTAATACTGCTGTGAGAAAATGAAACAACCTAGGACGAATAGTTCTTAGAAAACCGCAATTTGAAGCTTAATATGTCAGACATGATCTTTTATGGTATCTATAAACTTTTGAACACTTAATTAATAGTCAATTAAATGAAGATTGGGTGTTTAGGTTTCCAATACCTTAACTTCAAAACCAGTGGCATGAAAAAAAAAAAACCAGAGAAATAATCTTATACCACTGGGTAAACCTAAAATTTTTCATTTAGCAAACAAACAAACACAATATTTTTTTTCCCTGGGTACGAACACAATATTCCATCCACACCTAATGTTAATTTTCCAGCGAGAAAGCATTTTTATACCATCTGTATAATTTATCTGGGGGCATTTCAAATTGGAAAGAATTATAGTCGCTGCATATTCAAAATTAGTTAGGTCTCCTACAAAATGTTTTGTTCTGTCAAAGACTAAACAATTTACAACATCACAAATATGTCAACCATCTTCAAATATGATGTTTTTGCCACAAGGAATCTTTTAAAAGCATTTTATAACCAAAATTCATCACTAACATGAAGATGATTATCCGGCCACTGGTGTTTTGGCAATATCACGAGTAGAACCAGTTTGTTTAGTATTCCAACCACCGCTAACATAATCATCCAATGAAGAATAGTACTTAATATCCATTTATTTCATCAATACAGTCACATAAAGTACTTCCATGACATCCAATCCTATAGTTCGTTTTGCATACTAATAGTTAAGGGTACTGAAATGTTTAGGTTCTGTCCATTACAGCAAATTAATATGAGAAGTAGATTGTTCCCGTAGGTTGTATTCCATATCTCGGATTTGAAGTTAAGTAGGGTTTAGAGTAACACACCTTTCATTTTTTCAGTTGAAGGTTCAGTATTAGGAATTTGGATATTTTAAAATCTTTTAGTGACAATTCCTAAGAGTGTTGAATCATCTTGACTGAAGAACAATCCTACAAGGGAATTAAATGTTGCAAGGGAGGGAGAGAGAGAGAGACATCAGAAAATGGAAGTGGTATGTTTTCCGTCAAAAATAGACTTTCGGTCCTTTTGTAAACATTGATTTGTCTATTATTTTGCTCCATTGTAGTTTTGATTTCCTTAATAGTAGATTTATCTTAAAGAGCTGGGTAAGATATTCCTTTTAGTGGTGAATAAAAGTATTGGATCTTGGTTTGATAATTAATTCATGTAAATCGGGAAGCTCTAATAAAAAACAATATTTTCTGATAAAATCCACAAAATTCTGATGCAGCAATAGTTTCCAGAAAATTTACACAGGTAAACAGTTTTTTCTAACAACAACAAATTTCTATATACCCTTAAAAATTTAAAATTAAGATTTTAACAAATTATAGAGGGCCCAAATGGTAAACCACAAATACAAAATTTGCCTTAAATACATTTCAGACTAGTGCTATGAGTTCTTAAATACATTTCAAAATCATCTACAATTCTTTAAATAGTTTTGTACTTTGTGACCAATATCATAAGATAATGGTAAACCATAAATGCCCATAGATCAATTTTCGGATGATATCTATGGGTTTTGACATTTATAGTAAGAAACATATTCCTATCCAATAACTTGATTTTTTTTTGGTTTTTATAGAGTCTCTTAAACATTAAAAAACATGATGTATTTAATTTCTCTCTTGTGAGAGGTTTGGCAGCAACTTGAATCAATCCAACAGGTAAGAAATTACATTTTGCCATATGTCCAATTAAAGATTGTTCTGGAAATAATAATAATAATTCAATTTTATCATGGGCGCTTTACTCCCCATTGAAAATGCTTGATCTACATAAAAATCATATGCATAATTTTAAATGTTCCTAATCTGTAACTATTTCCAAGGTTGCAATTCAAATTTGATAATCTTTTCTCCATAATTATATTACATTTTCTTCATAATATTAAGTAAATGCTTTTAATTGAGTGTTCTGTTTGATGAAACATAACAATTGAGACCAACAATAGCAAATTACAATAATAACACATAAATTGCACAAAAACTGATAGAATTAATTCATGAGAGTGACACACCTCAGGCTCCGTGATGTCCTCGAACTGAGGCGGGACGCGAATGGCGAACCCATCGCCGAAGAACTGAAACCACGACTTGGTGTTCGAAATGCTCATGAGGATCGACTTCGGAGGCGATGTTTCGGCTGAGGATATGAGATTTGAGGACTGAAGGGTTAGGGAAAGGAGGCATAGTGAAGCAGTGTTGAGTATGAAGTGTCGCTTGGATGTGCTGAAGAGAGAGTTGGGTCTGAAAGTGGAGAGAGAGAAGGAATTGTTAGCGTTAGGGTTAAGGTTAGGGTTTTGAGGGGGAATAGGCGGGTGTGGAGAGAGGGAGAGAAGTATGGCCATGAGAGAGCAGATACTGTGTTCATGGCGGGTAATGGAGTAGATAACGCAGACGACAGTGTGGTTTTATACTGCAAAGATTGATTTTTTTTTTTTTTTTTACAACTATTTTTAGTACCGTATTTCAAATATATATATATATATATATTTATTCTCAAAATATATATATACACAAACTAAAGAGAGGGCAGACAAATAATTTAAGGGATAAAAAGACACAATCCATGGCTATTTTAAAAAAAGTTGGCTAACCAACTTATAAAATTGCTGAGATAATATGTTATATTTTATTAAATTGACACGTGTTGTCCTTGAATACTTAATATCTACTCTTCAAATATAGACACAAAATAACGTGGGATCGTGTGTTATAGCTCACAACAATGATATTATTTCTTGCACAAGTCCACTCATGTACATCTGCCTACAAGGTTGCCACAGTACCAGTAATTAAGACATAAAAAATATTTTTACTATATCTTCTATGCTCCAAAACCATTAAATTAGGGTCCGCAGTCAACCAAGCCGAGCTTGAGTCCATTAGGACTCAATTCGTTCTTTTGTGGGCTCAGCTTGGACTCTATTTGAAATTGTGAAAAGTTCAAAAATTTTAAATAATACTCAAATCAATATTATTTTAAAAAGATTAAATTGAGCTCGTTTATTAATAAAAGTCGTTTCAAACACAATTTGAGCGCTCAAAATCATTTTGACTTGTCCACAAATTATACGAAACTACATAAGTTGATGTTCATGAGCCTATATAATTTATGAACATATTCACAAGTCCTACACGAGCCTCCATGTTCACAAACAAAAACAAATTTACATGAACCTATGTTTAGGTGTCTACACGAATCGGGCCAAATATTATATTAGGATTGGCTCATTTAGCTCATATATAAATCAAGTTTGAGCTCAGATTGTTTGCTTAAAGAGAGTTTATGCAGAAATTTAAAGGAACCTAGCCCGATTTATTCATAAAAAGTTGGATTCATTTAGGACCGTCACACACATCACATCACAAACATTTTTGGGCATACGGGTACCAAAAAGGTAATGCCCGATCATTAAAAGTGTTAGTATTCTGCTGTGGACTATTCATTGACGGGTCGTTAGCGGGTACCCATTCAACCCGCCTAAACTCGCCCATATGCACAAACGAAATAACCTAATCGCACGCAGATGCACAGCCCGTCTCTCTCTCTTCGCCTCTTTCTGTCTCTGTCCTTGCTCGCTCGAGGCCTCCACTTCTCTTCGCCGCTCTCTCTCTCTATCACAAACACAAACACAAACACAACAATCTCCGGCGACTGCACCTCACCCCTTAAGTTTCACACTCAGGCATCTCCGGCGTGGCACCACTTTCCTGCTTCTCAAACTCCAACAACGGTTTCATCATAAAGGTAAGTGATATTTTTGCTTCTTCTTCGACTTCACGCTCCTTGTTTTTTTTTGCGGTCACGACATGTTTCTCTCCGATTTAACTGAAAAAATAGCTGAGGCTTATCTTTCTGCAATAAGACAGTTCTTTGAGACATTAAATTGCATAGTTTTCTCATTCTAGAGTCTGTGTGTGTGTGTGTGTGTGTGTGTTTTCCTAGTAAATTCTTGTTACTCTAATTGGTAGTGAGTTGTGTATGTATGTTTGCTAGGTGTGGTCTCTGTATGCTTGCTAGTAAATTCAGTGGACCAAAAGTTTTTTTTCTTTTATAAAATTTTCCTTTGCAAGAAACTAACACACCCATTTGCCATTACTTATCCAATTGGGAGGCTACAGCCGTGGTAGTAAACCAAAAGTTAGGTCTTTTATGTTTCAGATACTCTCTTGTTCTCAGTGGCAGAGCGGGGGCGACATTGAATAATGTTGAGATTTTGTTTTTTACCAAACTAGTAAATACAAAATTTAAATATTAATTGAAGATATTTTTATTCAATTTATTTATATTTGTCTGGATTAAATTTCATGTTTTGAAGGCGTTAAATGACAAATTTATATACATACACACGCACACAACAAAATAATCCCAACAAATTGCAGGATTCCATCATGGATTTGATTATTTGAACAACCAATTCTCCCAAAAAAAAAAAAAAAAACCCAATACTAAAATGAAAATTTTATTTTGTGCAGAGAGTAAAATCGGGTAAAATAATGTGATTAAAGACTTTTGCATACTGGCTTAAAAAAAATAAAATAAAATCAGACTTTATTAGTCTTATTTTTTCCTAGTTAAAACAGAGACTTTTAGAATTATTTCTTTTCATTTCTGAAAGATTGAGAGGGATTGAGAGGGAAAACGACATGGCTGAAATTGAGGAGATGAACTGAATATGAGTTGTGAGATAATACAGATAACTGCTCATAAAAAAAAAAAAATAAATAAAAAAGAGGCTAAAGGATGAATGTTTAAGGTTTAAGGTTTTTATTTATTTATTTTATAATGTTTATTTCATAATAATTTCAGTGGGGGGAATTTTTATAATTTTTAAAGATTATACATAAAATTACAGAAGTTCAGTGGGGGCAGTTGTCCCCACTTGCCCTACTGTGGCTCTGCCATTGCTTGTTCTGGTGTTGGAAAGTTTGTAACTCAGGTGAAATCTAAAAGTCATGGACTTGTACCCTTGCTATGTGACCACAGAGTTCAGATGTTGGCATGTTGCCTTCTCTTAAGAATAGTCTAATTCTCATCCTAAGAAAAGCCAAATTAACCGTTCTAGTAATTAGAACTATAGAAAAGAACAACACGAAGGAATATAAACATTTCATAATATTTGTTACCAACTTTTAGATCCTGCAACACTAATGGGTGATCTGTAGTAACTTAGTAGCTAACACCAAAGTACAAGGAGTTGTGTGTGTTCGTATGTTTGGTAGCTGGGCTAAAGGCTTTTAATTCTTTCATTTTGTGCTGAATTTTAAAAAGGTACAGAACAGATCCAAACAGGTCTTTTACGGTCCAGTTTGGTTCCACAGTTCTAATGGTCTGGTTCTGGTTGTAATTTTTTTTTGAACCGTTGGGACTGGTTCGGTCATAGTTAAGCCAGAATCAAACCGCATGAACCCATACAAACGTGTAAAAAATTGGGTTAGCCTCGAGTTACACTCCTAGTGGAAACTTTAGGGTCAATAATTTTCAGTTACTACTGTTGTCTGTTATATGAAACTAAACATTTTCGCTAGCGCTTCTGTCTAGGTATTTGCTGCTTAAATGGCCACCACTGCACTTAGTAAGAAAAAGGGCACAAAGTCACAAAAACCTCCTCCTAGGAAAAGACAGAATGAGTCTCTATCTTCTAAACACAAGAAAAAGGATGATCTTTTCAGCTATTCAGATAGCACAGATGAAGAGGTAAAAGAAGATGGAGGGTTTGATGGCGAAGGAGAACCAGAAGTTGATTCAGGTTCTGAAATGTCTTCTGATGGGGATGATCCCTATACTGATGATTTTCTTCAAGGAAGTGATGATGGAGGTACTGTGTTTCTTCAAATTTAGATTTTTTACTTTTTTGTTTTTGTCAATGCTCTTTTGGTTAGGGTTCTGGTTATTGTGTTTTTATCCACAGAGAAAGGCTCGGATGTGGATTCAGATTCAGGCTTATCTGATATTGAGGAGAAGTCGAGAGCTATAGATGAAGAAAAGGCGAAGGAAGAAGAAGAAGCAGAGGCTGAATTGCAGCTCAACATCAAAGAAGAGGCTGATGAATTCAGATTGCCAACCAAGGAGGTTAGATTTTGTCGATCCTTTTCGTTTTTAAGTTAATTTCATTGATTTTGCTATTGTTTACCAGATAGGAACATCAATTTTCATGCTTAATTTGGTTTTTCTTTACAATAACCTAGGAGCTTGAAGAAGAGGCACACAGACCCCCAGATCTCCCAAATCTCCAGCGGAGGATAAGAGAGAGTAAGTTGATATACATTCAAGTTTCTTAATTTTTTTTTTTTTTGTTTTTGTTTTTTTTTTTTTCAAATAAATTTTTCTTAGGTTTTATTGAAATTTAGTTTCCCTTGTTGATTTCAGTTGTTAGAGTGCTTTCAAATTTTAAGACTTTGAGGCAAGAGGGGGCGACGCGCAAGAATTACACAGAACAACTTCAGATTGATTTAGGTTCATACTATGGATATAATGAATTCCTGATTGGGGTTTTGTTGGAGGTAATCTCCAAGTTCTATGTATTTTTCTATTCAATGTTATTTTCTATCATTTATTCCTTGTTTATGAGGATTTTGTGTCCCAATTTGCATTCTGTACAGATGTTTCCGGTTGTTGAACTTATGGAACTTATTGAAGCTTTTGAAAAACCTCGGCCCATATGCCTTCGAACGAACACCTTAAAGGTGGAACAACACTACTGATTTGCCATATTTTGACTTGTGATTTCATTGTTCTATTTTCCTCTGCTTAGTATGCTGTATCCTACTGATAAAACCTACTTTTATGGCTGTAAAATTAGACACGCCGACGGGATTTGGCTGGTGTTTTGTTGAACAGAGGGGTCAACTTAGATCCCTTAAGCAAGTGGTCAAAAGTAAGAGTTACCTTATGTCGGTATTTTTCATCTTCTTGTTTGGCTATATTATTAAGCATTTTAGTTATCATTATTATTACTTGCAAATTTTATATCTGCAGGTTGGACTAGTTGTATATGACTCACAAGTTCCTATTGGTGCCACTCCTGAATATATGGCTGGCTATTACATGGTATCTTGACATGCTAGTGTGGTAACCTGTTGCGTTTTCCATTTTAAGTTCCATTTTAAGTAGTGCTTAGTACTCATGTTAAGTTTGTTCACAGCTGCAAAGTGCAAGCTCCTTTTTACCTGTGATGGCCCTTGCTCCTCAGGAGAAAGAACGGATTGTTGATATGGCGTAAGTAATTGTACTTAGTTCGATCGAAATTCTACCAGTTATTCCTCTGGGATTCTGCTCCTAGCATTGTTTTATAATTCTGTCTAAGCTGTCTTATGGTTGACGAGTCTTCTTCCCGCTATATCTAGCTAGTAATCCATTTCACGGATCTTTTTGTAAGTACACATTTTCTGTAATATAAGGCAAAATGCGACGGGGCATATGCACTCTAGGGAATTTTAATATTTTTCTGTGACTTTTTGCTTGCGAAAGCAGAATAGAACACGAGCCTCATTTTGTTGAAGGTTGGTCATATACACGCACTCATAGGCATTGAAGCATTCAAAGATGCATAATTTGATTATATGCTGTAGAAGTACTTATCTAAGACGTTTATGTGTTTATCACTAAATGCACAATAATCAATGCATCTTCTTATATGTATTGCCTCACTTAATTATGATTTATACGTATTGCAGGGCTGCCCCTGGTGGTAAAACTACTTATATTGCTGCTCTTATGAAAAACAGTGGTACGTAGTGATTACTGGTGGATTTCTTTGTTTCTCTCTCCCTCTCTCTATCTATCTATATATATATATACACACACACACACATATTTGGGTGTGCGCACATTCCTTGTTACCCATTCTTTACTTACCCCTTACTGATGTCACCATTGACTGAAGCATAATGTGTGTGTGGGTTTAGGTGAAGTATGGGAGATGTGGGGAGGTGGGAGTAATTACCCCATGTTTTACTTTGCACCTTGTGATGCTGTAAAGTGAAGTAACTTAGAGTGATCTTTTCTCTATCGATGTCGCATAGTTGCTTTAGAAATAAGTTTCAAAAAGTTTAACATGGTTTGGAAGGATAACCTTATAAATTTTTACGTTGAAAATTGGAGTATATTATTTAACTATTTTTGGGTATTTTCTTGCTCCTTTTTCTTTGTATCTAGTCATTGACGTACGCCATAATTAAATTTTTAACTGATTGTGTATAGCTTTTGTTTAGGACTAAGAAAGTTACCAAATTTCATGCTTGATACTATCATTTTGACCTGAAGATTTTGGTTAATCGGTTTGTGCCTGTTAAAGTAATGTAAGTTGAACTGGACAAAGACAGACTGCATCTCCGCCCTGCCTTGCTTTGGGTATTACAGTGTTAGCAAAGGGGAGCATGTTCTGACTCTTGCATCTGTTAGCTTTACCTTAATTTTATCGCGTGTGCTTAAAGTCATAATTTACATCTTGTTTGTAAGTGGATCTCGTGTTGCAACTGTTATCCATGAAGATAGTGCCATGGATCTATTCAGTTGCTGAGACCTCTATTGTATATACTTATATGGATATATACAATAAAATTTAAATTATTTGCAGTAGCTCTATTAAGAATTTCATTGTCATCATGGATATATGTTTATCTATTAAATGTTGTTATCTCTGTGTTGATTTATGATTATTTTTTTGTCAAATCCTTATAGAAGATCCATACATGTTTCTCTCCATATTACATTTTTGCAATCATTACCAGGTATGGTTTTTGCAAATGAGATGAAAGTGCCAAGACTCAAGTCACTAACTGCAAACTTACATCGGATGGGGGTGACAAACACAATAGTTTGCAACTATGATGGGAGAGAGGTTAGTATCTTGGTTTACTGCCCTTAATACTTGGTTAATGGTTATGCTTTTTAAATATTTCTTTTACCGTGAGACTTGCATTTAATAATTTGGAATTTAGTTGATCTTTCTTTTTACTATTCTGAGGTGCTCATTTTGTAAATTTTACATCCATACTCCCACATACACACAAAATTGGGGCAGTCCTTTGCCTCCTTTTATACCTGGTAATTTTCTAAGATTTTCGTCAATTCCAGTCAACTTGTCTAATGTTTTTAATTTTCTTTTCCTCTTTTACCAACTCTAGCTACCCAAAGTCTTGGGTAACAACACAGCTGATAGGGTTTTACTGGATGCCCCTTGCAGTGGTACTGGGGTGAGTGATCAAACTTGATATTAATCTTTGTACTCACTTTGGTGCCAGCTTTGAAATCAGATGAATTGTAATTACTTTGCAGGTTATTTCTAAAGACGAGTCTGTCAAAACCTCGAAAAATTCTGATGATATACAAAATTCTTCTCGCTTGCAAAAGGTATAATATTCTATTGACAATGTGAATTCCCTAGTTACATTGGTTTTTGTGGACATTAGGAAAAAATGGTTAATGATTTTTTCGTGAATGAACTTGACATTTGCAATAACTTTTCCCACTCCAGATTCAGGTTGGAACTATTCCTTATTTTATTTGATTTTTTTAATGCATGTCAGGCCTCTTATGCTACATTTGGTGTGCAAGAATTTAATTTAGTAGGAACAAAACGAGTATGAAAAGGAATTGCCACATTTGGTGTGCAAGAATTAAAGCCATATTATCTGCTTTTCAATAAAGAATAATTTCTTTTAACTAATTCTACCATTCCATTGGGTATTACTGTGGGAAACTTTTTCAAGCATTTCTGGGCTTCTTTGCAGGAACTGATACTCGCAGCTATTGACATGGTTGATGCCAATTCAAAATCGGGGGGATACATTGTCTATTCAACATGCTCCATTATGATTCCAGAGGTTTGTGTTTGAGTACACCCTTTAGATTTCTAGTAATGTTTTCTATTTATTTATTTAATTTCTTTTCTTGTTTTCCTTATTTTGCTTTCTAAATTTGAAACCTGCAGAATGAAGCAGTCATAGACTATGCCCTAAAGAAGAGGGATGTAAAACTCGTGCCGTGTGGACTCGACTTTGGGCGTCCAGGGTATCACTAATTTTTTTACTTTTGTGAAGTTATGAGCAAACCTTATATATGTCTGTGTTTACTGATTCTTCTCTTTATCAGTTTTGTTCGCTTTAGGGAGCACCGGTTTCACCCGTCTTTAGAAAAAACAAGACGTTTCTATCCCCATGTTCACAACATGGATGGTTTCTTTGTGGCAAAGGTATATATCATCGTTTCCTTCTTTCAAAAGGATTTTTTTTCCCCATGATGTATTGCCTTAATTATTATTATTTTTCTTAAAGGCTTGTATGTATATTTGCGATGGGTCATAGCATGCAGTTGAATTTCCTGGAAAGATGCTCTACATACCAGATGTATTTCTATTGGATTATATGCTTCTAGAACTTGCTAAATTTGATCAGGCTAATCAGGGCCTGTGTTAAGAAATGGATACTACTATTAGCCCCCCTTCAGAGGAACCGACTTTGGGTGGCATTTTCTCCAATGGAGAGACAATAGTTTTTTTCTCGATCATTGATGGTTCTATCCATAGCAGACCATTGGCCATGAATGCTCTCCATAATAATTATGACCCATCGCTTTAGCCAATTTAGCTTTTAAGACAGGATAATTCAAGTCCCAGGTTTTTTTGTTACTGGGATAGGTGAATTCTTATCGATCCGTCCCATAGCTTCAGTGATTGGATTCTCGAGTTATGGACCAGTGTCTTGTGTAGAACAAAACACATTTTGGACCTAACTGATTTTTGGTTTACTTGCTTGGGCAAATTCATCAAATTGGTTTACTTATAAAACCTCATAGACTGAATGATTATGAAACATGAGGCCCTGTAATATGACACTATAATCTGAGTTTCATCCTTTTGCAGTTGAAGAAAATGAGCAACTCCAAGCCAACTTCAGCAATTTCTGAACAACCAGAAACAATGAATCAAGGTCTTGAGCCGATTGATAGCAACAGCATGAAGAAAGCTGTAGATGAAGGCACTACCAAAGAAAATGAGAGCTCGGTAAATGTTTTTCCTAAAAAAGGGAAAGATGAACTCCCATCTACCAAAGAAAATGGGAGCTTGGTGAATGGTTTTCCTAAAAAACGGAAAGATGAACTCCCATCCACCCCTAGAAAGTGGAAGAGAATGAAAGTCCCTTCTAAAATTGAGATCTCGAAAGCCAGGTACAAGTCTCTTTCAACTATAATTGCATTCTAGCATCCGTAAATTTCAATGTTAGTTCTTTGTTTAATGTGATATAGTTTTGTGGAAAGAAGTAAGAACAACCTCCTCATTAAATGTAGGAGTAATCTCAAAAACTCAAAAACTGATAATTTTGGAAGAATATAACTTCTGTTTTGGTGTGATTAAAATTCTTGTTTATATCTTTTGGAAATCCTGCAGAGAAGAGAAAAGACAAAATTTGAGGGAAGCAAAGAGGAAAGCTTGGAGGGAAAAGAAAGGTGCAAGGAAGTAGTGGAATTGTGAGACGACCCGTTGGCACGAAGCACTTGTTTGGTTAGCCCTAATTTGCTAGGAGAGACCTGTTTTGGTGTTCAGCTGGATCCTTAACTATTTTATAGAGTGAAAAGAGGATTCACCAGAGAGCCGACCGGAGTACACGGGCTTGTGCAATGCTGAGGAATGAATCTTAAGACGAGTGCAACAATTTGTGGCGAAGTCCATAATGTTTTGTTTTTTTATTTTTATAATTTTGTGTTTGTTCAATTTTGTTCCATGAAATTCTTATGGTTATTATAGTTGTTGAGGCAGAGGTCTTGACCATGTTTTTGTATTCACCCCATACACACTGTGTTTCACTCCTTAACATTTTGTCTTCTTTTATGAGTTTTGAGTTCTAAATAAATTGTATTCGTAGTTGAACTTTCTGTGTTTCCATTTTTTCAATTCCTTTTCCATATTTCTGTTTTTCTTGCGCAATTGTTAAACGTTTTTCCAATGCCGTTTAGAGTTTTCCAACTGAATACTTGGGGGCATCTTAAACAGAAAAATGATATTTGCACCATTTAAAAGTATTGTTACACTTGTTTTTCTTTTAAAAATTGAACAAATTTCAGGCATTTTATAGTGAGCTACAGTCCGTGTAGATATTTTTTTACTTTGTACACTCTTCTCTATATGCTCACACCTCCCCCGTTAATGTGGGACAGTGTGAACTCTGAGACAAAGTGAGAGTTCACACGTTTACACAACTTCTCCTCCCGATAATGTGGAATCAAACATCAACACTCTCATAGTTAGCGATTGTTTTTTTGTTTTGCAATTTTAAGAAAATAGAAACATGATTTTGCTTCCTTTAGTCAAAATAGAAAGCAAAAATAATATTTATTAACATTTGTTGTTGCCACAAATTTGATAAAATAAAACAATAACAATATTTAATAATACATATTTGTTACAAAATGTATATAATATTCTTTTGGTTTTTATTGTATTTTTTAGTTTTTTTATTTCTATTTTATTTTTTTCATGGTAAAAATTTTAGGAGTTAGTGATTAGAGGGGCGAGGAGGGTAGATGAGTTGAACACGCACTCTCGGACACGGCCCATGGGGAGTAACCGAACCATTCAGGCACGTCACTTGCTTCCATTAGTAACAAAAAATCATAAATCTACAAAATTCAATTTAAAATTACAAATCTTAATAATAATACATCATAAGTACAAAATTAGATATATCAAGACAAAAATACTCCCACCACAAAAATACTACCACCAATTATGTATATAAATACATGTATATACATGATGTATATATTTATTATGTGACATATAATATATTTAGTATATGATAATTTATTATGAATAAAAAATATTAAATAATATATCTTACATGTAATAAAATATATACTGTGTTATAAAATTGTAAATTAATTATAATTTAATATTTGCATATAATATAATAGAGATATGGTATATAATAATATAAAATATCTATTGCATAATAATTTAATAACATTATATTCTATATTAAAAATTATTTTGTCACAAAAAATAATCTACATTATTATTTAATATATTATATATTACAAAATATTTTTATCAAATAAAAAACAATGTACAATATTTAATATATTCTATATTAAAAATATATATTTTTATTAATATTTAATATGCAACTTAGTATATAACACAATTAATATGAATTTTATTTGAAATGAATAGTGCTGATATAGTAACAATAATGAAAATGTCAGTGCCGAAAACATAAGAAATGTTTTTTTTATGTTTTATCTTTTCTTTACAAAAATTGAAAACGTTTTCTGTTATAGAAAAACAAAAACATATTATTGAACGCGATTTTTGTTTTCGTTTTATCTTTTTAGGGGTTGACAACAGAAAATAAAAAACATTTATAGTTACTAAATGCAGCCTAACATTAACATGTTTGGTTTTTAATAAATGTTAAATCATTAAAAATGTATTAGCACTTAGTTTAATGCATGGACAATTCACGTTCCTTATGTATTGTAAACAAGTTTAATTTTAAAGAAAAAAAAACGTTTAAAATTAGGCTATTTATATTTATATGAAGAGAGGACAATCTTATCAATATCCTTTAATTGTTTATCTAGGTTATTCTATTTTATTCAAAAAAAAAAAAAAAATTCAATTTTTATTTTTTAAATATTAAATTTGAGGGGTGGATTCAAATTAAATATATAAATATATGTTTCTCTTTTCTCATCTTTGGGGTTAGATTCACTTCCCTAGAGCAATGGCGGAGCAAGAGTTGGACTTCACGCTTCCTTCGAGCCTCCACTTGGTTTCTGCATTTCTCGCCATGGAACCACCAGATTTCTTGACTTCCCTGGCTCGGTAATCTCTCTCCCCTGCGCATTTTAGCCAACCCCACCCCTGTATTCCATCGGTAAATACTACTACTTTATTGAACTAACAACGAAAGTGTTGTATGTGATTGGAACGCTAGGGTATGTGGTGGAGGCTCAATCACAGAGCGAGTACAGAGATTCATCTGGGACCACTGTATCAGCGAAGCAGTAAGCCACTTTGCTCCTATCTACTCAGCCGAGTGGTTGATTTACACATAATACTAGCGTTTTTCAAGCTTTTCCTCCGTTTGGTTGCTAGGGAATCGGAGGAAAAGAAAAGAAAATGTCATCATCTTCAATCTTAACCCATGTGTTTTGAAACATGGCATTTTGATTGTTGATTTTGAGTTAGAGTTGGTTTCGCAAAATGAGAATCAATTGGAGTCAATTATATGGATGTAATAATTAAAATTTTGGTCTTTTTGCTCTTTTTCGTGCATTTTCTCAGTTACCAAATGGACCCTTTAAGTTCTGATTATTTGCTCAATGGCATTTTGATTTTGATTTTATTTTGAGTTAAGAGTTGGTTTCGCAAAGTAAGAATTAAGTGGAGTCATTTAGATGGATGCAATACTTACAATTTTGTTTTGTTTTTTTTTTTTTTTTGCTTTTTCTTGCATTTTCTCAGTAACTAAATGGACTTAAGACCTTAGGTTTTGATTTTTTGCTTCGTTTTGAGCTATGCTTGGTTTTATGACCATCGCAGGATGGAAAATGCCAAGGGCCTTACTTGAAAAGTTTTCTAAAGAAGCTCATTGTTGGAGTTGAGCAAGAAGGTGCTGATGTCCTTGATGAATTGTATGAAAAGTATGCTTTTTTCATGGCTTCATTGAAGGTAATGTTCATGGTTGAAATGATGCTCTTGTGATTCTTAATTCTTTCTTGTTTTTATGTAATGCTTTAATGATTTCTTTTTTTTAATCAAGATTTGCTGGGTTTTTTAGGACAATGAGGTGGCAAAAGGAAACTCAAGGGTTTTGAAATCTATCTCATTTCTTTTCCCAGATGGTAGGAATCTTATTTCATGGGATCCTTGCATTTGGAATTTTAACTTATTACTTGGCATCGACTTATGTTATTACGAGTGTTGGAATTTCTGTAGACTGCCTTCAAATTCCAAGTTGTCCAAAGTCAATGAAACTGGTCGTTCCACTGTATTCTTCTCTCAACATGCTTGCAGGAGATACTGGGTATGTAATATTGCCATCAGGTTTTAACATATATGTTGCCACAAACTGAGACCTGTATTTGACTGTTTTCTGAGGAGACATCTATAGCATTGATTATTGTTAATTTCTTAGTTCAGAAAGCCACAAACATATAGAGTGACGTAATTTTATTCATCCATTCTGAAGGAACTCATATGATCATCGAGATAGCTCAACGATTGTTGAAAATAGTTTAAATCTCAAATAAAATCCCAACTACAGATCCTTGAAGCTCAATTCCAACCCACTTTAAAAACTTATATTACCACCTATCACATGAGATATGATACCTTTAAGGATTCAAACCAACTTCACATCAAGCTCCAATACGTACAGAATCACTGTAACTATGAGCAATTCAAAACATGTTCACTCCTTCAATTTACTTAATTTGAAAGATTATAAGCTCTAATCATCGTCACTCCATTTATTATAACAAATGTTGGTCAATAGGGGGCTAAGCTTGTATAGGAGAGAGAATGCAATTAATTATGACATATGAAAATCAGTGTGAGAAGTTCAATACACTGTAAAGCTGGAAAGTATCATGTGGAGCTGTCAAATTAGAACCCTGTCAAACTAGTACCCTGAGTTGTCTACTAATGACTTTAGCTTGCCCCCTAAATGTTTCTACACCTTCGAGCAGGTGTCAAAATGAAAATTCGCAAAGTCAACTATGAGACTCGCAAGTCCCACTACGTGTGACCGTAGTTTTGACTGTGGAGAGAAAGTCCCACAGTAGTTTTAAACTAGATTATTTTGGGATGTGCTCCTGAAGCATAAGGAAGCTGCCATAATACAATCTGAAAAAAAGAAAAGAAAAAGAAAAAGAAATACATAAAAACCAAGTCCGTAAATTTTCAACTAAATCAAGTATGCTTATGTAAGTATAATGCTGGTTATAAAGGAGCAACCTTTTTTGTAAGATACTCGTGGATAAGTTGAGGATGCTATGTCAGTAAAGTAAGTGCTAAGGTTAGAATGCATGCATAAGATTAGGAACTGTTGGAGACTTGGAGTGTTGGTACATATGCTTTATTCATTAGGATTTAGAATTTTGGACTTGCTTGTTTCAGGAATTATTAGTAGAAAATTAGACAATGGATTAAGAGCATGAAAGGCCTTGCATGCTGAGGGAAAAAAAGTGAAGTCTGTGTTGCCATTATTTGGTATAACCTGCAATTTCATGAATAATGCAGGACATTCGGGAAATATTCTGGAATAATTAACTGTACGGACAAAGTCAGGTTCATCCATTTGTTGAGGAGTTGAGGAACAACTGTTATAGTTCAATTTCTTAGCTACGATGGTCTTGTTAGTGGTAAAAGAAGAAGATATTAGTGAGAGTATGGAGTAACTAAATCCTAGAATGACAAAATATGGCCAATAATGAAAAAAGACCGTTAATTTTATGAGTGATTTTAAATTTCATTGAACAACCAAAAGATATGGCATTTGGTTGGCTAGTGTGGGGGACAGGATTTAACCTACTCAATCTGGTTTGTGTGAAACTGGGTATGCAAAAAGCTTAATTCTTGAAGTACATATACCGTTTGTCTGAGCTTTATTAGCCCAGCTCATATTCATCAGTCCAAGTTTGGATGGTTCATGCCTCTATGAAGTAAGTTTCAGTGAGTTCAGGCCGCCTAAATACAACTAATACCTACAAACAATGAAGGATGACTTGAACAACATTCTTATTCATGTGTTAAAAGAGTGACTTGAATACTTATCCTTGATGTCAAACTTCATGTTCTCAACCATCTAGTTTATGCTGATTCCATGACTGTTGAACATATGATACATGAGCAATTTATTTCTGGGTATCATTCCCTCCCAATCAGTTGGGCTTTGGGCTGACTTAAGATTGCAATCCTCTGACTACACTGAATTCTGGCTTGAAACTCTGACCAATCTCAGGTTGAATTAATTTGGCCAATAAGTGGGGTGACCAGCCAGTTAGGCTAATTGTGACAGCCCCCAGTATTTAGTATACGGCCTACTTATGTATTGATATCTAAAAATCCACTTTGACTCCAATGAACTTGCGCTAATTTTTTTATCATGCGACACTATCTACGGCAAGGCAATTTCTAATGAGTTACTTGGTCATTATTTCTTTAATTATGGATACTTTGTTATGTATAGAATGTATCAGTATCCTTTTGTTTGGCTTTTATACGAGTTAAGCAGATGTTCCCTTGATCTTTATTAGGAATGTCAAAGAATAAATTTCAGTTCTTTATGGCATTATATACAGGTGTTCCATTTGGCCATCAAGTCTTTTTTTGTCAGAGTTCATCCTTTCATGCCCTGGAATATTCTCAAATAAGACTTGTTTTGAGGTATGATATGTGTTCCATCCATAGGTACTGCAAATGCCTGTCCAACTTGAATCATTTATGACCTAACAAGTGAGCTGATGCTGTGGATTTCTCTGCGTCACTTATGCTCTTGGCCTTTACAAATGGTAATGGCAAAAAGAAATTTCGATAAAAAAATCACAGATATGCTTCCCTTATTTTCATCATGCGTTTGAAATGTTGTATGACACTGGTCTGGTTCTAGCAATTTATACTTTGTGCTTGTCATTTTTTTTTTTTTTTGGTTCTATTTTTATCTTGTTGTGTTTTGTGTAATCCAATATATTTAATTTATTGGAGGCATTAATTACAAAAAACAGGTTGGTTCAGGTGTTGGTTTGGTTGGCATTTGTCTTGCCCATGTAAAAGCCTCTAAGGTAAGCTCTCTCTCTCTCTCTCTCACTCTATTGTGTGTGTGTGTGTGTGTGTGTGTTGATTGATAACCTCCAAGGCATTGGGTATGTAGTCGAACCTCACTAATATAGTTTGTAATTGAAGCCTTATTTTTCTGCAGACATTGTTATGCTTGTATACTTGAAGAAGGATTATATTGTGTGATTGTGTTGGTATTCCATTTATTTTTCCGTCATCTATAAATCATCCTGTAAATGGCAAAAATCTAGGTTGCTCATAGCATGTTTTTTTGATTCATAGAAACAAACGTTCAATCCTGCTTTCCTATGAATCCTTACTGTTGATCTAGATGGTAAAGAAAACTATTGATCTAGATTCACAGAAACACGCGCGCTCAATAAAAGTAGACAGCTTCTTGAACCTCTTCTTTCACAAATGAGTACAATCTGTAAGGGGCGACATTAATATTTTTCCCCCATCAAATCCTAAGATTTGATTTTTGAGAACCCTTGAAAGGCTATTTACCTTTTAATATTAGCAACTGTTGCTTTAAAGTTATAAACATGCCTCTTTTTTTTTTTTTTGTTTTTTGGAGAATATATGGTTCATCCAATCACCTTTGAAAATATTCCTTTGATTCAGGTGATCCTGAGTGATGGTGACTTGTCAAGTTTAGCAAATATGAAGCTTAATTTGGAGTTAAATCAACGGAGCAATAGAACTGATTTTCCAGAAAGAAGCACGGAACTTCAGAATCCGGTATGTTATGATGATAGTACATTTTTATCTGGCATCATTGTCTACTCTTTTACTGTATATGATGTATGGGAATAATCAATACATATCCGATGGAAAAAGTGAATACCCATATTGTAAAGCAATCCTTATATTTATTTGGCTCAATCGAATTAGAGCCCCAACTACTTTGACTTACTGGAAAATTCTTCATTCTAAATGTGAACGAGGGATACGCTAGAACAGGTGCAAAAGAATGATTTTTTTTTTAAATAGTGATGTTTAAATATACATAGTTTCTCTCTCCAATTTATATGAGAATCTTCCTTAATATGAAAATTATCAACGAAAATTGTAAATGTATTAAATGTAGATATTATCAATCAATATCAAGTTCTTAAATTTATCATGTTGTTCAAAATTTTTTTTTTATCTTATTTTTTTTTGCTGCATCACTGAAAAGAAGTGTTTAATTTGTATGTTGGAGGAAGTCGTAAACCATTTTGTTGCTCTTTTGTAGAAAATTTAGACTGTCCATTGATCTCAAGTTGAAGTAGCTCCCAGCTTTCCATTATTACTGATTTTAGCAACTAGAGAAGTATGTTTGTCTTGAAATATGAGTTCAAATACATTTTAAGATTGTGAACTTGTTCAGTGAAGACGCATCAATATGGTTGCTTATGGAATTTGAACGCTTCAGTTTTGTTCATGCAGAATATCTGAAGCAACTAGTAATATTTTGGCATTGGAATACAGCCACGATGGGATAAGGCTTTGAGGTTTCTGTGGTTATGATTATCGCATTCATTTCTTAAAGTTTAAACCTGAAGCCCCTTGAATATGATTATAAGCTTTAAACTTCAAAGATAATTTTTGTTCTTTGAATGTGGAACTGTTTCATGAAATATTGTGGTAGCTTACTAAAGTTTAAACCACGAAATGTAACTGAAGCACAATATCGAACAATGCTGACTTGAATCGTGATATCAGGTACAATGCATATATCTGCCATGGGAATCGGCTCTGGATATTGGGGTCGAAGACTTCATGCCGGACATAATGTAAGTGTTTCCTTTTCTAATTATTTAGTTGGCGAAAGCGAGGGCTATTTAAGTGCTGTGTTCAATTTTACCACGGTAATGACTTTGATTGTCAAGAGTCCAAATATCCATAGGTAACCAACATGTTGACTGGTCAAAATCATGTTAGAATGTTAAACAACATTATCAAGTTAGAAAAAAATACAAGAAGAAACAAGTAAATGTCTGTAAAATCCAAAAATCAAAGAGTTGGTGCCATAGTATCTGGTTTCTCGTCATGGCACATAGAGAATCGTGTCAATTTTCTGGAGTTGGCATGTTTTAAGTGCTGGATATGTTTGGGTGCCTTAACTTTTAAGTTTCTTGGTGAGACTTTATGTCTATCTCGTACATTGTGTCTTATGGTCATTTAGCTGGAATTTCAAAAATCAGTGGTGGGACACAGCGTGCTAATCTTACATGATTTAGTGGTTCAGTTCCATTTTTTAGGTCATCATTTATTAAGATTATTGTTGTTTCACTTCTCTTTATACAGCTTAGGTGCAGACGTAATCTATGATCCATTATGCCTTCCACACCTTATTCGAGTTCTTTATGTTCTTTTGGGCCATGAAAAATTGTTATCTCGTCGCCAGAATGATCTCTGTTCAGACTGTCAACAGGGTAGTAGACATATAAAAGGTGGAGTTTGTGGTGCTGACTATGCATGTGGACTTGATGGAAGGAAAACTCACCATAACGACCAACTAAAGAATTCCAATCATGATAATGGGCACGTCTTTGATACTGGTCCAGGCAAAGCTAAATTTCATGGTGATCTAGATGCTGAATATCCGTGTAATGCATCAACGGAAGGCCCTATAGCATACATCGCTTCTGTCATACGCAACATGGACACATTCAATTGCTTTCTTGCACTAGCAGAACATGCAAATCTCGTTGTCACAGACATAACTGAAAAAGTTAAGCTGTTTGATTTGCTTCCTTATATGCAATCATACAATCGGTCCAGCATACGGCTATTTACTGTTGTGTCTTTATGCAAGTGAACTTTGCATCCCTGCATAATTCAAGTAACCTGTGTGTGTGTGTGTGACCAGCTATTCGGCTGCTGGTTTTATAGAGCTATCACCCTGTAATTGAAATGGAAGTGTTATGATTTCCTGTGGTAGGTTCCAATGATGCCAATGGCGGTAGTTTTTGCTATCAAGAAAGGCACTGCATGAATTGTTCCAATGAGATCGTTGTTATTCATTATCTGCAGATGCTATTAGTAAAATCAAGATCGTTGTTATTCATATGGGTGATGGAAGATGAGAATGTAACTTTTAGAACTTTTGAATTGGAATTTGAATTATATTTTGATAATGATATTATAGAGCTTAGCTCTTTATTTATCCAACTCCTCTTCTTTGGTTGTGTTTTCTTGTTCTATATTCTCCTTTCTCCTATTCACCGGGCGGGAGAGAGGACTCGAGACAGATAATGTTTTTGCTTTGTGTTTTTTTGCTTTTGCTAGTGTAGTGTAGCGAAGCAGAAACACAAAGCATGTTTGGTAATGTTTGTTGTCATTTGAATATTACTGAAAAGCTTTCGAAATTGAAGCCAAATTCGAAAGTATAAAAATGATGTTTTTTTATTTTTGGTTTGCTTCGCACTGTAGCAAAGCACTTAAAAAAAAAATAAAAAAAAAAAAAAATCTTTTTAAAATGACATTTTAACTAGTCTTTCAATTTTTCAAACTTGAAACGCTTTTTACTTTACATGTTTTCATGTTTTTGGCTTTAAAAAATCTTGTAACAAATTTATATTATTAAACAAGTTTTAAAATAGTGTTGAATACGCTCTAAAATAGAAATATTGCTTCTGGTTCAAATCAAAAGAAAAGCACGAGACAAAAATGATCGCCAAAAGGATCCTGAACTTTTTATATTTGAGAATATGAAGGTTTAAACTTGCACCCCATTTAAATCAAGAGGAGGTCCAATTCAGATAAAAAGCCCGATCTGAATCAGGCTTTAAGCCCGATTGAGGGGCCTAATCTAATTCTACCTGGGCTTCAAATGTGATGGCCTGGCATGGGCCATTTGAAATGCTTATGCTTAGCATACAACCAAAAAGTTAAAAATAGGAAGAAAAGAAAGGAGAAAAAAAAAAAAACAAAAGAATTAGAATCAATTGGAACTGTCCCAATTCGTAATAATTTTAGTGGTTGGAACAAAAGTTGAAGCATTTTATATTGGGAAATATTAGAATATGTATGTACTCACAGCATCATATTGTCATTTTCTCCCTAGAGAGGTAGACCCCACAAGGTGTTGTCACACGCCATTAGAGAGAAACACCCAAATTCCCATTTGAAGTAATTTAAGTTGTATATTTGGTACAACTAGATGGTCGGTGGTGGACGAGAGAAGAGATAAAAACAGAATTCGGACACGTACTATCCTTGTCAGAAAAGTAAAACCCACAGCTGTCACAAGTGTACTTATATCATTTGAATTATATTTATATAATGCATAGATGCACCACACACGCATACATACATACATACATACATATATATATATATATATGTATGTATATATATTGTCAGAACGTATGTCTATTCAACGGCAACATCGTGAAGTTCAGGGCCAAGAAAATGGAAGGAAAACAGGAGATTGAAGTAATTCATTCATGGTCTGCTCCCAGATCTCTCAGTACTAGTCTCATGTATTCTTTTGCTCAGGTACCCATTTCATTCACACACAATAGTATCTATCTGTGTGTATGTTTTATTGCTTGCTTGTTTGCTTGCTTGATGAAACGGGTTGCTATCAGAAAGTTCTATCTATTTTATGTTTGTTTGCTTGATAAAATGAGTTGCTATCAGAAGTTCGTTTTTATTTATTTTCAAGAAAATGCGAGTACACTCACAATATTGCCCCGAACACTCAACCATATTTCCTTCAATTTCCAAAATTGGTGTGGTCTATGTTTTCAATCTTGTGCTAATTATATTTGGATTTTGAAATTGTCTAGATTAGATATGTGTTATTACAAAGAAAAAGTAAATATGTACTGAACTAGAAAGATGAGTCATATTCATTCATATATGCTGTTGCTAATGTCTTAATTTTCTTGATTTCTCAATTTACGGTCATGACCCTGTTTGCTCCTCCATTAGGATGTTGGGAGAGTGGGCACAAATATAGACCTCACCTTTGGTATTATTTGCACGAAATGGTTGCTCTCAAGATTCGAACCCGGTGTTCTCATGCTTGATAATATTAAATCTATATCATGAAAATTATGATCATTATAGGTTGCTTACTTTGAAAAAACTGAAACAAAAGTACCTCTTTGTCATCCGAAGACTGTACCACTGGGCCATTAGTCTAGATGGTATGATCTCTCCTCCCAAAGAGAAAGGTTGAGAGTTTGAACCCTGTTATGGGCAATATTATGTGAGCGCGCTTTTGCTTGAACTTTCGAGGAAAAAGTAAAAAAAAAAATTTAAAGACTCTAATTTTAGAAAAAAATATATTATGGCTTCTGGTTTGAGCTGTGAGGTTTTTTAGTATTCCCAACTCAAAGGTTTCTAAAGTTAACAGCATAATTGGTAAATGAGAACATGTTCAAAAGCGAGTGAGGGTAACCACAAATGCTGGCTAGAAAGTTAGTTGCTTATTCGTTTTTGATAAAAATTCGAATAGAAATTTGGTTCCTTTTAAGATTCGTGAAATGCCATGGGGCCGGAAGGGGTTGTGCAAATATACATTATGGTTTTGCTTCAAGGACTAGGTCTAGGAGATGATTCCAAGCATGAGAACCTAGTTCATGGTAACCACAAATGCAAAATAATGTCAACAGTTTGGTCTTACCCAGCACGTCCCTTCGAATATTTAATCAATAGGGACCATTTCTTTTTTTTTTTTCTTTTCAAAGACTGGGAAGTCAAAAATCATTTTTTCGTCAAAAAGGAATGCCAAAAATAAATAGCCATAGAATATGTGTTTTATGATGAATCCATTATGCTTTATATCTAATCGCAGTTGTTGATATATTAATTTTTGCCCCTCTCCTATTTTGGGTTTTCTTCAGAGGGATGATACAGAAGTGCTTGATGAACCACTCTATGCAAATTTCCTCCGTTTAACTGGTGTGGAAAGGCCTTACAGAGAAGAACTTCTATCAAAAACGGTAAATGAGATGAAGCATTATCATTTTTGTGTTCCACCTTCTCAACCTATCCCCTCTTTAAAATTTTGTTGAATTATCTTCAATCTACCTCGAGTGATGTGGTGGCTTTCTACTTGCTCTACTTGTTCTAAACTGTAGTGAGTAGCAGGAGACTAACATCCTTTTATTGTTTACTACTTTTTGAACGTATTTTGTGGTGTGTGATTCACAAAATGAGGTCTAACTGCTATTTGCTGGCCAGGAATTATCCGTTAGCAAAGAAGAGAAGAGTAGGAGAAAAAAAAGAAGGAGAGAGAGAGAGAGAGAGAGAGAGAGAGAGAGAGAGAGGAGAAAATTATGTTTTTTTGAGAAGAAAAAACTGTGGGAAAAAAGAATGGAACATAATTTTGAAATTCAGAGAAAGAATATGAGAATTAAAACTCAATTCAATATTATTCACGATGGTGTTACATTGAATTTATAGAATAATACCTAGCTAAAATAGGTAACTAATTATACAATAATAGGGAAACTAATTGCCTACCAATTAGCCCTAAATCAAGGAGCAAATAATTCAATCCTACAGCTGTACAATCTGTATGATCCCGGATTACAAAAGGTAAAATCTCAACACACCCCCTCAAGTTGGTGCATAGATGTCACACATGCCCAACTTGTCTAAAATTTTTGAAAACACTTGATTTGAGACTGCTTTGGTGAGAATGTCGGTTAGTTGATCCTCAGATCGAATCTTAGGCCAACTCCACAATTTTTCCATCCAACTTTTCCTTAATGAAGAATTTGTCTATTTCGACATGCTTCGTACGATCATGTTGAACTGGATTATGGGCAATATCATATCCTGCTTTATTATCACAATATAGTCGAATGGGTTGCCTAGGTAGATAACCCAAATCTCGCAAGAGAAGTCTTAACCACAAAGTTTCATAAAGTCCAAGCGCCATACCTTTAAATTCAGCTTTTACACTCGAGCGAGCAACAACATTTTGTTTCTTGCTTCTCCATGTAACAAGATTACCTCTTACAAAAGTGAAGTAACCAGAAGTAGATCGTTTATCATCTATAGCTCTAGCCCAGTCAGCATCAGTATATGCATCTATGTTTTGATAACCAGTATTTTTAGTAAACAAAATTCCTTTTCCAGGAGCAGATTTTAGATATCTCAAAATGCGCATAACTGCATTCATATGTTGCTCTCCAGGATCATACATAAACTGGCTAACAATGCTCAATGCATAAGCCAGATCCGGTCTCTTGTGTGCTAAGTACATCAATCTTCCTACAAGTCTTTGGTATCTTCCTTTATTAGCAGGTACTTGGTTGGACTCAACACATAACTTCAGTCCTTCTTCCACTGATGTCTCAGCTGGTTGACATGCTGTCATACCAGTCTCTTGTAATAAATCTAAGGCATATTTTCTTTGAGATAGAAAGATTCCTTTATTAGATCGAGATATTTCGATCCCAAGAAAATATCTCAAAGGACCTAGATCTTTCATTTCGAATTCTCTGGACAAGTACTTCTTGAGAGCCTTCATTTCTTCAGGATCTTTCCCTGTAACCACCATGTCATCTACATATACAATGAGTGTAGTGATCTTACCCTGTTGTTTCTTCAGGAATAATGAGTGGTCTGAATTGCTCTGATGGTAGCCAAAGACTAGCATCGACTTTGTGAATCTTCCAAACCATGCTCTCGGAGATTGTTACAACCCATATAATGATTTTTTTAACCTGCAGACCTTCCGACTATACTTTTCGGGTATCATGCATCCTGATGGGAGATCCATGTAGACTTCGTTAGATTATTCACCATGCATAAAGGTATTCTTGACATCGAATTGTTGCAATGGCCAATCCAAGTGCGCAGCTAAAGACAACAAGACCCGAACTGTGTTGATTTTGGCTACAGGTGCGAACGTCTCTGTGTAATCGATTCTATAGGTTTGGGTGTAACCTTTTGCCACCAATCTTGCTTTAATTGTTCAACTGTGCCATCGGCTTTATACTTCACAGTGTAAATCCAGCAACATCCTACTGGTTTCTTTCCTGGTGGAGGATCAATGAATTCCCAAGTTTTATTTTTCTGTAAGGATTTCATCTCCTCTTTCATAGCTGCTTTCCACCTAGAGTCAGCTAAGGCTTCCTGCACATTGTTTGGAATAGATAAAGTAGATAATTGATTTACAAATGACAAATTTGATTCTGACAAACGATGTTTCGACACATAATGACTCATGGGATACTTAACTTTATTAGAAAGTTCGGGTTCATATGTGGGTTTAGGAATACCTTTAGTGTGACACTGTGGTAATTGTTTTCTGAATGGCTCAGGCACTAAATCAGAAACATCCTCAGCAGGCGATTGGTTTGATATATCAGTTGCGAGGGACTCAAACTCGGACGATGGTAGGGTTGGCGCCATACTTTTCATTTTTGGGCGTTCAAAACCACTTTGATCTAAACTTATACCACTCGAATCCAATTCGCCCGATTCCTGATTGGCTGGTCCAACTTGTGAGTCATCACCACTAGAATCGCTATCCTAAAAAAATGTGATAATCATAATTTAGATAAACATAATCTAGAGTTTGAATTTCTTTCTGGTACTCCCCCTGAAGTTCAGATGCAGAGGAAAAATACATTGAGTCTTCATGGAAGACATCTATGGTGATAAACATTCGTCGAGTTGGAGGGTGATAACAGCGATACCCCTTTTTATGAGTAGCATATCCGAGAAAAACACATTGCAATGCTTGAGGAGTTAGTTTGTTGCGTTGATGCTTATGGAGGTGTACAAATGTTACACAACCAAAGACACGAGGAGGTAGATTTAAGATGGTTGGGGCAACAACTGCGTCAGTGAGAGCCTGCAATGGTGTCCGAAAGTCAATAGAGCTGGAAGGTACTCGATTGATTAGATATGCTGCAGAGGTGAGTGCTTCTCCCCAGTACGATAACGGTATATGAGCTTCTATCAATGAAGAACGAATAACCTCCAACAAGTGACGATTTTTTCGCTCTGTAACCCCGTTCTACTGGGGTGTATTGGAACATGTGGTTTGATGAATAGTTCCATGTGCTTCCAAATATTGTTGAAGGTCAAAACTCTGATATTCTCCACCATTGTCATTGCGGAGAACTTGAACATGTGCATTATAGTGAGTTTTAACCATTTTATGAAACTTTTGAAACAATAAGTTCACTTTACTTTTGGATTTCATCAAGCACAACTAGGTTATCCTGGTACAGTCATCGATAAAAGTAACAAACCAACGTGATCCACCTAAAGTAGTGACTTTGGACGGACCCCAAACATCAAAATGTATAACCATAAAAGGAAGTGGACTTTTATTCAAACATAAACGAAGCACGGTGGCTTTTTGCTAGTTCACAAACATCACAGCGGAAACTAGAACCATCAAAATTTTCAAATAAACTAGGAAATAATTTTTTCAGATAACCAAAGGAAGCATGCCTCAGACATCAATGCCACAGCCAGATGTCAGATTTCTTTTTCTCCCCCTCAGAACCATCCACTGTCAATGCTTGTTGTAGCTTGTCGGAACTTTTTGACATCAAGTCCAAGTAATACAGCTTCCCTCGCTTCATACCACAACCAATCGTCTGCTTTGTTTGGATGTCCTTAAACACACAAAAATCAGGCAAAAAAATTACAACACAAGATAAAGCTGGGAAACTGACAAAAGATTATAAGCTAAAGATGGAACAACTAAAACAGAATCTAAATACAGATTAGCAGTGAGTGTCAAAGATCCTTCCCCAATAACTGTGGTCGAAGTACCATTGGCAATAGAAACAAATTGTTGTGAGGAGGAATTAAGAGGTGAGACCTGTCTAGAATCAAATATCATATGATCTGTAGCACCAGAATTAATTATCCATGCACTATTAACAACAGGTGTAGAAATATTTAAAACCTTACCACCATTATCTCCAGTTACTACCAACCCCAAGGTCTTTTTAGCACCATCATCCTCTGTCTTAACAACTGCTGCAGTGGAGGCCTTTGTCGAATTTTTCTTCCAACGGCTATGATCCCACCATTTCGGATATCCCACAAGTTCGAAATAGCGACTTTTGGTATGACTAGTCTGATTGCAATGGGTGCATTTGTAGGTAGACTTGTCTGCACCGTTGGTGACTTTGGATTGATTGGGTTTAGTACGGTCCTGCCAGTTTTGCTTAGATCTGTTTCGAGCCATCTCGGACTCCCCTTTCAGAGTTGCACAATGTACCGCTTCTCGTCGAACTGAAGAGTAGCAGCCTTTCAAGTCTAGAACTGGATCTTTCCGTAGAATTTCTCCACGAATTTGTTCAAAATCACCATCCAATCCGGCAAGAAAGATGTTGTGATACCCCTCGATTCTAGAGCCACAGGTGATCAAGTCTGATGTGAACCCTTAGTCGCTCGATAGACTTCTGATATGCTTCAATGTCATCCGGATCTTTCATGACCACTTTATCTCGATGGTCCATTTCTCGGAAAACCTCAGTTAGCTCTCTATAATATTCAGATAGAGACTTTCCATTTTGTTTGGCAGTGAAGGCCTTTTGGTTCAAGGCGAAAACTTGAAACTCATCATTCCCATCATTAAAGGCCTTTGATATAGCACTCTAGATTTCGTGGGCAGTGGGTAAGCCTAAATAATGCTTCATAATTTCTGGAGTCATGGACATTAATAGGCACCGCTTCACTCTCTGATTTTCGGCATACCACTTGTTATAACCATCTTCTGATTCAACAGATGGCTTAGTCTTGCCACAAATATAAGAGAGTTTCTCCCTTTCAGCAATATGCATCTCCATCAGTTGGGACCAAACGTCATAATTGGATTCAGTAAGACTAATCCCTGCATTAAAAACACATTCAGATTGAATAAAAATAGGAACTGATTTCATCCCAGAGGATTCAATATTTTTTTCACTCATTTTTTGTTTTTTTGTTTTTTATTTTTTGTTTTTGTTTTTTGATATATATATATATTTTTAATAAAAAAAAAAACAAACTATTCAAGAAGCCCAATGCGTCTCTGTTAAGAGACACAAACAAAAAATAAAATAAAAAACAAAAAAATTGGATGAGAGCAGAGATGCCAGATCCGGCAACGTGACGGCAATGATGGAGGAAAGGAAAAGACGACTACCGTGGAAAGCGGCCGGCGATTTGATGATGGAGACAACGGTGGCTGATTTAATGATGGACGGTGGGCAACAGCGATGATGGAGACAGCGGCTGTGGGTTCTCCTCCTTGTTCGACGGCGACGATGGATCCGGCGGCGATGATGGAGACGGCGGCTGTGGGTTTTCTCCTTGTTCGTTGACTATGATGGCTCGGCTGTGATGCGGAGAGGACTGGTTCGGTTCGGCATCGGAGAGGCGGCTGGTTCAGCTGAGATGACAGCAGCGGACAGTGGGCGGTGGCTGAACTGTGGCTTCGGCCGTGATGGGCTGGTATAGACGGGGCAGCTGATTGATGAACGGCGGCGTGGGTCTGTGACCGGTGATGATGAAGGACGATGCAGCGGTTCGGCTGCGGCTTGTGATGGCAGCGGGCGTGATTTTTGGGTTGGTAGATTGGTGAATCAATGGTGGTTTATGGTGAATGTATATGTATGTGTATGGGTCTGTGAATTTATGTGTATGTGTATGGGTCTGTTGTATGAATGTATGTGTATGGGTCTGTTGTATGAATGTATGTGTATGGGTCTGTGAATTTCAAAGATAAATTCAAAGAGATTCAAATGTACGGTTCAATGATGGCTTTGATACCATTTTGAAATTTAGAGAAAGAATATGAGAATTAAAACTCAATTCAATATTATTCACGATGGTGTTACGTTCAATTTATACAATAATATCTAGCTAAAATAGGTAACTAATTATACAATAATCGGGAAACTAATTACCTACCAATTAGCCCTAAATCAAGGAGTAAATAATTCAGTCCTACAGCTGTACAATCTGTATAATCCTAGATTACAAGAGGTAAAATCTCAACACATAAAGGAAGAGGAAGGGAAGTAAGGGGGTGAGAAAGTGGAATGATTTTCAATACTTTATCTCCCCTGTTTGGCAGAAGAAAGAGAAGATCAAAGAAGGGAATTGGTTAAGAAGAGAAAGTGGAGGGTTTACGAAAAGTTTCTGTTCTCATCTCCTCTTTTCAAACACAGCAATCCTGAGGTGATAAAAAGGACTAGTGGAGGGTTAAGAGAGGAGTCCCATTTGTATCTGTTGCACTAAAATGATTTACAATAACATTTCATATTTTTTTTCCTTATGCTTTTGAATTTTTTTACATTTGCATATCATTGTTCTTTCTTTTATATTATAATTTTTATAATACCGTGTAGGTTTGTCACGTGCTCTAATGCTTGAAATTGATTTTCTGAATAGGAATCGGACGGAAATAAGGTGGTCAAAGATGTCATTTTCGGTCCTGGAGTAAAGAAGTATCGGTACTGTAAGGTAATCAACAAGCTTTTCAATCATGAATCAAAATAATTTAATTTTAGTGGGATATGTTAAATTATTGGCTAATTTTCCTCCAAAAATTTTGTACTTTGAAATTATTTTGTCAAGCTATGGATGTGTTCATTGTTCATGGTTTTACATCTTTGGGTTAAGATCACAAAAAACTAGAACTTTGTGGCATGGTAAATCAATCTTCCTAAGATCTAACACGCACACACACATTCATTGTCCATGCTTGAGTTTTCCCCAAACTTCAGGTGTACCATAATGGTGAAAACTGAAAAAAATAGTGTAAAGTAACTAGATGATCTCTTATTCTAGAAACTAGCACGAGAAAAAAATATTGAGGCAGCCATTGTCTTCCTACAAGCATATTGGTCTGTGTGGGCAACAATTGTCTTCCTACAAGCATATTGAAAATTTACTTGCAAGTTGTCTGTAGTATTCGATGTTCCAGAAAGATTTAAATGATCTGTTTGGGGGGTACTGGCCGTTATTTTCGTTGATGGTTTATTACATTTTAAAAAAGAGACAATATTGCTGTTAATAATCATTGAACTAGTGACCTTGTTATTATCTATTTTATGGATACACATCTGAACCAAAAGACTCAATGGTGGGTTGAGGAATCAAGGTCGAGGATGGACAGTTCCTCCAGACGGGATGGTCGGGGGTGTAAAAGGCGGGTAGCAGGTTTGCAACAGGATGTGGGGGCATTATGTGGTGTCTAAATTCATTACTCATTCAAGTATTCTCTCCATGTATTTCTTGGAATAATTCATCTATATTCTAATTAACTTTATGTTCTCCCCATTCAAAATTTAAAATGTTATCCTATTTCTTGTTTCTAGTAATAGTTACAACTTATTCTTCTAAAAGTTCATATATTGTTTATACTATTTCATTTCTTTGTCTATTTATTTCGATATAATAGAGTTTGTATTTTCCTTCTTCTTCTTTTTTTTTTTTTTTAAAAAAAAATTTATTTATAAATTTCACTTTCTCATTTAGCCAATTTAGTTTGTTGGAGGCATATGCTGTATTGAACCTACTTTGAATCATAGTGTCTACCACTAGGGACATGACTCTAACATCAAATTTGGATTAGAATGGGATATGTATACATATGGTTGGCCGACTCGGCCAAGTTGTATCAGAATGGACCTCCAACGAGCTTGAATTGGGCCAATACAGCATTGGGATTCCAGACTCCCTCTTGACTCCGATTGAGTCAGCTCTGATAATATAAAATGAAGACCCATCTCATTTTACACAATTTTTCACCCTTCTTCTTACTTTACAAGTGCCCTCTCTCAGTAAACTTAAATTTCAGTTTCAAACATCAAAATCAACAAGATCTAGCCTTAGATCTTGAATCAAGAACACCCCAAACAAGATTTAATCGGTGATGTTTCAAAAAAACTTTTTTGGTTTCTTCCGCGTCACTCCAAGTATTGTTTTAGATATCTTCTCACTTGGTACTATGTTGGTTAGTAATTATGTGATTAATTTTTAATTTTTTCATGTTAAAGTCTACCATTCCTCATTAATTTAGTAACAAGTCTAAAATATTATTATCTTTTTTGCCAACAATGATTTAAAGTTTATGTATAAGTCATAAAAAAGAAAAAAAAAAAGAAAAAAAGAAGCATATACCAAGGTGTTTCGGCCCTACACAGGAGGTTAAAAAAATTCATGATTGCGGCGTCCAATTCCATTACATTATGGCCGATATGGCCCGTATTTGTTACATCGCGTCCGCAACTACAAACCATGTGTATACATCATCAAGAAAGTGAAAGAATGATGCAAGCTCATCTATTCCCAATCATTAAAGATTTAGGAAAATAATGAAAACAATAGATGTTAGCAATTATAATTGGTCTACCTTTGTCCTAGTAGCCTTGTGTAACGGGTGGGCATTTGTCCATTTACCCAAAATCTTAAGCTATTGGGTAGTGCTGCATACCCACCCATTTATACCCCATTCATTTTCCCATCCAGATCCGATGTGAGACAAACTCCCCCTTGTAATATTCTCCCCCACTTGAAGTCGCAATGCCCTCGTTGCGGCTCGGGCTACCCTGCTTACCCGGGGTGAAGACCTGGACGCCCTTAGGGCTGAGCGCTTAGCGTGACACTAGATCAAGGACTGGATCTTGCTATAATACCAACTGTAACGGGTGGGTGCTTGCCCATTTACCCAAAAGCTTAAGCTATTGAGTAGTGCTGCATACCTACCCATTTATACCCATTCATTTTCCCCCATTCATTTTCTCATCTGAATCCGATGTGGGATAAGTCTTCCTTTGTAACATTCTCCCCTACCCGAACTTGCAACACCTTCGTTGTGGTCGGTCCACCTTGCCCACCTGGGTGGCACACCTAGACGTTTTCTGGCCAGGCGCTTGGCGTGATACCGGATCAAGGATTGGGTCTGGCTCTAATACCAACTGTAATGGGTGAGCGCTTGCTCATTTACCCAAAAGTTTAAGCCTAGGTCAGGGTTTGGAGACCAGTAGAGAGAAAAGGAAGAAAAAAAAATTATAGATGGCTTACCTTGGACAAAGAACGGAAAAAGCTGCAGAAAGATAACAAAATGTTGGTCAGTGTTTGGAGACTGGTATTGCCTACCAATGATCTTCCCCAAAACAAGATCCTCACCTTATTCCCTACCACCATATCCAACCTTCTGGGAGAACAAAGAGTACCCCTGGGAGATGAACTTCCAAGGACATTAGTGACTCTTTCTATAGGCTGATTAGATACCAACCACTGTCTTGCTATATTTATATTTGGTGATTCAATGTGAGTGATAGTTTTGCCTAATTGGTCTTTCACAGGCACTTATGCTACGTTTGGTGTGCATGAATGAAATGGAATGCCATTCCAACCATTTATCTGTTTGGAGTGTAGGAATGTAATGGAATGACCATTCCATTGGAATGAAAATCCATTCCAGGGAATGAAAATCCATTCCATTACTAAACCTATGGAATGGCCATTCCATTCCATAGTACGATTAAATATTTTTGTAATATTCCCAATAAGCCCTTTATTATATTCCAATAAGGCAAAAATCTTTGGTATAAACAAAAAAATATTTCACTTTCCATTTTTCAACTTCTTTATTAGACGTGGTAAAGGTCTTTTACCTTCCCTCTCTTCTGAATATACCCAGGGCTGCCATTGACAAAAAATCGCAGAATCTTCAACCAAATTGCAAGTATTAATCTCTTTATCTTCCGAGTATATCATTTAATTTTTTTCTTTTTTTCGTATCTTTGTGTTGAAACGTTTGTGTGATTTCTCCGTCTTTCTCTCTTCGAGCATTTATATATGGAGCAATGATAATATAAAATAAAAATTAACAATCATCTGGAGTCAAAAATAATATTTTATTTTATTTTAAGGTTTTTCTTTGTTTTTTTCAATGGCAGTATTGGGCATCTTATAACATTCCATAATTCATCGTCAGAATATTAATTAAATTGATGTTATTAAAAAGTAATGTAAGCCAATGAAAAGGGTATTTTTGAGAAAAATCATTCCATTCCAGATTTAATGATGGTCAACCAAATAATAGAATGGTAATAATCATTCCATTCCATAATGATTCACCGTGTCACACCAAACAATGGAATAATATTCTCATTCCATTCCATTCTTATTCTCATTCCATTCCGAGCTGCATTCCATTCCATTCTTGCACACCAAACGTAGCCTTAAAAGAATTGGCTTATATTTTTAACAGACAAGTTCTCCAAACCTAAATTTCGTTTATCATTGGGAAGCCGAGCTACCTCTCATTAATGTAACTGATTTTTGCTGTTCTCACTAGATCCGTCCCATAAAAAAAATCTCTTTAAATCTTTAATATTCTACAGGCAACCATAGTTAGAATCTTAAAGAGAGAAAAGTAAGGTAGGAGTGTTAAACAAATAAGACTGGACTAGAGTGATTTTACCTTCCCCAGAATTGAATCTTTTCTTAAAAAAATCTAACCTCTACCAATCGTAAAAACTTATATGGCCCTAAGATTACCATGCAAAAAGAGGGCCATGTAATACCTGTGCCAATCACTATGACCCTTTTTTAATTTTAAAGATTCTGTCATGTTTTAAATGAATATTTTACAAACCAAGTGTTGAGTTTTGATGAACTTTGGTGAGCTTCATAGGATTCAGTAGTCCTCAGATACAGGAAAGGATATGGCAATTTCAGTATGTTTAATATTTTGGTGCAGGATTATTTAGTTTGCAATTCTGACTTTTTATAAACCTATTCTCACCCTTTTTCTGTCTACAGCATATCGCAAAACAACACATCCCTGGTTTAACAGATGAGTTGATGAATAAAGGAAAGCACATCATATTGATACGTAATCCTCTTGAAATTCTGGTGATTTTTCTTCTTCTTTTATTTTTGGTGATATTTATCTATTAACCATTTGTCTTATATGAGCTCATAAATTTTTATTTTATTTCATACCCTGTCTTCATTTCTTGTTGATTGTTTACTTTTTTTAATTACTAGATTGTACCAAGGCAATAAACCTAAATTTTAATTTACAAAGTCAAGTGTTGAAGCCATACAATGATAGGCAGGAATATTTAATCTTTGTTTTGAAGATATTTCTTTTTTTACCTTAAGGAAATAATAGGTTTGTTTTAAATTATTCCTCATTTACTGATTTATTATTATCTGTATATTTTTTCAAATTATTCCTCATTTACTGATTTCTTTTATCTGTTGTGATGTATTCAGCCATCCTTTGACAAGGTGGTGCCTCCATCCTTTTTGGAGCTCGGATTGGCAGGCTTGGTTTCTATATATTGTGAGCTCTGTGAATTAGGAAAGCCTCCAGCCATCATTGATTCAGACGACCTTCGACAGGATCCCGAGGTTTTGAAAGCGCTTTTTGAATAAGTCTGATTTAATTTGTAGCGTTCTCTTTTTCCTTTATTTATCTTTTTTCCTTTATATTTGGCATAGATCATGGCATGGTTAGAGGATATTTTTAGATTTGATTATTCTAGTGTAAATCTGTATGTATTCAATTTTATTCAATCATAACATGAGTGCCTTTCCCCAAGCATGGTTATTCAGTTTAGAAATCTTTAAATTATTCTATTCTAAGTGTGAAAGAAGGATGGAAATAATGTACACTAACTTTAACATTTTTCTTCGCTTTTTCCTTCTTCCACATTGCTTTGATTTATTGGTTCATCTTACTCCTTATTGGCCAAATATCTTTGATGTGAAGCACAAAGGGTAACACTCCATTCTAGTCTAGTATACATTGCCAGAAAATTATCTTCTTATCCTCTATAATTTATCCTGAGATATATGGTACTGTGGACCAACTTATTGAGGAGTTTGGCTGGTAACTTCCAGGTTAACTGAATCCTTAGTGGACTTTGGGTTATTAGGAAATTGTTGTTTTTATTTATTTATTTCTTGCTAAGTTACTGTACATGGCAGAGTATATTTATTTTGGTGATGGATTAATCATAAGATTAAATTTGGAACTTTGGTGGCTGAGTAAATCATATTTATACATAGTTGCTTCATCATTATCAATGGCACTGATATAATTTTATTTCTGGTTCTAAAGATGATATTGCTTGAAGGTAATTTATGTCCTTTCTGCATAAATGACTCAAAAATTTATAATATCTGTATGAATTTTGTTTCGATTGTGCTTTGGCAATCCACAAATTTTTCAATGTTTTTTTTTTTTTTTTTTTTGATAAGTAAATATATATTAACAAAGATGCTCAAAGGGAAGCGAACCCCTTAACAAAGCAAACAAAAGACGCAAAATGCGCCATTACAACGATAAGTTGTCAACAAAATCCAACAAACTATCCACAGATGGACAATTTCTCCCATTAACCCAAGAAAAAAGAGAATGCAAAACATGCGACTTAATAACCCACGTCAGCGTCCCCTTTCCCTCGAAAGATCTCCTGTTCCGCTCGAGCCACAGACCCCACCAAACACAAAACCCTCCAAGCTTTTCTAAACCGACTACCCATTGGTCTCTCTCTCCAAGCCTCTAACATGTCCACCGTGTTCCTTGACACCACCCACTCAACCCCAAACACATTCAGAACCATACTCCAAACATCCGCTGCCACTTTGCAGTGCAACAAGAGATGGTTAACCGATCCGCCCGTCATCTTTCAATGTTTTGATACTTGAAAAGAAGGTCCCGACTCCTTGGAAATGGATAAACATTTAAATCGGATTTAATATTTGAGGCTAAACATGGTTATCATGTTTATGCATAATTTCAAAAGTCCTAACAAAGTTTTCAGTTGTCTTGCTTGAGAATTTATAATATCTGTATGAATTTTGTTTCGATTGTGCTTTGGCAATCCACAAATATTTCAACGTTTTGATGCTTGAAAAGAATGTCCGGACTCCTCGGAAATGGATAAACATTTAAATCGGATTTAATATTTGAGGCTAAACATGGTTATCATGTTTATGCATAATTTCAAAAGTCCAAACAAAGTTTTCAGCTGTCTTGCTTGAGTTAGTTGAATTTTGTTGTATGCTGGGTAGAAACTTGCTAATTTTCCTTGGTAGTGGTTCATTTTTCTCTCAGAAGTTGTAGATCTTAATATTATTTTAGTTATTTTGAGATAAAATTTATTCTTGTTCATGTGCAGGCTGCTTTACGTGGTCTTTGTGAAGAGTTGGATATCCCTTTTCAAGCTGCAATGCTCAAGTATGCAAAAGCTATTCCATTTAGATGTTCAGATAGTCATTGAGCCTGTATTATATTTATTCTATATACGCTAGCTGTCATATCTTTATTATAGCTTCATTACAGGTTCTTTTTTACCTTCCTCTTGTTCTTGAAGCACCTTTAATCTGCATTGTATCACTCTATTTTAATAGCGCGGGTGTTTCTTCATTCAGCAAAGTCAAAATATGTCTGCAAATATTATATATATATATATATATATACACTCAATTGTTAATACCTCTAAACTTATAACAGATTGCATTAATTTCTATTTCCATCGTGTCTTGCCTCACCTTTCTTCTGTTTCAGTTCTCTACACACTAATCTCTACCCTACAATTTAGTCAATCTGTTTCATGCTCCCAAAATTTGAATAAAGGGACATCCTGCCTATATCTTACCCTTGTTCACGAATTGGAGAACTCATCAAGAGTTCAATCAGTGATATTATATAATATCGGTTGTCAGATTGAATAGATTGATTTGTTGGATACGTGCATTAAAAAAATTGTAAATATTCTTATAACAACTTTTAGAACTACATCTCGTGGTAATCTATTTAAAAATCCACAATATAATATTTATTCAGTCTCACTCAGAAGTCGTTACATCTCAACTTCACTCCAAGGATCTCTCTGTAAAAAGCATTATAATGAATAAATCAATGACACCTTTATAGCAAAATCCCTTTAACAACGTAAATTCATTGATTATTTCAAAAAATATTAATAGGGTGACTTCACAGCTCATCAAGTAATAACACAACCTTATAAGAACATACACATGTGCATTTGAACATCGAGGATAACATACATTAAGCAGTGGACTACCATGAGAATCTTGACAGTTACATAATCAATGCCCGACTCAAATCAATGCCTGTGTTTTGCTATTAATCTATTTCTCTGTAATTATTTGGAACTTGTTATCTTATTAATTAAGCCATTAACATATTTAGCCTCTTCCTTAGATAAATAAACCATCTTTTTTTTTTGATAAATAAAAAATTTTATAAAAAAACACTCCAAGGGGGAGCGGAACCCAAGAACAATACAAAAAGCCACTCAATCCTTCAAAGAGGCCAAAAAATCAACAATTTCCTCCAAAGATCTATGATCTCTCCCTAAAACCCAACAAAAAAGAGTGGAAATAATCGAGAATTTAAGCACCGAAATCGACATCGCCTTTCCTTCAAAATATCTCATATTCCTTTCAAGCCAAATGCACCACCATACACAAAGCGGTGTAGCCCTCCACGCATCCTGACTGTGAGTCCCCACAGGGCAACCTCTCCAAGCCTCAATCGACCCTCTTGTAGATCTAGGCATAACCCAATAAAGCCCAAATAAGCCAAGCATCAAATCCCAACACTCTCTAGCCATATAGCAATGAATGAGAAGGTGATCCACTGATTCCTCATTACAAAGGCACATAAAACAACGATTGATCACCACTTGGCTTCTCTTTCGCAAATTATCCTGGGTTAGGATCTTACCCATAACCGAAGACCACACAAAGAAAGCCACCTTGAGAGGAGCCTTGGAGCGCCAAATAGACTTCCAAGGAAAACGAACATCAGGATCAAATGAGAGACACTTGAAGAAGGACCTCACCTCAAAACGCCCATGAGAGTTTGCAACCCAAGACCAACAATCCGAATCCTCCTCCACAATCCTTTGGCGATAAAGCAGCTCCAAGAAGCGAATGACCTCCTCGATCTCCCAATCCCGAAAGTGACGCCTGAATCGAACATCCCAAACCAGTCTTCCATTATCAAGATGATAACAGTTGACCACCATGGCCTGCCTATCCGAAGCAATCCTATAAAGCTGAGGAAAAGCGAGAGCGAGAGGAACATCTCCACACCACACATCCTCCCAGAAGCAAATCCTCCTCCCATCTCTAAGACGAAATCGAATGTGTTTAGAGAATTCATCCCAACCCTTCCGAATCATTTTCCAGACCCCTACCCCCCGAGGATCCCGCACTTCCGAGGAACTCCACCCTCCTCTCAATTCCCCAAAACGACACGCCACAACCCTCTTCCAAAGCCAATGTCTCTCCACACCAAATCTCCACAACCATTTCCCGAGAAGGGCCTTATTAAATGGCACCAATCTACGGAGACCCAACCCACCATTCCGAATAGGCCTGCAAACCTGATCCCATCGCACCAAATGGAACTTAAACTCTTCAGCTCTACCTCCCCAAAGAAAATTATGCTGCAACCTCTCAATCCTCTCCGCAACTGAAGAGGGAATTTGAAAAAGAGAGATAAAGTAAGTGGGGAGGCAAGAGAGGGTGCTCTTAATCAGAGTGACCCTGCCGCCCTTGGAAAGATACTGCTTCTTCCAACCCGCTAGCTTTCTTTCAAATCTGTCCACCACTGGGTCCCAAATTCCTACACATCTCGAAGGAGCACCCAGAGGCAAACCTAAGTAAGAAATGGGAAATGACCCAGTCCTACAACCAAGAATGTCAGCAAACATCTCAATCTCAGGGACCTCCCCAACCGGCACCAAAACACTCTTGCCCACATTCACCCTAAGGCCGGAGACAACTTGAAACCAAATCAAAACACATCTCAAATATCTAATCTGGGACACATTCGCATCACAAAGAACTAAAGTATCATCAGCAAACATCAAATGAGAGATCTCCAACTGAGAAGCAACATCCCTGCCCACCCGGAAGCCCCTCAAAAAACCCAAATCTGAAGCCTTTCTCATCAATTTACTAAGGGCCTCCATCACAAACAAGAACAAGAAGGGAGAGAGAGGATCCCCTTGTCTCAAGCCCCTTGAGCTAGAGAAAAAACCGAAAGGAGCACCATTAACAAGAATCGAAAACCGAGCACTGGAAATGCAAAAGTGAATCCATCTCCTCCACCTATCACCGAACCCCATCCTCTCCACCAGATAGAGAAGGAAGCTCCAACTCACATGGTCATATGCCTTCTCTATGTCCAGCTTACACAGAACACCTGGGACCCCACTACGCAGTCTGGAGTCCACACACTCGCTTGTAATAAGAACTGAATCCAAAATCTGACGACCACCGACAAAAGCATTTTGAGAATCCGAAATGATGCCATCCATAACTTTCCTCAGTCTAGAAGCTAGCACCTTGGCTATCAACTTATAGATACAACCCACCAAACTAATAGGGCGAAAGTCCCTAACATCCAACGCCCCCCCTTTTTTCGGAATAAGGGTAATGAACGTGGCATTCAAGCTTTTCTCAAACGAACCCCGAGAATGGAAAGCATGAAGAGTGCCCATCACCTCCTCTTTGACCACCTCCCAACACTCCAAAAGAAATTTCATGGTAAAACCATCGGGACCTGGGGCTTTATCCCCATTACAACTCTTCAAAGCAAACAGAACTTCCTCCTCAGAAAAAGGCAACTCCAAACCCAAGCACTCCTCCTCAGAAAGAGTCAAACTGTAACCCTTCAAGCAAAGGTCTCCACTCAACAGTCTCAGTGAACAACTTCTCAAAGAACTCTGAAAATTCTTTGCAGATCTCTTCTTCCTTACAAAAAACAACCCCTTCAACCCGAATCCTCCCTATGTGATCGCCTCTTCTATGAGCATTGGCCAATCTGTGGAAAAATTTAGTATTTCTATCTCCCTCCTTAAGCCACAAGGCTCGAGATTTTTGCCTCCACGAGATCTCCTCCATGATTGCAATCTCAGTAAACTCTGCCTTACACTCCGCCCTCCTAATCTTCAAAGCCTCCACCAAATCCCCTTGACCCTCCATCCGGTCAATAGCCGCAATCTCAGCTAAGACCCAATTTCTCCTCCATTCCAGATTCCCAAAGACCTTTTTATTCCAAGTCTTAAGGTTCACCTTTAAAAGACGCAATTTGCCTGCGAGCACATGACTAGGGGTGCCGGCCACACCATACCCCTCCCACCAAAGACGGACCCTCTCCAGAAAGCCCTCAGCCCGCAGCCACATATTCTCGAATCTGAAAGGAGAACGTCTACTACATAGTCCCCCACAATCTAACATCAACGGAACATGGTCAGAGATAGGACGTGCTAAAGTAGTCTGGACAACATCAGAGAACCTCTCCTCCCACTCCCCTGACACCAAGAATCTGTCAATCCGAGAGAGGGTAGGGGGAGAGCGGCCACTTGACCAAGTAAACGGACCTCCAACCAAGGGCAAATCAATCAGCCCAAACTCATCAATAAACTCCGAGAAAGCCTCTATATCAAACGTCCACCTACCTCCCGTTGACCTCTCAAACGGAGAACGAACAACATTGAAGTCCCCTCCAATACACCAAGGCAAACACCATTGACTTCGAATCTCCCCCAATTCCTCCCAAAGCAAGTGGCGCTCACCGTCCTCTGAAGGACCATAAACACCCGAAAGAATCCAATGAACTCCATCCTCAACTAAAGCAAGAATGCAAGAAACAGAGAAACGCCCAACCTTAGCATCCACTTTAGACACCCATCTGTTGTCCCACAAGATCAAAATGCCCCCTGAGGAGCCAATAGCATCCAAAGCAACCCACTCCACAAATCGCCCCCCCCCCCCCCCCCCCCCCCCCCCCAAAGACTCCTCATAATCCTATCAGACATCGAAGCCAGTTTAGTCTCCTGGAGACACACCACATGACCCCTACTTTTACGAATAACTGACTTCACCACTTTCCTTCTAACCGGATCATCGAGACCCCGGACATTCCATGAGAGAATTTGTAGCTTCATAGGGAAACACTTGGAAAAGCAAATCCTCCCCTCCTTCCACCACCTCTCCCTCCAGATCTGGACCCCCTATTCCTCCTTTCGTATGTGATAACATCATTGGGACTTTGCAACATTGTCTCCCCTCTCTCCTCCTGCCGCCCCACCTTATCACTCACCTTTACCTTAAAATGAGAACTGAGGACATCATTAAACAAACACATCGCCTCATCCACCCTGCCTTCAAAAGAAACACCCAACAAAGGGCCCACTTCCAAGCCCTTCTCCCTCACCCACTCCTCCTCAAGGTCATTCACTCCAACCTCAGTCAAGTCACTAACCCAATTCTCCCCTGGTGGAACCACAGCCAAAGGGACAACCAAATTCACTGCTTGTTCCAAATCTTCCCATGGAATCATGCCCGAGTCCCCATCAAGGGATGAACCTGCAGCTCCCTCCCAATCATCAAGAACTGAAGAAGAATGCGAACAATACCGTGAAACAGGCTCCTCCTCTGTCAAAACATCTCCTGAATCAGAAAGAAAGCCTTTTAAAGCCAAGTGGTAAAGTTGGATGATGAAACAGCCTCTGTTCTATTGAAGGAATAAGTTCAAAATTTGTTCATTCAAATACAAAAGGAATAACAGGGGCTTAAGTTCTCATTGCCCCATCTGCTTGTAAAATTCTATAGACTCAAGAGAGAATGAGAGAAAAGAAGAAGAGGAAAAAGAGAAGGAAAAGATGAGAAAGGTAGGAAGAGAAGCACCACATGGCAGCATCATCTTGAATCTATTGACCAGGTGAGGACAATGACAATGATGATAATGAGCTCCTCATAAGTAATTGAGAGGGGTTTGTTATGGAATTTATGGCTTATGAATGTAAATCATGATTGATGAAAAAATAAATATAATAGATCGTTTTGTTCATAATAATGCTTGATTACCTGATGAGCTCCTTTTGTTTTATCTAATTTTCATCTTTATTCATAAAAAATTAGGATATACGATATAGATAATTTAATCAAATAAACTTGCAAAATTCTGAATGATGAACAGTTATTTTTTCAGCCACTGATTTGCTCCTTGTGAATTGAAGGTTCATACGTCGTGCCGGAAAGACCTTATAAAGAATGTGGTAGCCAGAGGAGGTGGAGGAAAAAGTGGAGACAGGAGGGAGAGGGTAACCATCCCATGCCATCAAGTTGGTTTTTCTCTAGAGGGGAGGACCTTTTGTTTAGCAAGAGAAAGGGTATTTGAGTCCAAAGCAACAATTGTGGCATATGCCATTACGGAGTGATATGTCCCATAATCCCTTCCCATCTCTCTCCTTAGGAAACATATTGGGTAACCCCCTGGGGTTACTGACTATATATCCCTGGCCAGTGGATACTCACTATTTTCCTTGATAATAAGGAACAACTATTCACCACTGAGCAGGGGGTCCTACATTGTCAGGAACTCAGGGTACCTAATATTTTCTCGTCTCCTTGGTCTCTTACATGTTAGTCAAATGTGATCCTCTATAGGGTGTAAGGAAGATTGGTCTACAAATGGCGAGTCCAATATGCATGTATTAGCCTGATTGTGTTGAGATTACCAAGACGTCACTCCGAGCCAGCATTTCCTTGGCCCACTAAACCACAACCTCCTTCAGGTCTCCTGGGTTGTGTGTTAGGGCTTATTGCGACGAATGGTTACCTACATGGCTTGTACGTGGAATAAGGGGGAAGAGTGTGAGTATGAGCCAGATTAGCCTTGAATATTGATGTTGAGATTGCATAAGAGGGGAGATTTGGAGCCGGAGTAAGTGAAATAACTGGTGATGCTGAGGATGGGACTCAGGAAGAATGTGCTTGCTGCTTGTGAACAGAAGGGAAGCTACTGTTCCACTGTTCATTTCTGTTCAAAGGGGGTGGGTTAGATGTCAGCAATGGTGCTAAAAGAAATTGGATGACCATTGGCTTACCTTGAATTGGTTTTAAGACAGTCTTAACGTTCTTTACTGGCATTCATTCTCAATCCTTTTAGCACAATTGCGAAAAAATTCTATACTAGGTTGGAATAATCTTTCCCTAGGTCAAGTAGTATAATTCTTTAGGGTTCCTCTGAAATATTTAATTCACGTCTTCCCTAAAGCAGTTGTTTGCATTCATTTAAGCATTTAGGGTGCATAAGTACAGATGATATTGGCACCATTTTGGTAGCATTTCAAAAGTATTTACTTTTACTCGATATCAAAAGTTGCTGTTTTTGTTCGTCTTAATAGCAAGATCAGCACTTCCAAAATCCCAACCAAACATTACTTTTGTTGTATCTTCTTAAATTTTGGTCTTATTTGCAGGCATGACAAATTTCAAAGCATTTTTTTTTTCCAGATGGGAAGCTGGTCCAAAATTAGTAGATGGCTTATGGGCTCCATGGTGGTATAAATCTGTACATAAATCAACAAGTTTCATGCCAGCAAGAAAGTACCCTCCGGTATGTAGTTTGTGCATCACATCTGCATCCCCCCCTCCCCCCTCCCCCCCCCCCCCCCCAGTCTGATAAAAAATCTGATGTTTGCACCGATGATGTAAATTTGTAGACTTATCTTTTAATGCCTGAGCCCTAAATGCCAAAAAAAGGATTTCAATGTTTCAACATCACAGATAAAAATGAAAATTGAGTAAATTATGAACTGAAAATATTCCTGAATAGGAAAATAGTTTTTGAGAAGCTCCTCAAGAAGTTTGATCTTTATTCATCCGGTTTCTGGCAGTATATGCATCTATGTATATACAGATGAACTTATACATGCACCCAATGGTATTGTTCTAGTATTGCCTTCCATTTGTACTTCTTTAAGATCATAAATCACATTGTTTTCTCTGCACACTGTGTGTTTCTTCTGTCATCACACTTTCTCTCTTGTTATTTGGTAGTTATAAAGTTGTAATTCCTACCAAGTCATGGTGGTTAACAGTATTGTGCATTTCATTATGTTATGCACACATGCAATATAGTAGCTCATTTTCTATGGGGTATCTTTGCATAAGGTAACCTGATACATAGCATCATAGTTTGAATATTTTATCATTATAGCTTGAATATTATAATATGGAAACGCAAATTGGAATAAGTAGAGCAAAACCCCCATCTCCGCATTCCACATGCACAAACACATTTCTTTACAGGCAAAATGTCTATGGGTACACTTCATGTTTCTTGGGAATGCACATCAGCTTATTTGTAAATTGAGATCATAGATGCTTAGGAATTATGTTGACAGAATTTGGCTTATGCTTTAATAATTCTTCTTTTCAGCCTTTCCCGTCTTCTCTGTATGACTTGCTGGAGCAAAGTTTACCTTTCTACAACATACTTAGGAGCCATTCAAGGCGCAGATCGTCCCTTCTGAAATCCCCCTTGCCTCGTCCCAGTCTTCCTGTTCCTGCTAATGAGAAGATTCTTGTTTGGGTTGGTGATGAGATTGTAACCCGTGAGAGTGCAAAGGTTCTTGTTTATCAATCATATAATAATATCTGTTTTAGGAAGCATTCAACAGAATTGAACTCTCAGTTTTTGTTTTAGTGTGCAAAGTTTCTTGAATTCTCATGCTTACTCTGTGGCCTTCTTAAGGTTTCAGTGTTTGACTCAGTTGTCCAAGGTGGTGATTCAGTGTGGGAGGGACTTCGAATTTACGATGGGAAGATATTTAAGCTGGAAGAGCATTTAGATAGGTTAGTGAAACAATCTATTTCACACAAAATGATTCTTGGTGCAGAGATATGACTTGGGCCAACTTAACCAGTGATTTTAAATATCCCAAGTATATTATGTTTATGATGTACTTTCTTCAGGCAAAGAAATAGAACTGATTCTTAATATAATAAATATGCTATAGTTCAAGAATTATGTTAGATTATCTCAATTCTGAAAACAGAATTCAGAATGTATCTATTACAAAACACTTACATACAGATAATTTGCCTAGTTGTTAATTAATATTCATATTTCTTTTCCTAAAACCTTAGGAATTACTAGCATTTTGGATAATATACAAGAATAGACACGACTTCCCAGAATTTTTTTGATCTAATGAGAAGTTGGCAACTCTTTTTTGCTTTTGGAACACAACCATTTGACAGTTCACAATTAAAATGTTGTCCGTGATCAATGAATGATGAAAAGATATTATGCCAGTGACTATTTTTGGTCACAACTTATTTGATAGAAGTCAATCAATGAATTTAGATTCTCAGATTTAGTGTATAATAATTAAAAAAGTGACTCATAATTAAGACAACCAGAATGATGACATTTTCGGTAGAATAAATTTCTTTAATTGCATGCCCTTGACATTTGGTGACTGATTCTCATCCGTCTCAACTATGATGAAAAAATATGTGGTATTTGTGAAAGAACAGGATACTCATCTGTAGTGCTGATGTAGTACACTTAACGGCATATTGCCTGCAATTTCTTAAGTCCTTCATATACAAATATCTGGCATTTCTCGTCAGGATCGATGATTTAGAATGCCAAACTCTTGGGAGAAGTACATTAAATGGTTGATAATATGATACTTCAATTTAACACCTTATTGCACACGTTATCTTATGATTAGTTTTATCAACTCTGAATGCTGTTGCAGGCAGAAGACAAGTTTATCCTCTTTCTTTTTCCCCTTCTTTCAGAACAGTTTTCTGTCTCTCTCATCAGTAATGCCTGGTTGGTAACTGTTTTTTCTATTACTAGGTTGTTTGATTCAACAAAAGCTCTAGCTTTCAATAATGTACCAACTCGTGAAGAGGTGAGGGTCTAGAGATGATCTTGAATTCTGTACTGCATGCTATGATGTTTAGAATATTATATTATCACAGCAAACTGTAAATATTGTGGCATTGGCATGTGGTGGAAAGCTGTGTTGCCTTATTCCTGTGATTTAATAAGTTTATTGTTAACAGTGAATGTATGAATAAATTGCAGGTTAAGGAAGCCATTTTCAAAACACTTATTAGGAATGGAATGTTTGATAATGCACACATCCGATTAAGTCTAACGCGTGGAAAGAAGGTTATTTCTTCTTCTGCTCACTTCCTCCTCTTCCGTGTGTGTTTGTATCTGTAATGAGGAAGCTTAATTTTCTAATCAGATTTCACTGCATTGTTGGAGTCACATCAGCACAAGGACAGAAAACTAAGTGAAATAAATGGGACTGGAAAATAGTGACTGTTGAAAGAACATAGTCTATAGTTATGTTGGACCAAAACTGCGAATGTGGAGGTCTTCCTTCTCTGTCCATTACCTTTATGCTCACACTTGAAACCTCAAATACATGGTTCCTATTAAAGCCTCAACATTCTCTAAAGTGGAGTACTGCATTATTATTAGGTTATTGATTGACCCATGTGATAACTTGTCAATGTCCATCTTGACACTAGGAATTGATGAAATCATTACTATTTCTCTGCTGCAATTTCAGTGTACTGCCTGATATTCTAGTGTAGCTCATGAACGGAAGGCTGAGGTGTGATAGGAATATTTATCGAAAGTGTGTGTTAACTTGTCACTGAACCGTTTTGAAGCAAGGAACTGATTAGATTTAGATTACTAGTTTCTCGCTGATATATAAGTTTGCTGTTGCTATAATAAAGTATGCTATATAAGCTTCCGCTTAAATCAACCCAACCTGCAATATTATGACAATTTTTATTTATTAATAGTTTTACTAGGCATTTGCTTATTGCAATATTCTTTTCTTGTTCAGGTTACTTCTGGGATGAGTCCAGCTTTCAATCTTTATGGATGCACTTTAATTGGTAACATGCTTTCTTAATCTTCTACTTATGTAAAAATGGCATGGCTATGACAATCTTTTTCTTTACCCATTGTAGGCATGTTGGTTACATAGTAACAGCACTTATTATTTAGCATTTTGGATTTTAGGGTTTTTGTGTGGCACAGCCAACCTGTTTTGGAGTCTCTTTGAATCGATTCTTGTTTATTTTATTAAGGTGTAGTTAGAGGTGGTCGCATGGGTGATTAGATACTCAAGGAACTGTAGGTGACTAATTAAGTAGATATTATTCAAAGTAGGTAATCACCTTAATTCGTAACATGCTTTCTTAATCTTCTAATTATGTAAAAAAGGCATGGCTATTACAATATTTTTCTTTACCTATTGTAGGCATGTTGGCAACATAGTAACAATACATTATTTAGCATTTTGGATTTTAGGGTTTTTGTGTGGCACAGCCAACCTGTTTTGGAGTCTCTTTGAATCAATTCTTGTTTATTTTATTAATGTGTAGTTAGAAGTGGTCGCATGGGTGATTAGATGCTCAAGGAACTGTAGGTGACTAATTAAGTAGATATTATTCAAAGTAGGCAATCACCTCAATTATCAGCTCCTGCCAGGCTGCCATATTGTTCTGGCATAGACCTCTATGCATTTTTTCGGGAAGGACCATTGCTTGAGCTATTTTGGTTGTTTCAATGGCCCTATAATGCAGCTTGCTGGATATTATTGGAGAGACAACATGGAAGCAATCAAATTGCTTTGCATATAGTGCCTCTCTATTATAATATAGTGGAGAATATTAGATTTAGTGCTTCTCCATATTCTGATATCGTGGAATACATTTCCCTATCTTTGCCTAGCCTTTTCTTTTGTTTTTCTCCTTCTCTTCCCTATTCTTTGTAGATTGAAACTATTTGATGATGAACAAAGATAACATGTAATTAATGTACAATATACATACAAAACAAGTCTCTACATATAAAAAATAATTATTGGGCCAAATAAGAACTAGAGCAATAAAATATAAGGAGCCTAACAAATTCTTTGATAGCTGGAAACCACATTAATGTAGAACTTAACCTTTCTGCTTAGCAACTCTTTTGAAGAGCCTTGCTTTTCAAACATGCCATGATTTTCTGATTCTAGATACACGAAGTAATATAGCTGAATCAAATTGAAGTTTCTGCTGAAAATTTTGAAAACTACCTTTTGTTAGAGGATTTAAGTATTAAATTTACACCCTCTCTAACAGCTTAAGCTTTTAGAGTAGATGGTGGTTAACACCTTTGCTTCAAGGTATTCTTCATTATGGAACAAATGGAGTAGTATGCAACCTGAAAGTCTGAATGGAGTAATGACCCAACAAATGGGTTTATTTTGAGTGGTTTTGTTCTCTGGGAAGCCTTTTGCATTCTATCAATAGGCTTGCTTCCTCTGTTCCTCAATGCAATGAATAACATTGTCAAGTTTAGGACTCACTTCCTGTATATCTGATTCATGGCAGCTGCACAAGTTTTACTTGACAAGTTATTATGGACAATCTGATCTGCAGAATTGTCATTTCCCAACAAGAGCTGTTGCTGTACTTGTATACCATTTAATGACAATATTGTGCAGAAAGGACAACAGCCTCTGTTGTACTAAGTTCCGTTATGCTATCTATCCTTTTTTCATCACTGGAATAACAAATTGTAGAAAATGTCCTATTTTTAAGGGTCCCACTTTCTCATTTCACTCGTACTTTTTTTTTTTTTTGGATGTAAAAATGCAGTGCTTGCCGAATGGAAACCACCTACCTATGATAATACAAGAGGTATAACTCTGGTGACTGCATCCACTCGTCGTAATTCACCAAATGTAAGATTCATGGTGTTTGTATTATATTCAGTTTCTAATTTAGGAGTTCATAAAGGATGTACCTTTGGTTTCTTAACATGACGAACTTGCAGGAGTTTTCACATATTTTTTATTTTATTTTGGTTGGAATGGGTTTTTGGAGCTTTTATATGTCAGAACATTATTTTTTAATGTTTATAAATGATACCTGACTTTTTAACATAGGCATCTTCTATGAAGCACTGGAAAGTGGGTCATAAAGCCTCTCATATGCATGTTTGAACATACAGATTATAAAAACTATATGGATGGATTATTAAGTATTAGGGCAAGTTAGTAGGGAACTATACTCCTCAAGTTTTTAGTTCCACCCATGACTTGGCTTGTGCTCAAACTCTCAATTTCCATCTTCAATTATATTGTCATCATTTTCACTGTCTGAAAGACTAGTTTATATATTTCTTAAAGATACAGGTCCAATATTCTGGCTACCACTTAATACTTCAGGATTATCAGCCTGATCTCAATAGCCAGTCTGGTATATTGACGCAACTCATTTCCCTAATGTAGCTTATTTTAGGTTGTAATGCACTGGGCACAATTTGGAAAACATATCTTTTTTCTTCTTCCTCTTCAAATACTCCTAGTTTTAAGGTGATTAGTGATATTGTCAGACATTTGCATTTCACCTATGTTATTATAATGTTACTGGGACAGAGTATTGCGAATAAGTTTAAAATGGCAAGCCAAGAAACCATGAGTAGCCGAAACAGCATGCATATAGTGGGCAGATATCTCTTTCAGTCTTCCTTTCATATCAATTGGGCCATATATAAACAAAAATTAGATTAAGCTTCCTTCGAAAAAGTGTGCTATCAAACTAGGGTGAATTATCTGTGATGTACCCTTCACCCATTGCATATGTATATTTTTAAAAAATAGAATCATTCACTTTTTTTCATATGTATAATAAATGTGACAAAATGGATACTTTTACCAACACCATAAACGTGATTATCAAATAATCAGATATTTTTATTATAAATTGGTGTGAATTAGTTTAAGCTGAATTATACCACTTAAAAATAGTCAAGAATCTCCTGTGGGTTAGTCATTAAACTCTTTTTTTCCCTCTATTTTATCTCTCCTGAGATGACGGTGGAAATTACTCCACTTGAGTTTTCTGGCATGCTGTTTTTTCTCTGTTGGACATTTCATGTCATGCAATAAAATGAAGAGGCATATCATTACAAGTTTACAACCAATTACTCCTTGTTTATTTATACAATCGCTTTCCATATCGTTGACTTGAATTTTTTTTTTTTTTCTACCTTCTACAGAATTTGGATTCAAAGATTCACCATAACAATCTCCTAAACAACGTACTTGCGAAGGTATGGTTTTATTCAGCAGTCTAATAAAACTAGGTGATGTTTCTCTTTCAGAACTACGTATTATTTGTTGATTAATACAGAATTGAATGATTATTCTTGTCTTGACTTGCTAACTGAACAAATAAATTTTCAAATCAAGTAAATTCTATACCATGATCTCCCTGTCCTAAACTAATCAATCCTATGGCTACAAATAAGCTGTCGTTTTGTGGATGTTCTCTTTCTGACCATCGAACTCTATGGCTGTATATATATCTTATTATCTGATAATTAGTTACTTTAGTTTACAAAAGTAATGCCATTTAGTGGGTAGTTAGATTGATCAGCAGGTAACGATATTTCATAAGCGCATCGGTGAACCACTCTTATTATATGGTATATCTGTATCCCCTGATTTTTCATTTGTATGCTCTTTTCCAATTTGACTCAGACATATTCAATTTATTCACTTTGGTGCAGATAGAAGGAAATAATGCAATGGCTGATGATGCAATCATGCTTGACAAGGATGGTTACGTGACTGAAACAAATGCTACAAACATCGTAATGCCATGCTTCTGCTCATTTTCCTGTTCCAGACCTACTCATACACGACGAAGTCTTAGGTGTATATTAGACAATTGTATGGATGAGCTTCCAACATCATAGGGAGTTGGCATTCACATTAATGCTGATCAGGAGTGCAATTGGCATATGTTTAGTTTAGTTTACTGAAAAAGTGTTGTGAAGAGTCTGCAGGATGATTTTATGCAATTAACTCAACGTCAAGTGCACATAATTTTCCCATGAAAGACATTTGATAGTGATTCTACCTATATGCATGCGTGTCAATAATGTAATAAGTGTAATATGGTGTTGATGGATCGTTCCCAAGTGTTGCATTTGCCTCAATAACGCCCTTGAAAAAGTTGCATGTTGACCTCCATATTAAATGTTATTTATCTTTTCTTATGCGTTCTTAGTGTGGCACTCACCATGAGTGCTGATCAGGAATGCTATTTGGCATGCTTCTAATTTATTTTTGTTGATAGAGTGTGGAAAAAGAGTCTGCAGAATGATTTTTAATGCAATCAACTCAACAATCGAGTGCTAGTCACCAAAAAAAGAATAGAAAAAGAAATACACAAATCAAGTGCACATATTTCCTAAGGACACACTTGATGGTGATCCTACCTAACTGTATGCACGTCAATAGTGTTACCATACTGTTGGTGAATCATTCCCAAAGGGGATAGCAATTTCCTCAATATTGCCCTTGAAGAAGTTGCATGTTGATCCCTATATTTAACATTACTCATCTTTTCTTATGCAGTTCTTAGTGAAAAAAGGCCGTGTTGTGACTCCTCATGCTGACTATTGTCTTCCTGGCATAACTCGAGCAACTGTAAGTATTATGAATTTCCCTGGTAAAAATGTTGTGATTTAATTTTGTGCCAGTCAATTTTGGTCCGCAAGAGTCAGGAAACCATACATTTGAAGAAATGAATAAAAAAGAAATAGAACGAGAGCTAGTGTGTGAGAGAGAAGAGGGATATGAGATGTAAGGTTTTCTTCCTCTTAGTATCATACTGAAACTGCTGAAACTATAGTAATGCCCCCTGTTATAACATTGAATAATAATTCTGACCAACACTCCTTTTAAGCTGGTGAAAGATATTACACGTGTCCAGCTTGCACAAAAAACTATAAGAAAACTTGCTAGGTATACCTTTAGTCAAGGTATAAGTACGTCCATCTCCTATCTTCGTAACTGGAGTACTTATAATACCGTAACAGAGATTCTCTTTGGTAGAATGTTTCGATCCACACTCGGATTCTCTTTGATAAAAAGCCTATCCACTGAGTGCTCTTTCTTTTGCCAAGTCACTAGATTATTCCAACAATAGTACAAGACTGGGAAGTTGATTGCCTATCATCTATAGATCCTTTCATTTGCTGTGCCACATAGTAATTATTTTTAATGATCATGACACTCAAGCATGACCCAAAAGGCAGGTTGGAGAAACTTTTCAGGGCCAAAGCAATAGTGTTTTGTGCCAGGGCACAAAATCCTCTCCTCTCCTCTCCTCTGCCACTCAATTCTAGTCAATAAAGCTTCTATTTTGGGCTTTTATTTCAGTTTTGATTTTTCATTACTGCGTTCTTTTATGCTTTGGTTATTGTACATTATTCAAGTACTCTTGGTCATTACCTATGAGTACAAAGGTGGTGTAATTATGGGCTTAACCCTCTTTTTTACAAAAGATGGTCTTGTCTAATTACTTTGTCAATCAAAACTTCATTATTAGCAGTTGATCATTAAATGAAGGTGGATGAGCAATTAATGCTTTTGGTGGTGGTTGAGGCAAAACTCATCTTTCGAGATTTCCTCTGTCATAGCATTTGAACACCCATCCCTTAGGTCAGGTCAGGCACTTGAGTGCTATGACGAAATGCCATGCGATGTTTTGGGGCTTTGAGAGACTTAGGAGCAGTGTCCTTGGGTTTTTGACTTGTAGGAGATGCGCCCTACGATGTTTGACTGATCTAGCGCATTTCTGACTGCTTTGAATTTCTAGTGGCCCTTGCTTTGTGGCTTGGCGATTGCCACTCAGGTAGCGTGTCTAGTACACCTACAAGCTTTATTGGAGAGTTTCAGTTGTAATTTGTGCCTTCCAGAACTATAATTTATAGTGCAAATCTGTTAAAAGCAATATATATATCATCATCAAGTTTGCATCTCTTTTAAGCAGAGCTGTTTACTTTTACTCTTTTTGTTCCATACTTTATTTGCAGTATAACCTTTTGATTTTGCAGGTCATGAACCTTGTCGTGAAGCAAAATATGGTTTTAGAGGAACGACGTGTTAGCCTATCAGAGTTCCATACTGCGGATGAGGTATACCTTTTCTTATCCTTGGAACTTCTTTGTTGAATATTTCAGGAAATATTAACTAGATATGGCTGGACTCACCCTTTTCCTGGGGTGCTGGTTAGGACATACCCAAAATAATTTATCCAATTGAAAGGAATAATAATCCTAGGGGTGACATAAAAGCCTTAGATTAAAGATAGTCTATAGGGGATATAAAACAAGACATCAGACCACTTCATGGTCCATATCGCTGATCGGACCAGTTCCTTTCGTACGGTTCATTACGCGGTGTAGTCCTTGTTAATTGAGGATACTGGGAGGGGTAGACTGAATACAGACCTAACCTTTGGTGTTATTCGATTCCTCCTTTTTACGCTTGAGTCCTTGACAACCCGATTATTTTACTACTGCACCAGACAATGGCCCCTAGTTCCATTTCGTAAGAATGGAGCTTTTATATGTTTCAGCATTCTTTCTTCAATAAAACTCTATCCAACGTTCTTTCGTCACTTTTCTTTTTAGAACTGGAAATAGGAAAACTCGTCCTTGAAATTTTCTTCTCTCTCGATATTGAACCTCTATTTCAAAATTAACTTATAATTTTCATTCTTCAAAATGAACGTGTTTGAATCTTCAATTTTGAGAGAATTTGGATTTTTAGAAAGATCTCTCTCTCTCTCGGTCCATAGAGTCAAAACTTTTATCCTTTTATAAGAGCAATTAAATGACAAAACAGTCAACAGGAGAAAAAGAATCTTCATAAATTTGGAATTGGAAGAAGTAGAAGGAACACTAGGAAAATCATTATATCCTAGACCACGAGTTCTTTCATCAGCTGACTTCCGTATGCTAAGAAGATCAAGCTTTTCATAACCCTTGATAAAGTTTTGAACAATCTCTTTGACTTTTTATTTTCAAAATTTAAAATCTAAATCTTGTCTAAAAGGAGATAATTGAAGAGATATAACTTGACTTACCTCTTATTCAAGAAATCTTATATTCTTAAGCAATTCTTCTTCTCACTATTTAGTCCCTCAACAAGTATTAAGTCCTTTGACCAATCAACTTTCATGGCATCCCCATCACTTTTAATTACCTTAAGCTTATCCCCAAGCTTCTTATTTTCTTTCACAAACTCCTAAAGAATGCATTAAACGCAAAATGAAGACTAGTCATTTCTTAATATTCGTCATCTTTGTCATTCTTAACTCTACACTCTTCAACATCTTTCAGCTTAGAGACTCTACATCATCACTCAAGGTAGAGAGTTAGTAATCAACCACTGCATAATTGACACTCATAGAAGAACCATTATCAATAATAACAAAAGCAACATGAGTACTAATAGATTTTGATATTTTCTTTAATAAATCTTCTTATTCTTTTCAGGACAAACATTAGACATATTTTTCTTATTCATTTAAGGACAAATCTTTAGAAGACTTTTTTTTTCCCCTGAAATTAGCACTCTTGTTCTTATTAAGTACTTTTTTTTATTTTTGTGGGTGGTTGTCAACAAAGCTATCTCTTCATTGTTACTCGAAAATCCCAAACTGACTGATCAAAGTAAGCCTTGGATATTTTTGTGCAATTTCTTTAATTTTTCTTAGGTTGTCTGAAGTTAAGTCTTTAAGTTTGCAACATGGTTTGAAGACGTGACAACAGACTCGGGATTGTATCGGGCGTAATGTAAAGGTTATGGCTTATTGGGCTTGTGAAATTTTATCGACCTTGCATACCATTAGATGTGCTAACTCGGCTGATTCCCTAGGGACTTGGCCTAATTCCTAATGAGTCAACCAAGTCTCATGTGATCCAATCCATGCCGATACATCAGTGAGTATTTGGTCTCAGATTTGGCTGTGTCTGTTATGACTTGACCAAGTCGTAGAGACTTGGCCGATATGAACTGTGATTTGTAATTGTTAGAATGTTATATATATATATATATATATATATATATATATATATATATAAGTGTTGGGCTAGTATGTAATTACAGAAAGTTGATAGGGGCCCTTGTGTAGTTAAGTAAGACTTGTACTCTTTATATAAGCCTTGTACACTTTATTAGGTTTTAGTATGATGAATATATACAAGTCTGAAACTTCTCTCTCTCTCTCATATATATAACTGTGAACATGGTATCAGAGCGTACGATCATGGGTGTGAGAATCTGTAATTGGGTTCTTATTGTCTAAGATTCGAATTGCAGTTGTGGTGTTGGTGATCTTTACCGTCGGTTCCTTGTTTGTCGTCATCAGTAGCGGCTTGTTCATCGTCGTCTTATCTACAGCGTTGTCAGATCTGGGAGTTGTTCGTCGTCGTCTCTGCCGTGTTCGTCGTCGCTGGCAGCTTCTCTTTGGTTGCCAGCGAGCTCACCGACCTCTGCAATCTTGATTCGCAGAGGTGAGGTTCATCTCTGTTGGCCGGAAGTTGCAGTGATCGCTGCTTATTGGTTCGGCCGTTACTTGTGATTGGGTCGCCGTCGTTGCCACCGTGTTATTCCCCGAGGTCTGTGAAGGTGTGAAGAAGAAGACCTCTATTTGACTAGACGGTTATAGCTACTTCAACCCTGGTTTGCTAAACCTGGATAGCCCAGGTCAGTCCAACCCGTTTGACCAAGTTTGTTGACCCGACCCAACCCGGTTGTCCAAGATCCGACCCGGTTCCAGGTTCGGCTAGAATACAGAATCTGTTTTTTTCTCCCGTTTTTCTTCTCTGTTTTGCTGGATTCAACATGGCATCTAGTTCAGATTTACTTTCACCCACGAACAGTCTTCATTCTCCCATGACTTCAGTTAAACTGAATGGGAAGAATTACATATTGTGGGCTAAATCTGTTGCCATTTTCCTCAAAGGCAGAGGTCTTGGTTCTCATTTGACTAAAGAGAAACCCAAGGCAACTGATGCCTCCTTTGATGCATGGGAAAAGGAAGATGCTCAGATCATCTCTATGATGATAAACAGTATTGAACCCCAAATTAGTTCAACTCTACTTTATTTGGATACTGTCAAGGAGATATGGGACAGATTGCAGCAATTGTATTCTGGGACAGGTAATATCACTCGTGTTTATGAGCTCTGTAAGCAGTACTTCAATCTTAAACAAGGTACTCAAAGTATAGAAGAGAATTATTCTAAAGTTATGGGAGTCTGTGAAGAGCTGAATATGTATTAGCCCATTACAGGTGATGTTCGCAGTATGCAACAACAGCGTGCGGACTTTAATGTTGTCCGTTTTCTTATTGGTTTATCGTCAGCATATGAGCCTTTTCGTGCACTGATTATGAGCAGTCCAACACTTCCATCTCTTGCTGAGGTGTTTTCTAGACTTCAGCGTGTTACACTTGCAAATGATACCTCAAATTTGAATACTGGACAGAGTGGTGAGCGTTCAGCATTAGTGGTCTCAAAGGGTGAACATAATACTTACCGTGGAGGTCGTGGGGGACGCTCCACCCATGGTGGTCATGATTCAAGTGGAGGACGTGGCTGTGGCAGGGAATTTAGAAAGTGTACCCATTGTGGTCTTTCTAATCATACTGTGAACTTTTGTTGGGATCTTCATGGGAAACCATCTAATTATGCCAATCAAGTTTCCTCTTCTCCGAATGATGTTGCTTCTGGATCACACAACGTAGCTGAATCAGATACAGTTCCTGTTCCACGGGATGAGTACACCCAGTTTTTGTCTTATAAGCAAGCATCTAATTCATCTTCCACGGCTACTTTTGCCTAGTCAGGGACTGCACACACGTCTATTGTTTTCCACTCGCAGTCCTTGGATCATAGACACTGGAGCATCTAATCATATGACTGGATGTTCTTCTCTTCTATCTGATTTTCATTCTGTACATCCTTCTCAAAGTTTTACTCTTGCTAATGGTTCATCCACTCAGGTTTGGGGACAACTCCACTTAGTGATTCATTGTCTCTCTCGTCTGTTTTACATGTTCCGCAGTTTCCCTTTAATTTAATGTCTATCAGTAAGCTTACTAAATCTCTCCAGTGCTCTGTTACATTTGATCCTACTTCTTGTGTGTTTCAGGATCTCAAGACGAAGAAGACGATTGGTACGGGGCATGAAGCTGGTGGCTTATATTATTTAGATTTCGAATCTTCTCCTGTGGCTCTTCAGTCTTCTCTGTCTCCATTCCAGTGGCACTGTCGCCTTGGTCACCCGTCACTTCAAGTTTTGAAGTGTCAAGTTCCTAGTCTTAGTCATTTGAAATTCTTGTCATGTGAAGTTTGTCAACTTAGTAAGCACCATCGTGTGTCTTTCAAGTCTAGGGTTAATAATCGTGTCTCTAGTCCTTTTCATTTGGTTCATTCAGATGTATTGGGTCCAATAAAACATTCTTCAATCAATAAATTTCATTATTTTGTGACATTCATTCTGAGTTATTTTTTATTTTTCAAAAATTTTGCAAAGAAATCAAAACTCAGTTTGGATGTCCAATTCGTATTCTACGTTCTGATAATGCTAAGGAATATTCTTCAACTCCATTTGATACATATCTTAGTGATAAAGGAATTATTCATCAAAATTCATGTGTTTATACTCCACAACAAAATGGAGTTGCAGAACGTAAGAATCGATATCTCTTAGAAGTAACTCGTGCTCTTTTGTTTCATATGCGTATGCCTAAACGGTTTTGGGGTGATGCTGTTCTTACTGCCTGTCATTTTATTAACCGTATGCCATCATCTGTATTAGATGGCAAATCTCCACATTCTATTTTATCTCTTGATTCTCCCTTGTTTTCTCTTCCTCTTAGGGTTTTTGGATGTGTATGTTATGTCCACAATCTTGGTCCTGGTTTTGATAAATTAGATCCACGTGCCACAAAGTGTGTATTTCTTGGCCACTCTCGCTCTCATAAAGGTTATCGCTGCTATAGTCCTGTTTCTCAACGGTACTTTATTAGCGCAGATGTAACGTTTTCTGAGTCCATCCTATATTTTTCAGATACTGATTCACTTCTTGATATCACTCTTGAGTCACCTCCTTCTGCTGTTCCTCTTCCCTCACTCTCTCTTCAACCTCGATCTCTTGTTCCTTCATTTGCCTCGTTACAGGTGTACACTCGAAGACCAAAGCCATCGGTTGTCGTGCCTCCTCCATCGTCTTCAGAGTCTTTGGATCCAGCGCCTTCCACTGTGTCTGATTCCTTGCCTATTGCACTTCGTAAAGCTCCTCGCTCATGTGTTACTAACCATCCCATTGCTCATTATGTCTCTTATAATTCCTTATCGCCATCATTCTCCTGTTTTTCCTCTAAGTTGTCTACTACATTCGTTCCTAAGACCGTGCAGGATGCGTTGTCTGATTTGGGCTGGAGGAAAGCAATGCAAGATGAAATGGATGCTTTGCATAAGAATGGCACGTGGGATCTTGTTCCACTACCTCCGGATGTCAAACCTGTTGGTTGTCGCTGGGTATATACTGTGAAGTATCTTCCAGATGGGTCTGTTGAGCGTTTAAAATCACGTCTTGTTGCCAAAGGTTATACCCAAACTTATGGTATTGACTACGACGAGACATTTTCTCTCGTTGCTAAGATTTCTTCTATTCATGTTTTGATTTCTCTTGCTGCTAATAGACATTGGCCTCTGTTTTAGTTAGACGTTAAAAATGCCTTTTTGCATGCTGACTTAGCAGAAGAGGTTTATATGGAGCAACCACCTGGGTTTGTTGCTCAGGGGGAGTATCTTCACACTGTTTGTCGCCTTAAAAAGGCTCTGTATGGATTGAAACAATCTCCACGGGCTTGGTTTGGAAAATTCTCTGAGGTGGCGTTAAAATTTGGTCTTAAGAGATGTCAGACCGACCATTCGGTGTTTCACCAGCGCACTAAAGCTAGCTTCATATTTCTTGTGGTGTATGTAGATGATATTGTGATCACATGTGATGATTCTGAAGGCATTGCTAAGTTGAAGTTGTTTCTGCAATATCAATTCCACACTAAAGACTTGGGTAAACTTAGGTATTTCTTGGGCATTGAAGTTGCTAGATCTAAGAAGGGTATAAGTTTATTCCAACGCAAATATGTGTTGGATTTATTAGAAGAAACAGGTATGTTGGGTGGTCGTCCGGTTGATACTCCTATGGATTCAAATACAAAACTTGTATCTGATGAGGGTAATCTATTTAATGACCCGGTCAGGTTTCGTCACCTTGTTGGGAAATTAATTTATCTCACTATCACTCGACCTGATATTTCATATGCAGTCAGTGTTGTAAGTCAGTTCATGGGAGTTCCTAGAATGCCACATTGGATTGTTGTTCTTCGGATTATACGATATCTCAAGAAAGCTCCAGGTTTAGGGTTACTATATAAATCAAATGGTCATCTCAGGGTGGAAGGTTTTACAGATGCTGACTGGGCTGGTTCTCCTTCAGATAGGAGATCTACTATAGGCTATTGCACATTTGTAGGAAGAAATCTTGTTACATGGCGAAGTAAAAAGCAGACGGTGGTAGCTTGATCTAGTGCTGAAGCTGAATATAGGGCAATGGCCCATACCACTAGTGAGTTGACATGGATACAACATTTTCTAAAAGAACTTGGGTTGATAGTTGAGGCTCCTACTCCATTGTTCTGTGATAATCAAGCAGCAGTTCACATTGCATCAAATCCTGTGTTTCATGAGAGGACTAAACATATTGAAGTTGATTGTCACTTCATTCGAGAAAAAATATTAAGTGGGAGCATCTTTACTCCATTTGTGAAGTCTGAAGATCAATTAGCTAATATGTTTACCAAAACATTGGGTTATAACCGGTTAAGAACTATCTGTTCCAAGCTGGAATTATTTGATATATATTCTCCAGCTTGAGGGGGAGTGTTAGAATGTTATATATATATATATATAAGTGTTGGGCCATTATGTAATTACAGAAAGTTGATAGGGGCCCTTGTGTAGTTAAGTAAGACTTGTACTCTTTATATAAGCCTTGTACACTTTATTAGGTTTTAGTATGATGAATATATAGAAGTCTGAAACTTCTCTCTCTCTCTCTCATATATATAACTGTGAACAGTAATGAACGAATTAATTCCTCAATTCCTGTGGTGCTGGTGCGATTTAAAAAATAACATAGGGTGGATACGACAATATATTTGCATATATGTTCTATTTACATACGTATGTATGAAATTAAAAATATATATGCACTATTTATAGATTTAAAAACAATAATTGTTTGTGAGGTTATATACATTATTACTAACATTCTTTTATTACAAAAAATTATAACAAAAATGTTGATAGTCATGTTGCATGACAAAGTTTTGACTAAAGTAGACATGAATCACATGACGTATTTTTATTATATCTCAATTCTTCTTTTCCGAAGATAGTCTAAATATTTAGATTTCTTGTTATACTCTTCTTAACACTGTCTATCATTCATATGTGTTTGGAGTATTTGAGAAGTATGAAGCATGTGTTCTAAATTTAAAAAGAAAAAAAATTGTGGATACTTTTAGGAAAAAGCTTGCCTTGGGCCGCATAAGCATGGGTCTCCTTCTTATGTTGATATGGACCAATGACAACATGACATGTGTAAAAAAAAATTAAACCTGACTCATTTGGATCTTTTAACAGGTCATCCAAAAAGGAAGAAGATTTTCTCTCATACATGTGTGAGACCTAGTAGCGGGCTCTCCCTCTCTTTAACTCACGATTCTTTCTCTCTTCCCACCAAATCCCCAATTCTGAAACCTTAATATTAATCATCTCTTCCGCCATCCAACCTCCACCACCTCTACTGCTTGCCACCTCCTTAATTCCCAACCCTAGTCTTTTACATCCAATCTTTAGAGATGATTCAAGCCGCTACATTCATTGCTTGCCATCTCTGTTGCAACCCCATCTCCAGAATGACTCAAGAGACTGACTAATTAATAAATACGCATAACTCTAGTGGCATCCAAAATTTTGAGATTTATCACCACCTGTTGCAATCTAAAGCCAAATTGATTTTCTTAAACTCATTGATAATTGGAGTCTTACAATTGTGGTTAATTTACCATGTTTGGGCTAATTGTTTAGCTTCTTCCGTAACGGATTGCAATAAACGCCTAAGGAAAGGAAAAAAAAAATCTTTCCTTTTGGATGATCTGCAAAAAGATCCAAACAATTTTTATTAATTATTTTTAAAAGTTTTTGACACATGTCATATTTTTATTGGTCCATGTCAGCATCAGAAGGACATTCCTACTTACACGGCCTGAGCCAAGTATTGTTCTTTTTATTATATCTCAATTCTTCTTTTCCGAAGATAGTCTAAATATTTGGATTTCTTGTTATACTCTTCTTAACATTGTCTATCATTCATATGTGTTGGAGTATTTGAGAAGTATCAAGCATGTGTTCTAAATTTAAAATGAAAAAAAAAAAAATCAACTGTGGATACTTTTAGGAAGTATCGGATATTTATTCACGAGTATCGGTATCCAATAACAATGTTCCAAGGCCTATTATACATGTCTCAGAGTATTTGTGAAGTATCAGGTATGTGTTCTAAATAAAAAACAAATCAATCGTGGATACTTTTAGGAAGTATCGGATATTTATTCACAAGTATCAGTATCCAATAAGGATATGATACAAGTACGACTTTTTTTGGCTACAAACCTTGTTAGGTTGAACAGGTCTCTACTTCAATTTTTCTGGCAACACAATCATAGAAGTAAACTGAAAATCTAATATGGAAAAACCACAGGTGATGCCTACCAATCCACTATATAAAAGAAGTATACTGGTGATTAATATTACAATCTCCAAACTGCATAATCACCAGCTCATTGGCATAACAATTGCCTCTTTTAGGCTTTTGAGATGCTCATTTGACTTTGGCATGCAAATACTTAATGAATGCATGCATAGAATAGGGTCATATTACTTGATTAGCAGACTTGGGTTATACTAAATGAAAATAGTTGTTACAGGTTATCTGGTGAAAAAAAGTTATTACAAGTTCTGTTACTTTATTTATCAACTTGAAATATACTTAATGGAATAGTTATTAATGAATGATCCGGTGCTTTACTTTGGAAGGGAAGTTTGTTAAGTCCAGTCCTTTTGTCTTGTTTGTGGCCTTGGGATATATTTTGGCATTTTATATTTAGAATTTTCAAGGTGACCGTTTTTCTTGCAGGTGTGGACAACAGGAACAATGGGAGAACTTACCCCGGTATGTTTTTTCTATTGTAGCTGATATTATGCCATTGGTACAACTTGGACCTCTAAAAACTTTTTTGCTGGGTTCTTTTCGACTTTTATTTCAACTCATTGTGACTAGTCCTCTATATTTTGAGCCTAAATATTGTATACACTTTTTATAAAGTTTTTTAATTTTTTTTTGTTAGTTAACCTGATCCAGCTCGAGCAAAGATCGGTAAATTTTTTGTATGGTATTTTTCTCTGTGACAGTAAATAGTGTTAGTCTGCAATCCACAGCTAAAAGTTTTACATGTTGCCCATTGTGTGAAGGGATCCAAACTCAGGTTGGGGTCACTCAAGTTCAAGTTAAATCTTGTTAAGTTGGGTTGAAGGTTGGGGTAGGGGTCCCCCTCTATGGTAGGATGATTTGATGAGAGAGAGTTTGCAAGATGGTTCTCTAAGTTGTTCTTGTTTGGGTGTTATTCCTTTACGTGTATTACGTTTGAATTAAGAGAGTTTCGGTACTTGTAGTTTTTCATACGTTTCTTTAGGATCTTTATTTAATGTTTCTCTGGTAATAATCTCTTATCATTCTTCCAAAAAAAACTTGTTTACAGCCTCTTTCAGTGGATGTAATTGTGACCGTGTCATATTAATCTTTGTGTTTCCTGTTCTATTATGTTTTTCACTTATTCCCTTCCAATTGGCTTGAAATCTATCCCTGCTTCCATATGCCAACAGTTGATTCCAAGTTTGGGTCATAAACTAGAGCACATTTTAGTGACAAAGTGAATCATAAAAACGAAAATTTATTATTACACCAAATAGGAACTTAGTAATAGAAGTGACATGTCGTAACCCAATGTGTTCCTTATTAGACATTAGTCATGGTTTTGGGAGAAGTGATGGACTAGATAAAATTGTAAAATTTGGCATCATTTGCACAAAGTGGTTGCCCTCCTTCTCGAACATATATTCTAATGTTTTCCAGATAGGGTTTTGATTACCATACCAAGTGATAACCCCTATATAAACATGCTTATTGGACAAAAAAAATATTTTCTGGATTATATTTTTGTAGTGATTTAACAGTTTCTACATATTTTGACACTATATAAACATGCTTACTGGACAAAAAATATTTTCTGGATTATATTTTTGTAGTGATTTAACAGTTTCTACATATTTTGACACTAGTATCTAATGTAACATTTTTGCCAGATTAATTGTATATTGGTAGGCTGAGGTAGGACCTAATTGCCTGACTCAACCCAATGTCCATCCCTGTTTTGTTCAATAATTTATTGTTTTTTGCTGATTTGGAATCTATTCTCTGCCAAAAGAACTGTTTCTATGCGATAGTAATTCCCAATTAGGTGTTGTAATGTTGCGACCTCGTAATAAATGTTTTATAGTTGATGGGACTGACTTCATCATCAGGTCATCAAAATTGATAACCGCATAATTGGTGATGGACGGGTTGGGCCTGTAACTAGAAGGATGCAAAATGCTCTCAAAAACCTGACGGAAGAGTTAGGAGTGCCTATACCCACCTATCAGGAGATTTGAGAACTGCAGTTCCTAAGGTACATCTATTTTTATTTCTTTTTTTAAAATTTTACCATTAACCATCTGATATAATTTCTTTTTCTGACTTGCTAGTCAGCAGTAGAATTTGAATTGATAATTTGGGTTATTGTCAATAATGTGAATTCAATCAACACCTACTTTTTTGCAAAGCCGCTAAAATTTGTGTTCTTTTACTGTTGTGATAATATATTGATTTGTAAAATATGGTAAACTGGAACAAATAAAAGGTGGAAAAGAAAAGGCCTAGCAGGGAAAGAAAAAAGAAAATAATGGGCATTGACCTGACCTTCCTTTTTTGTTGGTTGTTTGACAGCAGAGGATCTACTGCATGGAATGCAGCATGTCTTTTGTCCTGGAGAAGTATATTGTGCACGGTTCTGATATGATCATGGTCATGGCATGTTCTGGAGCTAATATCTGGATTGGAATTTTTATTTTTTAAACTTTGGGAATTGGGAGAAGGGTTGTGTTGCCATTTTTTGGGCGAGTTGAATCTTCGAACCCCATAACAATAGTGAAAATAAAGAATAATACACGCCACGCCAGTTCTCTGTTCTAATAAATAAAATCATGTTTCTATTTTCATGTTTCTTATGACGTTTTGATTATTGGCTGAAAATTAGTGGAGGTGCGACAATGAACGGAAACCGTAATGATGATGATGTACTACTGTGTGAACATAATGAAATCTTGATTTTTTTAGCATATAGAATGTGTGAACCATGAAGTTTTTCTGATCAGGATGTCTATCAGAATGTATTTTGTAGTTATAATATAAGAGGCGGGGTCCATTTTAACAATAGAAATCGCTTTTTCTCGTTTTCCTTAACGGGGAGAATTTTTTTATTAAAAACAGAAAAGAAAAAAGAAATAATAATCGCTGAATCATCAACACAATCCTTAAACAAAACAAAAGGTGAAACTCATGAAACAAAACAAGAAGCCCTCTTCTGTGTCCAAAGAACCTTAAACTCACAAAAAGCCCTCTTCTGCTATCCAAAGAATCCTAAACTCGGGGCGATAGAACCTTGAAATTGGAAACTTTAGGGAAGAAAAAGGTTCAATTTTGCAAGACCTGTTGTTTAAATCTTTTTTTTGCTGTATTAACTTCAGCAATCCACAAACTCTAAATTCAAGCAAGGGTTTCGAACAGAGAGCAACAAAGCAAGATTTTAGGGAAAAAGGTTCAAACTTGCAACAAGATTACAGGTGAGTCCCGTGTAACATTGTTTATGTTTAATTTCATTTAATCAAATTGAATCAGATTTTTTTATGGATATCATAAGCATACAAAAGTGTGTTTGTATGTATGTTCAGTTTTGTCTTTCTATTTTGTACTCTATTTTATACGTTTGGGAACTTTTTACGACAGTAAAAAAGTTAGCTAAATTTTTTCCCCCATTATTTGAATTAGCAAAGCTTTTTCCCATTATTTCATATATCAATTCAACTGATCTCTTCTTTTGCTCGATCATCTATCAACTGTCTGTTTTATTTTTCTTCAGTAACTAGGGCGGGAATATACCTGTCGAAATCCATAAACTCAGTTGCAACCTTAGATCTTTGTAGGTAGATCAAGAGAAATTTAATCCTAAAAGGACATTTTTGTGTCTATGTTCATGGGCCCTTCAAATGATTGCTATATTGACACTTTATGTTTATAGAAGAAATTGATATATATATATGCAAGCAATAAATAGAGAGACATTAGAAATAGATTGTGTTAGTAATTTGCTTTTTTAATTATATTACAAGACTTAAAATAATAATAATAATAAATTTGAACTTTGTATCTATAATATTTTATTCACCTTTACATGAATTTATCTCCATAACATTGTATCAACCCTGCTATTTTTTTTCATAAATTCTCTCCTCCCTCCCCCTCTCAGACTTATTGTCTTGCATAATTGGATGTTGATTATTACTTTTTACTCCTTAAGAAGTTATTCGTGGTATGCATATGATATGAAGGATTTTATTCTATCACCACTATTCTACTGATTGTGGTATAATCTTACATATTTATTTTTCTTTTTATGATTGTTGAGGTTGTTTAAAACTTTATACTATAAAACTCTTGTAGAATAGTTCCCTTTTAGCATTATAAGCAAATACCTCATAATCCCTTTCAAAATCCTCTTTAAATTAACATGTGACTGTGTTTTTTTGGATGCTTTTTTGATATGATAAAATTTAACTTTTATCTTTAAACAAAATATAAATAATATGATCTTTTAAGCTCGTAACTTTTAACTTTTAACTTTTAAGCTTCTAAATTTATCATCAACACAATCCCTAAACAAAACAAAAGGCTAAACTCATCAAACAAAATAAAAATCCCTCTTCTGCCGTCCAAAGAACCCTAAACTCACAAAAAGCCCTTTTCTGCCATCCAAAGAATCCTAAACTCAATGGGCGACAGAACCTTCAAATTGGAAGCTTTAGGGAAGAAAAAGGTCAAATTTCGCAACAAATGTTGTTCAAATCTTTGTTTGCCGTGTCAACTTCAGCAACCTACAAACCCTAAATTCAAGCAAAGGTTTCGCACAGAGAGCAACAAAGCAAGATTTTAGGGAAAAATGTCCAAATTTGCAACAAGATTACAGGTGAGTCCCTTATAGCATTGTCTATGTTTAATTTCATTTAATCAAATTTAATCAGATTTTTTATGGATATCATAAGCATACAAAGGTGTGTTCGTATGTATATATACTCTAGGGGTGGCAATATTTGGCACGACATGCTAACATGACACGAACATGACACGAGATAAGCGGGTTTCGGTTTGGACTAATCGTGTTCGTGTCATAATCGTGTCGACACGGATTGACCCGCTAACTAAACGTGTCGTATTCGTATTTGACCCTATAAACACGATTATAACACGATTAACACGATTAACTAAACGTGTCGGATAAACGTGTCTTGTTCGTGTCAAAAATGACCCATTTAGCAAAACGTGTAGAATAAATATGTCGTATTCGTGTCAAAAATGACTTGAATGTGTATTTTCGTGTCGTGTCAAGTCTTGACCCATTTATTAAACAGGTTATGCGTGTCATGTCGTGTTACACGTATAATAATCGTGTCGTGTTCGTGTCAAGGGTCTTAGACACGATTAATAATCGTGTCGTGTTCGTGTCAAGGGTCTTAGACACGATTAATAATCGTGTCGTGTTCGTGTCAACCCTAATCGTGTCCGTGTCATAATCGTGTCAACACAAATACGACACGCCAACACGAATTGCCACCCCTAATATACTCTAATCTGGTGTAACCTTAAAATCTTGTCACATTAGTTTATCAGTTCTTCTAATTAAAACAAAATTCTAACTGACCCATTTGATCCAATTTTAAAGGATATAAAACATAAATCTCTTTTAGCCAAAAATATGTATCACTATCACAAGATCATAGGCCACTAAAGTCTAGGATAGTGTCTCCATTGTCATTACTATCTCTATCCACCATGCACCATGCCATACCCTCTATGATCTTTTCCTATATCTTACTAAAAAGCCGTCTCCTATAAAGATTTTTCCCTTCGTATGGCATACCTTAAATAAATTCATCCACATTTCCATAAATTGTGATTTATCAGTATTCATCTATTTCCATTTGGACTTGGATGCATTAACATTAATTATAATTGTTAGAATATTTTGGGTCATTATGTAATTACATATAGTTGATAGGGTCATTGTGTAATTAGCTGAGTCCTGTACTCTATATAAGCCACTGTACTAGGGTTTGATATGAATAATATACACATTATGTATCCACTGTGTTATCTCTCTCTCTCTTTCTAGTCACAACATGGTATCAGAGTGGTACGAAACAATGGGAAAACTAAGATTATGGTTGTGATTACATCTGTGGTGTTCTTCTACAAATCAGAATCGAGATCGAAGTTGATTCTGTTCTTCGCGACAGGTTTGGCCGTCGTTCTGGATTGGCTATCGGAGGTTTGAAGCTGTCGAAGGTTTGAAGCTTCTTGTCTGTCGTTCTCAAATCTGAAGCCCTTCGTTTTGTAGGACGAGGCTGCCTTGGTTGTCGCAAGTTGCAGAGGTTGCATCATCGCGAACCCTCTCTGCTTGGTTGTTAAATCGCCGATTGTGTTGGGTTGCCGTCGTTACCGCTGCAAGGGCTAGGGTGTGTACTAGCCTTGATTCTTCATTGCGAACCTTGGGTGATTGGAGTTTATGGTCGGTGGCATAGATCTGGTTCTTGCCGGCGCTGATTGTGAAGGAGAAGAGTGGTGTTTGGCTGCAGGCGTGAAGTTATTCCAACCTTGGATTACTAAAACCGGAATAGCAGAGAACTGGTTTTGATTTGGCCCGTTTGTCAGATCCGGCCTGTTTGCCCAGATCCGGACCATTTGCCCAGATCCGACCCGCCTGCCCAGATCCGGCCCATTTGCCCAGATCCGGCCCGCCTGCCCAGATCCGGATTCAGTTTTTTTTTTCCCCAGGTTCGGTTTTCTTCTCTATTTGTCCTTCTCCATGGCTGCTGCCAGTTCCGACCTGTTTTCTTCTACTTCTTTCAATCCTCCCATGACTTCTGTCAAGCTCAATGGCAAGAACTATACTTTATTGGCCAAGTCCATAGCTATTTTTCTGAAAGCCAAAGGCTTTGGCTCTCATTTGGTGAAGGATAAGCCTAAAGAAAGTGATGCAGATTTCAGTTCATGGGACCAAAGGGATGCTCAGATCATTTCCTTAATGTTGAATTGTATTGAACAAGATATCAGCTCCCACCTGTTGTATTTGGATACTGCCAGGAATATATGGAATCGCCTCCAACAGTTATATTCAGGTACTGGTAATATCACCAGAATTTATGAGGTGTGCAAACAATTCTTTGACCTCCAGCAAGGTACTCATAGTCTTGCAGAATACTTCTCCCAGTCAATGGGAATTTGTGAAGAAATGAACTTGTATCAGCCTATCACCTCTGATGTAAAGAGCATGCAACAACAACGTGAGGATTTTAATGCTGTCCGGTTTCTCACGGGGTTGTCACCTGAATATGAATCAGTTCATGCATAGATTTTGGGTAGCCCTACCCTTCCCTCTCTTCCTGATATGTTCTCCAGACTCCAGCGTGCTACTTTATCTAGTGGCACTTCTGGGAGTGCTTCAAGTGGTGTCACTGCTCCTCTTAGCAGTGAACATTCTGCATTAGTTGTGAACCAGGGCGGTTATCAGCCTTCTCGTGGCGGTGGCGGTCGGTTTACTCGTGGTCGTGGTCGTGGTCGTGGCAGAGGTAGAGGCAGAGACTCAAAACTCTGCACTCACTGTGGTCTTACTAATCACACTGTTAATTACTGTTGGGATCTTCATGGGAAACCACCACTTTTTTCCTATGCACATCAAGTAACCTTTAATGAAGGGGATTCTTCTTTCTCTGCTACACCAAATGTTTCACAAGTGGCTGCTCCACAAGTGGCTATTGAGCCTGCTATGGTCACCATGATAGTTTCCCGCGATGAGTATGCTCAGTTTATGTCTCAACAACGGCCTTCCACCTCATCTTCCATGGTTTCCTTTGCCCAATCAGGTAGTGCACCTGCATGTCTCTTATCCTCTCGTCAGAGTCCCTGGATTCTTGACTCTAGCGCATCCGATCACACGACTGGTAGTTCTCATCTCTTATCTGATTTTCAATCTGTTTCTTCATCACAAAGTGTTACTCTTGCTAATAGCTCCTCCACTAAAGTTTTGGGTGTGGGAACCACCCAACTCACGTCCTCCATGTCCCTTTCCTCTGTATTATTTATTCCTCAATTCCCTTTTAATTTGATGTCCATTAGTCAAATTATTAAATCTCTTATTTGCTCTGTTACATTTTATCCCTCGTGTTGTATTTTTCAGCATCTCAAGACGATGAAGAAGATTGGTACGGGACATGAAGTAGGTGGCTTGTATTACTTTGATATTGGGCCAACTCCCACGGCTCTTCAATCATCTTTGTCTCCTTTCCAATGGCACTGTCGTCTCGGCCACCCATCCTTATCAGTTTTGCAGCGTCAAGTCCCCAGTCTTAGTCTTAGTCGTGTTGAGTCCATGCCTTGTGAAGCATGTCAGTTTAGTAAGCATTGACGTGTATTTTTCAAACCGAGAGCTACCAATCGTGTTGCTAATCCTTTTCAGTTAATTCATTCAGATGTATGGGGCCCAATAAAACATATTTCTCTTAATGGATTTCGTTATTTTATGACTTTTGTGGATGATCATTCTCGTATGACTCGGTTGTTTTTAATGAAAAATCGTTCTGAGTTATTCTCTATTTTTCAACTATTTCGCAAAGAAATCAAAACTCAATTTGGATGTTCCATTAAAGTTTTACGTTCTGACAATGCCAAAGAATATTTCTCGGACCCGTTTGAGACTTATTTTCATACTAAAGGCATCATTCATCAATCATCTTGTACTTATACTCCTTAACAAAATGGAGTAGCTGAACGTAAAAATCGTTATCTCCTCGAAGTATGTCATGTCCTTTTATTCCATATGCATGTTCCCAAACGTTTTTGGAGTGATACTGTTCTTACAGCCTATTATCTTATTAATCGGATGCCTTCGTCAGTGTTAAAAGGGCAGTCTCCTCATTCTGTTCTATTTCCCGACTCCGCATCATTTAATCTTACTCCTCGATTCTTTGGATGTGTATGTTATGTCCATAACCTTTGGCCCGGTCTTGACAAACTCGACCCCCGTGCCACTAAGTGTGTTTTTCTTGGGTATTCTCGCACTCAAAAGGGTTATCGTTGCTACAGTCCTCATTTTTAGCGCTATTTCACTAGTGCTGATGTCTCATTTTCTGAGTCTCTCCCATTTTTTTTCTGATTTTACTACCCCTCTCGATATTACTCTAGCGCTACCTATGCCAACTGTTTCCTCTCTGCTTCCTGCTTCCCCACTTCCTCGCTCTGTTGTCCCCTCGCAGGTTTATACTCGACGCCATCGACCGCCTACTTCGCTCCCTCCATCTCCTTCAGAGTCTTCGGATCCGACGCCTTTACCTGATGATTTACCCATTGCTCTCCGTAAAGGTATTCGGTCGTGTGTTACTGCACATCCCATTTCTAACTTTGTCTCCTACCATAATATTTCCTCCTCTTTATCTTGTTTTTTATCCAAAATGTCTGCTACGTTTGTTCCTAAGACTTTCCAGGATGCTCTTTCTAATTTGGATTGGCGTAACGCCATGGTAAATGAAATGGATGCCCTGCACCGTAATCGGACTTGGGATCTTGTTCCCTTACCTCCGGGCTCCAAAACGGTTGGTTGTAAGCGGGTTTATACTGTTAAATACCTTCACGATGGGTCTATTGAGCGGTTGAAGGCTCGTCTGGTGGCAAAAGGGTACACTCAGACTTATGGTATAGACTACAATGAGACCTTTTCTCCTGTTGCTAAGATTTCTTCTATTCGGGTACTTATTTCCATTGCTACCAATTGTCACTGGCCTTTGTTTCAATTAGATGTCAAGAATGCCTTCTTGCATGGTGACTTAGTTGAAGAAGTTTATATGGAGCAACCACCTGGGTTTGTTGCTCAGGGGGAGTATCGTCACACTGTTTGTCGTCTTAAAAAGGCCCTGTATGGATTGAAACAATCTCCACGGGCTTGGTTTGGAAAATTCTCTGAGGCGGCATTAGAATTTGGTCTTAACAGATGCCAGACCGATTATTCGGTATTTCACCAGCGCACTAAAGCTGGCTTCATTTTTCTTGTGGTATATGTAGATGATATTGTGATCACGGGTGATGATTCTGAAGGCATTGCTAAGTTGAAGTAGTTTCTGCAAAATCGATTCCATACTAAAGACTTGGGTAAACTTAGGTATTTCTTGGGTATTAAAGTTGCTAGATCCAAGAAGGGTATAAGTTTATCTCAACGTAAATATGTGTTGGACTTGCTAGAAGAAACAGGTATGTTGGGTGGTCGTCCAGTTGATGCTCCTATGGATTCAAATACAAAACTTGTGTCTGATGAGGGTGATCTATTTAATGACCCGGGCAGATTTCGTCGCCTTGTTGGGAAATTAATTTATCTCACTATCACTCGACCTGATATTTCATATGCAGTTATTGTTGTAAGTTAGTTCATGGGAGCTCCTAGAATGCCATATTGGGTTGCTGTTCTTCGGATTATCCGATATCAAGCAAGCTTCAAGTTTTGGGTTACTATATAAATCAAATGGTCATCTCAGGGTGGAAGGTTTTTCAGATGCTGACTGGGCTGGTTCTCCATCAGACAGGCGATCTACTACAGGCTACTGTACATTTGTAGGAGGAAATCTTGTTACATGGAAAAGTAAAAAGCAAACGGTGGTAGCTCGATCTAGTGCTGAAGCTGAGTATAGGGCAATGGCCCATATAACTAGTTAGTTGACTTGGATACAACATGCTCTAAAAGAACTTGGGTTGACAGTTGAAACTCCTACTCCATTGTTTTGTGATAATCAAGCAGCTGTTCACATTGCATCAAATTCTGTGTTTCATGAGAGGACCAAACATATTGAAGTTGATTGTCACTTCATTCGAGGAAAAATATTAAGTGGGAACATCTCTACTCCATTTGTGAAGTCTGGAGATCAGTTAGCTGATATGTTTACCAAAGCATTGGGTCATAATTGGTTAAGGACTATCTGTTCCAAGCTGGGATTATTTGATATATACTCTCCAGCTTGAGGGGGAGTGTTAGAATATTTTGGGTCATTATGTAATTAAATATAGTTGATAGGGTCATTGTGTAATTAGCTGAGTCCTGTACTCTATATAAGCCACTATATTAGGGTTTGATATGAATAATATACACATTATGTATCCACTGTGTTATCTCTCTCTCTCTCTTTCTCTCTAGTCACAACAATAATAAATACATTTTCTCTCATTATGAATTGTGAATCTTATAGGAAAAAAACCATTAACGTAGTATTTAACTTAGAATCATTAGTTGGATGGCTTGAGCGAGATTATTACTATCAGTAGTATTTAACTTAGAATCATTGGTTGGATGGCCATTGAAGAAATCATATACCGAGTGCTTTGGTGGCTGGTTTCGTCCTATGTAACTGTATTGAATAAACAAGATCATAGCAAGAGTTATAATCAACACACCTCCTGACCACTTCTTCATCTTTAAAAACTTCTTAAATCTGAAATATTATGTACAACAAACTATTTAACTCTTCAATTGTATAACTAACAAATAAACATAGCATGTAGTGGATCCAATGATTCGCCATTTTTAGCACTCATCTTCTTTTTTCTAGTCCATATACAGATAACCCCTGCCATGATATTTCTTCAAAAATTTTAAAAAAAATCACAATGTTCATAGCCCATAAGTAACCAAGCAAAAGGAAGTAAGAAAATGCTAATTTTCTTCTACATCACACACACATATATATAAACACAGATAAAAGCATGGACATAATTAGGAATATTCTGAAAAATCATAAATGCACAAAATACATAAATGTAGTTAAGGCTAATCTGAAAGCATAGAACTTTACAATTATTCAAAATCCAAATCACTGGGATTGCAGTAAAGATTCTTCCAAGTCTATGCAATGTCTTCATTTGCATAGATGTTGAAAGTACTTCTTTTAGCTTTTGGGAAGCAAAATCTTTTTAGAAAGTGAAAAATAAAAAATAAAAGAAGTTTTGCTTTGAAAAAGTAAAGAACTGTGTTTGACAATTACACTACCATTTATAAGTAACATTTCACTACAATTTGTAAGTAACATCATAGGAGTTTAAAAGTAACATCACCATTTGTAAAAAGATAATATCACCAAGTATATATATATATATATATATGTATATGTGTATATATATATATACAAGAACACTTTGAGGCTAAGGTATTGAATATATATAACATCACCATGTTTAATTGAGTTAGATTTATGTGTGATTATTAGTTTTTCAGTACTATGCGAATACCTTTTTTTGATGGTGAAGGTGGTAAGTGTGACAATTAATATTAAACTTTGCCAAATTTATTTTTTTGATGGTGAAGGTGGTGAATGTGGCAATTAATATTAAACGTTGCTAAAAAAAATTCAAAGATATGTTAAATAATTTATATCTAAGTGTATGTTTTTTTAATATTTGGAAGAAAAAATAAAAGATGTGGCTCTTTTCATTATTTTTGAAAACAAAATGAAAATAGTCATAGCCTAATTTTTTTTATTTTTTATTTTTATTTTATTCTCATGTATCAAAGAAATAATAAATTTAGTTATTCTCTAAAAGTGAATCATGGAATTGTTTTATAGTGTTCCAATTACTTTCATACCAAACAAAATACTTGATGTTTAAAAAAATTACGAAAAGAACCACATCTATTTTTTTTTTCTTTCTTCGAAATATTTAAAAAAACAATTACATAAAAGTAAAAATTGTTGACAACCAAATACCTCGTAATCCCTTTCAAAATCCTCTTTAAATTAAAATGTGATTGTGTTTTTCTGGATGCTTTTTTGATATGATATAATTTAACTTTTAACTTCAAATAAAATATAAATAATATGATCTTTTAAGCTTGTAACTTTTAACTTTTAACTTTTAAGCTTCTAAATTTATTTAAAGTCTTGTTATGATCTCTATTTTTATAAGTGCAATATCTCATTATGAACTCATAAACTAGGAACATCAAATGGGAAGGATTAAGCATATGGCCAAGTGCGCTGAAAAAAAGGAAAAAAAATGCAGCAAAAGCCTAAGGAGATGAACAAAAAAAAAAAAGATGTGGCCAAATGCAATCTAAAAAGGCAGACTAATGTGTCGGAACGCGATAGAAAAAGAATTGCTTTAGATAGTGAAAGTAATTCTGATGATGCTTCATACTCTCCTTCTGCCAGTTCTCCGTCTCAATCATCAAGTAGTACCGATAAGATTGAAGATGGAGCTCATTTAAAGCATAGAAAGGTTATTTGTCGATCGAGATAGAGTGAGAGTTTGAAAAATAATGCAGGAAGTTCAAAACTGAAGTGGAAAGGAGGAACTGCAAGCCATCATGGACCTTGCTTCTTCAAATTTAGGTATATTTTCAAAACCTGGAACGACAACGAGATCAAATTATTATAAATTTCATGTATTATGTTATTATTTTAAAATTTATCTTTTTGTAATGATAAGTTATTTTATTGATATATATTTTTTATTGAAATTATTGATTTTATTAATACAAAAATTGATTAGAAAGAAATAGAATAAGAAAATATTGAGACTAAGGTACTGAATATATATTGATTACAAAGAAATATAATAACTCAATATATGTGTGTATATATATATATATATATATATATATGTATATGTATATGTGTATATATATGTATATGTATATGTGTATATATGTACAAGAATGTTTTGAAACTAAGGTATTGAATATATATTAGTATATAAGTATATATATAACATCAGCATGTTGAATTGAGTTAGATTTATGTGTGAGTATTAGTTTTTCAACACTATGTGAATACCTTATTTTGATGGTGAAGGTGTTGAGTGTGGCAATTAATAATAAACTTTGCTAATTTTTTTCTTTTTACCGTGAAGGTGGTGAGTGTGGCAATTAACATTAAACTTTGGTCAAAAATTTTCAAAGATATGTTAAATAAACCATATCTAAGTGTATGTTTTCTTAATATTTTGAAGGAAAAAAAAAAGAAAAAAATAAAAAAGATGTGGCTCTTTTCATTATTGCACTTTAGAGGATTCACGCCCATTTAAAAAAGTACTTGCAAAATTGTTTATGCTGGACTTATTTTGTGGAGTGTGATGTTATCAGGTAATGTTATGAAGATCCTTGGTACTGATTTTAACTTTGTTATTTTTATTTTACTAAACTTGATTTAATTATATATTTTTTAAAAGTGATGTATTGCACCAATGTTCTTACCTTAGTGATATATATGTTGATGTATGGAAAACAAAGTAGCAATTTAATTAAACAATAAAGTTTAGAAAAATATAAATGTATTAAATTTTGTAATTATTCATTGTGTTTATAATTTCAGGAAATATTATCAAGATAAGTGCAAAGCAGAAAACCCTTCCAAGAATTGGAGAAAACTTCATTACGCGCAAATCAATAAAGATGCTGAAAAAGTTTGAAATAATATGAGTGAAAGTGAAAAGCAACCTTTCAAGGATAAGTGGGAAAAGGAAGAAGCGGAAAGGAAAAAACATGCACCAAAAAAAGCCCCCAAACAAAAGGTATTATGTCATTTTGCCTTCCCTTCCCTCCTATTATTGTTTAATTATTTGAGACACACTCCTTTGTTTATATTATTTTTGTTTTGTAATTTATCATTTAATTGAACTTTTATCCGTAGAAAAATCAGAATCATTGGCACAGAAAATAATTCATCAGCCATGTCTTTTCTCCGTATTCTAACTCACCCTGTCTTCTGGTCCTTAGAAAATTTTGTTGATCAACTTTGGTGTAGCCAATTGATTGCCTCCTACCAACCTGTCTGCTCATTAATTCAAATGCATTACCGAGTGGAACTCCATATTGGCAGGCCAATTCCACATCAATTGCTTGGGCAACATTTATTCATCGTTGTGATGGCATCATATGTGTGCATTCTTCAATTATCATAGGATGATTGTGAGATTCAATAAAATTATATACAACATATTTTCCCTTTTCACGGTCATATCTAATTTGCATCAGTGCACCACAATCGGTTCGAGTTTCAGCCCTGGACTTTCTTGTATGGATATCCCTCTTGTCCTTCACCTTAAAAACTTGTTTGGAACACATAAACTTGCTTGTTGTAATATTTCTTGTCTTATGGCTTTTATTTGCATAATTCTTACGAATACTAAATCCAACTTTACCCCTATAAGCATTATAAAAGTTGTATGTAAAAGTCGTATGCTTCGTCTTCAGTGTCAAACTGTATGTTCAATTTTGGTGTGAATTCTATCTCAATGGGATTGACAACTTCTGCTGCTAAGTTTTCGAAAATATTGATTTCGGCAACGATTGGAATGCTTGTTCTCACATTATTAGTACTTAAGTCGTCGTCGATTGGGATAACTTCAGTATGAATGCTATAGAAGCAAAAGGTCCATCAGAAGGTTAAAGTCAGTTTCCATAACTTGTGATAATAAAAAAAAATACTAAATATTTACCGAACTAATGAGAAGGGCCAAAAAACCCTACAGTTATCCAACATTTCAGAAACACTAGAATGCCTAACCAATGTCAATTTCAACTAAAAAAGATCATAATTTAGACTACCAGATGACAAATAAAATAATTAA